AACCTAAATGTCTTTAAATCTATAATCTGAACAATACTTGTTTTTGATTTCCCATAGACGGATAGACTTATCATTACTACCAGAAGCTAATGTATTTCCATCAGGAGAGAAACAGACTGAGTAGACAGTACTAGTATGACCATCTAATTTCGCTTTTTATTATCCTGTTTTGACATCCCACAGACGGATAGAGTTATCATAACTACCAGAAGCTGATACTGAGATATAGAAATTTACTATCGAATTGGTTAATATAATTCTTTTAGGAAGGAGAAAAAATTAAGAATTCTATATAAGACTTTATCATAGGGTCTACCGAACAAAATATTCTTGTTTATAGTATCATGAAAAATCAATGGTCCTTATTCAACATAAGCTACTGACAAAATATTTTTATTTGCCTCTTGACCATCATTTTTTAAAAAGCACCTATATACAGGAATCTCATGCTATAAAGAACTAAGAAAATTGAACTCCCACAACCAACTTTACCAATAAAAGCCCAAGTTTCTCATGAAGAAATTTCTAATGTTAAGTTTTTGAGAACGGGTTTGGTAGTTTCAGAAATTAATGTAGTCCAATATGAAGTAAAATTCTTGAACTAAATTCTAGGTACAATAAAGTCTTATTTATAGGTATCACTGTTTTATATTTATTGATATTTATCAAAATTTTCATTTTTTAATTTTCTATATTTAATTGATATCCCCAGACACTAAATTCAAAATTTTTCCTCTATTAGCCTCAGCTATTGAAGAAGAACTTAATTCAGTTAATTTTAAATAAACTAAATTAATAAGTGTCATTCTTGCTATTGTTGAGAAAATCATTGCCAAATTATAACCATGATACATTGTTAAAAAACTAAAAAGGTTTAGAGCAACCAGCAAAACAGCTAATAGATAAGCATCATCTTTTTAAGCACTCATAATTACTTTACTCATTGAACTCCGTTCTTTGCTAGAGCTTCAAAAACATGAGAAAAAAAACATCCTAAGCGAGTCCATTTTAATTAACCGAAAAATATTATTTTCACTAAATCGCTTTAGTTAATTTTATTTCATTTTATTTTATTTTATACTCGATTTTTGGAACATTTGACAGTTTCTTTTAGATCTTTCAAAGGTGATAATTTTGGTCAGTGCTTTTCTGTTATTTTATGATTTTTTGTGGAATAAATGTTTTTTAAAGATAATGAATATCCTGTTAAATCTAGAAAGATCAGTTTTGAAGTAGTAATTGATTTTATCCATTATGGTAAGGATAGAATTTTCTCTTTTCTTCTTTTTGAATGGTAAGTATTGAAGGCTCATGATTTTCTTCCTTTCAATGTAATGGTTGTGATTCTTCATTAAATTACTCCTATTAATCATTTGGAAATGTTAGTATTTTGTATTCAGATGGGTTTATAATTTTGTCTCTATTGCATTTTGATCTATTTATGAATTGATTTATAACTCTTTAAACTAATAAATTTTTGAAAAAACTAAATCTATCTCATTAAGGTTTTTCGTTCCAAAAAATTACAATATCATAAAATTATTAATTAATTACTATCCTTTAATATCATCATCAATTAGTTTTTCATTTGACCAAAATTAATACAATATTCATATTGCTAATAATTTATTATTATATCATCATTATTCCAAAACACCTTGTAGTGTCTGATTTTCTTTAATAGTTAGACTTAAATAAGTGGTAACTGAAAAAAAAATTCCAATATTAGAGAGGTTTTGAGTTATTAAGAAAAGCAGTGAATGAAAACAAATTATTAAATTTTTATTCCAATGAATTAGATATGAATTTAATTAAATAATCATTCACCAAATAAATTTGTTAATCAAATTAGAGAATAAGAATTTGATTGCTGAGAATAATTTGTTCTGATGACTTAAATAGATTAGATGAGCTATAGTTTAGAAAACGAATTCACTAAAATTAAGATAATTTATTATACCCAAATAAAAAATAACTAGCCAAAATGAATTTTATAATTGTTTTTAAACTTATTAGGAAAAAACATGTGAAATATTGATTTGTTAGATCTTTAAAAAATGCAATCTTACCAACATATTGGAAACTGAATTAGATGAAGGATCCACCTAAAAAAGTAATAAAAACATAGAGAATTATTAATCTAATTATAATTTAAAAAATGATCTTTTTGTAAAATTTTCGGAAATGATAATAATAATTATGCATATTTTAATATATAAAAAGACTTAATCAAATATCAAGTAGATAATTGAATTTAGACATAAAAAGTTCTAAATTATACTTTACCTTTATTTAAATTTAATAAACAAAAAATTTCATAAATTATTATTATATTTTATAATTTATTATGATTACACTTAAAATAATAAATTGAAGATTTGCTATGAAATACTAATTGATTCACTTGATACATTAATAAATTCCTGTTTGTTAAAGTTATGATTTGAAATCATTTTATATAAATTGATGTGAATTTGAATTTTTAGTTCCTAAAATTATTTTTTCAATAGGAATTTTGTATTTATCAACTAATTGTTGGATGAATAATTGCTGCTTTTTACTGTAATTTACTAGACTTTCATAATCAAGAAGTATAACGTCAACAGCTTTTAAAGTTTTCTTAATTGCATCTTCTTATTTTTTTAAACTATCCTATATTTAGTATTTCTAATATGATAGTAAAATTGCAGTTTCGTACAATGAATTAATTAATTTTTATTGAATAACATTGCTTTTTTGAATAACATTGGATTAATCTTTGGATTTTGCATTTTCTTATATTTCTTGGATGTTCGATGTTTGATTTAAATATATATTAATAAATATAGCAGTGATAACACTAAGCGATATTAAAAGATATCAAATTTAAAATAATGAAGTATACACCTCAATAATAATATTGAATGATATGTAAAAATATTTTTTTTCATTGGAATCAAATTGAAGAGAAAGCTTCTGTGACTTTATTGGTTTCCCACAAGTATAAATCATTGATGATGTACTAAATTTATTATATTGTAATAAAAATTCTCGTTAAAGAATGTTCTAGAACAACAAACTTGTCTTTCCAATCCGTTGCACAGGGAAGCTATATTCGGGAAAGGGGAGAGCCTCGAACTGGCACAAGGAAACTTTCCACCTCTAGTCTGCTATAAACTGTACTGAGGTTTCTAGGACCAGAGCACTGACTGACTGGCTGATGATAGGCCCTGATGTCATATTTCCAAATAAAAGGTAAGTGCCTCCTCCACAGCTGTTCGAGAAGCCTAGACATACCCACTCTCTCAGAGCCTCTTCTAATTACAAGTCTTGACTATGAATTTTCACCTTTAACCCTTTATTCGACTTACGTCTGGTTTCACGCCGTCGAATTATTTTCATTAAAAATAACCTATACACCTCAAAAATATTAAAATGTATTATAACAGCATAAGTATTTGCCAAACCATCCGATGTTAAATAATTTCCACTAAAAACATATAACTGATAGTATATTATAAATGGAATTGTAGGATAAATAACAATCTAATAAATATTACATAGTTTATATATGATTGGCATTTGAGTTTAAGTAATTTGATAAACCTGTTTAAAAATTGATTTTAAAAGTAGTTTTAAATGTTAATTTCTATAAATGATCAGTTAAAATTGTTACTAAAATAGCAGATTATGACTATTTTGAATGTGTTATGATCCTTAAGTTTGCCATTTACACTTTAATTCCAATCTAATTAATTAAAGCAACAGTACTCTTCACTAAAATGAAAATAGAAATTAATGTCCTTAAAGCTAATTAAATATTTACTAAATACTGGCTGACTATAAGAATTATGATTATGTTTTCAGACTATTCATACATGAATATTTAATGTTATTGAAAAAATTCCATAACCTCTAATATCATATATATCCCATAATGTCGAAAGTGTCCACTTGAACCTGAATTATAAATAAATCCTTTATCAAAAATGACTTTATAAACTTATTTCCAAAGACCTTTCAATATTCAAGTAAATTAATAGATTATGATGTGATAATTTATATATACATTTTTCGAAGAAGCAAAAGAAAAAGACACTGTACCCATTATGTTATTCATAAGAAAATTATACCATTTGCCATTACTGTAAGCATATATTTTTTATTTATAGCTATAATTTTTGGTAATATAATCCATCATCTCTAAATGAAAGTCGCTCCTATTAATTTTTCTTTACAGAACCTAATACTGAAGCATAGTAAATAATATTTATTATGTTTTTATAGAATACAATAACCACAATTTTTAGGTTGCGAATTCACCTAATCTAAGTTCATCTCCATAATTCTTAAAGATTGTGAGTCTAAGTATCAAATAAGTTGTAGCGAAACTAGCCTCTGTAAAATCATATCTAACCAAACCAGAAAAATAAATTTTTTTTACCTGCCTAATCTATTCCCTTTATGATTTAATTGCAAAATTTAAATATTCTCTTATATTTAAATTTAATCCAATTATATTAACTATATGATATAGGAAATATAGGATAAATGAACCTGCAGAATTCATTAGCAAATTTATTTTGTAATTCTTCAGATGTTATGTCACAAATCCAAAATTGATCCCCTAATTATCTTGTAGCTATAAACATTACCTTGTTCCAGTTCCCCATTTATTCATGTATCCAGTGAAAGAACTCCCAGCTAGAAACAGATTCTCTATTTTCTCATTCTAGTCAATAGTTTCGTATTTAAATATTGCTTATTCATCCCAATTTCTGATATCATAAGATTACCAAAGTCTCAGATTATTGGATTTAGCATCCTCATTTAACCATTATTTGAATCGAGTATCTATTTTTCAGTTATTATTCAATTGAAGTTCCAATCTAATATGATAGAATTTGTTCTCTTTAATAATTAATTTATGAATGTCTTTCATTATATTGTTGTAGAAGATTCATGTTTCCAATCATGAAAAAAGGTTCATTTTAGTCTCTGCCATATTCTTTCTTATCAATCTCCAAATTCAATATTGATTTAGTCTTAATTTTTTATAAATAACTTAGAAAATTATTGAGTGTCCCTTGAGTCTCATTGATGATCTTTTTTATTCGTAAGAATCTAAATTCACTTCTTTCTCTACCAGGATGACCTACTTAATTTCTTAATAATTAAGTTGGTCAATTATGGATTGGTGTTGGATTTAGTCCTTATTGAGTTTCTTATTGACTACGGCTGGGTTGTCTTCGATTAAAATAATTTCTGATTATTTGAGATGACTCAATAAAGATGCAGATTGATCAATCCTATCAATTACTTCGTTGTTAAAGCTGAAGGAAGAATCTATATTCACAACTTATATTCATCTGACATATTTGAAAACATCTTCGATTCCACATAACATAATAATTTTTTATAAAAATTTAAATACATATCTAATACAATTGAATAAAAATATTAAACCTTCGAAATTAAAGAATTCGGATTAATATAGAATAATTTGTAGTATTGTTACTTATTTTTTGCTTTTATCATATTATTAAAGCCTGTATAGAATAAAGTACAACTACAACATTCAATTATAAATCATAATATTTTATTTGATAATTAGGAGTTAATTTTCTAAAGAAAAAGAATGACGCTTAAATCATTTTCAGCGCCTTTTTTATTGACATTTCCTATAATGACTATTATATAGAAAGATATATGTAATTTACTAGTTTAGTTTTGAGATATCCAAATTGGTTTTGGAAAAAGAAGATTTATTAGTTTCTATGATTACTGTATAAATTTATATTTAATAATTTTCTTATCTAAAATTAAACTCAAATAGGCTTTAACTTGGTCGTATCTTATTTTTTAATAGACTCTCGTAAGCATCAAAATAGCATACTCAATTGTTGGGTGTCTAAAGTTCAAGTATTTTGGTTGTCTTTGAAATTAGGGTATGTCATGAAAATTCTAGTATTTAATCATTCAAGCTTACCTATTTAAGCATGGTTAGTAAATATAATACTAACTTTGGAAGATAAAAATCATATTCTTCAGAAATTTTTAGATTTCTCGAAAGTTTTGGATTTATCTCAAATAATTTACATATTATTATTGGAAGAAAATCTTAAATACTTAAAGAGATCTATGTGTTAGAGGAAAGTATAAACTGAAAAAAAGAAATTGAAAAACTAACATACAGTGTTTTATTATAAAAATTATAATCTTTTAATTTCACGAAAATATCATACAAAAATATTATCAAATTTTAAATCAATGATAATGCTAAATTCTATAAAAATTGATAGCACAAACTCTTCTAAGGATCAACTGTGAACATCTCAAGTTCACATCTATCATTGTTACATATCATAATTACATCAAACCTTTATTTTTGAAGAGTACAACTTTCACTTTTTATTTAAAAAATCTAAACAAAATACATTACCTTTTGAAATCGATAATTATTTATATAACCTAAGGAAATATAGAGGTTTAGAGTAAATGTAAATACGAAAATATCCTTTGTTATCAAAAAAACATAATTCTTAATAGTTAAATATATGTCATCTGGTCTTTTATATAAATTTAATGTTGAATATTCATCGCTTTTTACAAGAAAAAAAGTTATGAAAATCTTCATTTTTCATGGTTTATGACTCAAGAATTGAAATTTATTTATAGAGTTAGGTCAACACCAAATTAGGAGACCGACTATACTATTCTTTTCCAGATTTTCAATTATTAACTATGAATTATTTATTATTCTTATGATTTAATCTATTTTATATTTAAAGGAATGTTTCACTTCTTTCTTAATTTACCTTTTGTTTTCATAATTTTTTTTAATTTATTTAATATACTTTTTTTTGCATTCTTCTGCTTTTATTAAATTTTATTGCTGTTGAAATTATTGAGACGATTAAAGTGCTATTTTTATTGATATAATTTATGGATTGACAGATTTAAGATCTAAAACACTTTAATTTAAAGTTTTATACTGTTGTAAATATTTTATCATGCAAAACCATGTAAGATTTCTATTCGCCATTTCTTTTCTATTAAAGAAAACTTATGACAAAAATACTGCTAACTTGGAAGAAAATATTAATTATTTTACGGTTAGAAAAAACTAACCCAATACTCAGTTGGTAGAATACTTAGTCAACAAAAAGACCTAACAATTCTCTTAAATATGCTTTAAGTTAGCATTTCAATTAATTTTGTATAGAAAATAATTAAACATAGTTCATTTAAATTATTAAATAAAATTTTATTCATCGATTTCTGTTTTTAAATATGTCAAATAAATATTCGATTATTCTCACTAATGGTTAGAACATAAGACCAGAAAGCAACAAGGATCCTCTCCAAAACTCATTTTCTAAATTTATTCTCTTAATTAAATTTAATAATTTGTACTCCTTTGTTCATCATAAATTTTGTATCTAAAATCAAGTAGAATCCATAGGTTATAACAATTACTGCACCTACGATCTTCTACCATACAACAGAAGTATCAATCAATATCAAAATTATCATTATTGGTATTGTTGTACCAACAATGATTATAGCACCAATTATAAATATAGATTGATATATACTTTTCCAAGTAATTTCGCTTTATTTTACACACCCAAAAATTGTAAACATTAATATTATCAGAAGAGTTTTCCCCAAATCATCCATACAGGACCTTCTAAAAAACTTATTGCCATAAAAATGCTTATTGTTGTAATTATAAGTCCAAATGAAACTTAATACAAAATTATCACTATTTATTTTAGAGGAGCCTATGTTTAGATTTCTTATTTTTACTTCTCTTGCACAGTTGCTAAAGTAGAGTGTGAATTATAATAATAATGAAACAATTAAAGAAATATTAAACAACACTGTTGGTGCTAAACTATAGGTGCAATAATCTATCAACATAATGCATGTCTCTTGCAAAGTTATTAGCCAAGTTCCCATATTTGTGTGAAATCCTAAAGAAATTATTACCAAATATATAGCAAACTCGATTGTTACACAAACAAACATACATTTTTTGAAAAAATGATGCTCTTAATTAAAAATTATCAGATTGATCTTGAGCTAAACAAAATATTATGTTAAAAACTTTGAGATTGAGTTATTTTTTAAGTATTTCCGCCTGATGTTTCAAAAAACTACTAATTCACTTATTATTGCTAACCGTTTTAATCTAAAGACTAATTGTTAAAGCTGCTGTTTATTACAATAAAATAATTATAATATTAAATAAATTGTCTCTAATCTCAAGACCTTAAATGATAAAAATATTGAATATTAAATCATTTTATATATTTATTTATTCAACTATTTAAAAAAAATTCAGATATTAATTTAATTTAATTAGAATTGAAACTACAATCAATATATGCTTTCAACTTATTTTTTGTTAATTATTTATAGTAAATCATCTCCAATACTCTAAAAAATGATACTATCTTTTTATGAATAATATCAGATATTTTATTTCCATTTATCTGAAGCTAAAGATGATTTTTCAGACTTGCGAACTTTAATAGAAATAAGTAATAATTTTTCTAATGTGTTTTTAGCGTAGACCACATTTAATGTAATTAATCCAAAAAGTTAGATTCAATCCAAATTGCTTGAATGATCTAAAAATTAATAACATATATTGATAGGTGAATCGATTTTATGTAAGTTTTATCTAATATGTTATTAATTTATATATTAATTTTATCAATTACTCTTAAACTAAATAAAATAATTACTTGTTTGAGAATAAATTCAATTTATTTCATAAAGGAAAGTTATAGTCAAAATTTATTTAGTTCAATTTTTGATGCCTCTATTAGCTAAAATCAGTTTTAATTTTGTATTCATTTTTAATAAAATTATTTTTCTAAATTCATATTTTTTTGCAATTTTAGATTCTTTTTCACTCTAATTCAATTTAGTATTTTAGAAAGAGCTGACAATATCAAAAAAAATGAGTTAGAATACAACTTTGAGATTCATTTTCTAAATATTTTTTTATAATTTAGCTAAAATTCTATCTTAATTTGAAGACAAGCAGAAACCTTAAAAGATTACACATAAAACTTCTATTTTTTGTTTTCCAAAAATCCTAAACCTCCTTTAATTAAATAATTAGTATTTGTTCATTTTAATCAAGAGATCATTAAGTTGAATATTTTATCAAATCCATCATTATTTAATATCTGTGAAATCTGACATTAGAATGAAAATTTCTTTTCAGGTTAGAGATGAAAATTTGAAAAACTTCTTTGAGTGGAATGATAATTATAAATATAAATTCCAATTTATTATGCAATTATAATAGTTGGAGAAAACTCAAAAGCTTGGGTAAAATAAATATCTGTGTATTGAAAAAAAGACAAAAAAAGAATATATTCTGACATTATAGGCATCTTCTGATTACGATGATCGAATTTGTAGTATTGATCATAAAAATTTTCTTGTTATTTTGGAGAAATGGTAAGAAAATGGAATGATGTGTATGATATAAAATAGTGAACCCTTATAAACGATTAAGGGAGGAGGTTGTTTCGGAGAATAAAAAATTTTATCAATAATTTTATAACTTGCTTTAGCCCTAAATAATGCTGAGTTAAAAGGAATATAAGCAACAGTTACTCTCTAAAATTTGTTTCTCGATGAATACAAAAATATAAAGGTTTGTTATTAATTCAATTAAGATCGATTTGCTATCATTAAATGCCACCCCATTAAATTTTGCTTCTCCAGAAGTTCTGAGAAAAGAATCCAATCACTCTGGAATTTGGAGTATAGGTATTATAGGATATTTTCTTGCTAACAATCGTATGCCGTTTAATGGTGACAATGACAAAATTCTTGCATATAATATTATTTATAAAGATCCTCATCCCACAGATTAAAGCAAATTTCCTATATTATCTCAAATAATAAAATGGATTTTAGTTAAAAACATATAAAAAAGATATACATACTAGTAACTCATTAATTATTTAAATGATAAAGTACAATTTAGAGACACACCTTCAAGTTTATTGATGAATTAATAATTTTCAAGAACAATTTCAAAAAAAGAATAAAGTATTTGCTCTTTTAAAGAAAGCAAAATTGAAATCATAAATGAATCAGATTCAGAACGAAATAATCAATCTTAGTTTTTAGAAATAAAGCCTATTGTACCTTAGATAATAACATTAGATACAGTAGAAAATATGCATTCAGTTCATAGACAATTAAAAAATAGACCTTAGTCATCAGTTTAAAGAATAATAAAAGATGATTAAAAAGATTTGATGATTCGTTTATAAAGAATTAGGCCAAATTCTGCTGTAGGGTTTAGTGGAAAAGAATATATTTCAAGAAACATAAAATAGGAATTGAGCAATAGAAGGATAATTAAATCATCAGTAGAACCTTAAATCACAACCAATACTTTCAGAAATAATTTTATGAAAAAACAATAATTTAAAGAGGTTTCTGTGGACTTAAAAGAAGCAAAATAAATCAAAAATGAACATGTGATAAGAGTTTATAATTTAGAATATTAAAATGAATAATAAATAGTTTCAAAAAGAATCCATAAACCTTTTTAGAAAATTCTTCAAAATCCAAATACACCAAAATGTTTGAATCAAAAAGAAAAGGTTTTCTTTGATGAAATTTAAGATTGGAAATCAAAAATGCAATAACATATGAAATAATAATAAAAAGTTAAAAAATCAGAACCTGTTTTGAAATTAATATCGTAAGATTGAATTGTAATTTATTAAGAACAAAATTTAATCAAATTTTTTATTTTATATTTAAGATTTATGATTTCTACTAATTTAATCAATTTTTTCTTGCTCTAAAGGTGTAATGAATTTCATTTAAAATTTTTCAATTATAAAAAAGAAATAAAATCTTTTGTTTATTGGATTTGAAAAATAAAATCAAAATGAAGAAATGAAGAAATGAGCATAAAAATATGTTCACATGATTTATAATTTGTAATTAAATTATCAATTACTCTCAAATAAGTCTGTTTCTAACTCCATCACTAATTCAGTAGGAAGAAAATCTATTTCTTCTCCTACTTCATCTTGTATAGATTTATAAATTGGAGGTAAATTTTCTAAAAAATAATAGCCGTTTGCTTTATCCATTTTTAGAATTAGTCTCATAATTAATTTCTTATTTTCAACAAAAAGTGGTTCAAAACTAACAACTTCTTTAGAATCAATTAGCTATGCAATTTAGTATGTTAATTGTCCATATTTTTCTTTAAATTTTTATCCATCTTCATCACATTAATCAGTAACTTCAAGCATGTATTTCAAATTTTCACCTTCTAAATAGTATTATAAACTTAAAGGCATCTCACCATATTATTTAATTAGATCTAATTTATTCAATACAGCTAAGTATGGTAATGATAAATTTGCAGATACAGTAACACTAACAAGACTTGCAGAAATAAATGTATTCACTTAATAACAATTTAAACAATCAAATAATTACACTGCAACTAATGATATTTATAATGTTTAATTGTTTTTATTTGTCAATAACTATATAAGATTATAAATAGAATCATTTGCTAAATACAATTCAATCTATCCTATTTTAACATTAATTAATACCTGGAAAATCAAAAATTAAATAATAGTCTTTATACTTTATTAATTTATCAAAAAGCCAACTAATATTATCCAACAAAAATTAGAAGCAATATAACAAAGCTGCGTTAGGCCTTAAATATTATTGGAATATACCCTAATTTAAATTCTTTCATCACATCCTCAACAGTAATAAGCTCTAAAATATTAATGCATAGATAATCTTCATATAAATCTTCATTAGCTGGATCCATATTAATTATGATAGATTTTCTTTATATTTATTACATCATTTAAGACAATCCTTTACAAAGAGTTGATTTGCCAACACCACTTGGACCAATTATTATGCTGCCATAATAATAAGGAATCATAAAATAAATTAATTTACTAAATTATAGTTCAAATTTTAGAAACTCAAATAATATTCATTTTATTTTTGCATGATTAAGTTTCAAATGAGTTCATCACAATAAGAATAATATGGGTCAAGTATTTTTTAGGAAAATTAATCCTCTTTTAATTCAATAGATTATTATTTGATTTTCTTATCAAATTCATCTTCTAATTCATTATATGTTTCATTTCTTGGGTAATATTAAAATTTAAAATCCAATTTTTCAAATTGTGGAAATTTATATAATTTAATTCTGTTTAAGCAACCTTATTCAAATAAGACAAGTAAATTATTCCCCCACTTTGATATTGGAATAATGGTTTTACACTTTTTTTCTTAAAAAGTATTACCAATACATTATCTATCTCCATCTTAATCAACGAATTAAAACTAACTACCTAACTTGCCTCTAGTCATAGCCACTTTAAATATTAAATAAAATTAGTTACTGTAAATAAATATCTGATCTCCATAAAATCCAGGTTATTTGTAAAATGGAAGGGAAAAAAAGCAACCATCCTAAATTTTTTCAATATTAAGTGATAATGTATGTCTATGCTTAATTTAATCATGAAAAATAAAATAGATACTCAATTAATTTGTTTCAAAAATACATATCAATTACTATTAATGATCATACCTTAACTTTGATTTATTGTTAAATTTTTATTAGAAGCTCAAATATGGACTTAAATTGTTAAATAACTAAATTGAATCTTAAAAAAGAATTAATAAATTGTAATTCTTTTAAAAATGGATTTTTTCAAATGTAATTGGATCAAGAGTATCAACGGACATAATTGAGTTTTATAAATGAGTTTAGGTGAGAATCAAATAATCTTTATCCATAAAATCAAATTTTATTAAATTGATTATTTCCATTTTCTTCTAAAATATTATGTCATCTTGTAATGAATATATCAAAATCTCTTTTTCTGAGAAAACAGCTATTTCCTCTGACTTTCTTCCAAAAGTAATGTTAACTACCTATATTGGTAACTCAAGATAATAAATTGGAAGCAGTGTATTTAAGGCAAATATATACATTTTATTTGATGAATCAATCATGGCAATAAAACTATCTTTATTCTAATTTAGTAATACATTTCATAAAAATCAACATTTATTATTTTACATTTATCCTTTTTTGTTAGCTGAAAAGGCTCTGACATTATTTATGGTATAAATTACTTCATAAAATTACAAAATAAATAATTAAATTACTTTTTAGGATATCTCAATTATTGATTAATTTGAACAGATCAATTATTAGTAAGGAATAAAATGAATTAACTTTAATTTTTAATTTCATAATCATGTAAAGTTTTCAAAATTTTCTGGTATACTATCTATTCCTCCAAGCCCTAGTTGATTCATTACATCAGCCATTGTAGATTCTATTTCTCCTAATAATTGATGAATTTCAGAGTCACCCATACATTCTAAAAATTGAATTAATATTTTACCAGGTTTTTATAGATTTTTAATTTGATCTTCTTCTTCGACCTTAAACTTTTAGTATATAAAATCCTATACAATCATATTTATTGCATTTGGTATATACTCTTTAAGTTCATGCTTATTCTAAGAATCAAAAAGATGATTTATACCATCATTTAATTTACTATATATTGGAATGGTTCTGGTTACTGCTTTAATATTTTTATGCTATATCTAATTATTTCCTTAACTTATTAAACTGATAAATCTTTGTTTGATATAATTTTTTCTTTGATTTTTTATTTAACAGAGGCTTACAGCATATACAATTATTGAAAAAACCCTTTTTCCATCAAAGCAAGCATACTCTCTTCAAATATTTCTTTTGATACTCCCAATCTTTATAGTAGTTCTGCTTATGATTTCTCTAATAACTCTTCGGTGTCTTCATTATACTTCAAAATGTATTATTTATATTAATTAAGTTGTTAATTAGATTTATAATTCCTTCTTTATTTTCTATTTGCCAATGTTATTCGAATATATTCATCTCCCGCAACCTCTATAGTATATTATAAAATATCAACAATTGTTTATGGTTCTAAACAATTAGTATTGGGTATATAATTCACCCTTATCAAATTAGAGATACTTTCAAATGCATTCATTGCAGCTGTAAATCTTGTTTACATTGTGTCCTTTTCTAAATCAAAAAACTTAGATTTTTTATCGTTTTTATTTTAATTTTCATACATGGTATTAGATGTATTTAAAGGACCTTAATATTCTTAATCTTCCATAATGCTTTTATTTTATTATTTTCTATAGTATACTAATCCAGAGCTATATTTATTTTACAATTAGATTACCTAATAATAAAACCTGAAGTGATTAAACTTATAACAATCAATTTGTGTTGTTTATAATAGGAGAAAAAAGCACCCATAAATAGACTTTAATTATTATTTTATTATTTGGATAAGCTATTAATTAAATAATATTAATTTAATAAAATGGGACTTTGGGCATGGACACTAAATTAAATGTTAACACCGAAGTTTTGGACTTTAGTGAAAAGAGAAGGTACTCACTACATAAATAATTAGGGTTTTGGTAAACATACATAAGAATGCACAGAGCATAATCTAGATCTAGTCATTATGCTGGAGGATAGAATGGGCCAATATAATGCATTGGACAAGATTAATTTGGAAATAAATATTATGAGGATTTTGATGTCACACGTAAGCAATTTATAGAAGTTGATAGATCGTAATCAAAGAAGGTGGGTTGAATATAATGACTACTTTAATCCATGGCACACTCTTGGGGATAGAGTACCTCCTGTTTGGCATGGTTGGATGGCTCATGTATATGATGAAGCCCCAACTAGAACTGGTCATTCATATTTTGTTCAGCCCTTCTATTAATAACCAGCTACAGACAATTAATCTCATACTCCAAATCACTACTTTCCATAAGGAGCTATGTAAAATTTGAATAGATTGGAATTCATGTACTATAATATAAATATTGTATCTGTTTAGCAAGTATCACAGAAATAGAAGAGCAGCTCCATTTGAACCTGGATAAATCTCAGGATTTTAAGGAAAAAAATTAGTTGTTGAAAAATAAACATATTCAGAAGATGTAATGGTTAGTAGAGAATGATTATTTAAAAGAATATTACGAAGTAATTAATTTTACAAATTATTTTAAAATATTAATTTATGGATTAATAAGAAGAATAACAAATTAGCAGTGTGACTTTTAAAGATCTTGGTGTTTGTGAAGAGTTGTGCTTAGCATGTGAGAAGTTAGGATATAAAACACCTACTCCGATTCAATAATAATCATTACCGTATACCTTAACAAAAGTAATTCAATATCAAACTTTTAGAAAGACATAATTGGTTTGGCAGAGACAGGGTCTGGTAAAACCTTAGCATTTGGACTTCCAATATTGTAGCATCTATTAGCAAATCCATAGCCTTACTATGCTTTAATATTATCTCCTACTAGAGAGCTATGTGTTTAAATTTAAGAACATTTCCAAGCAATTGGAGCTTCTATAGCATTAAAATCTGTAGTTATTTTGGGGGGAATGGATCCTCTAGCTTAAGCTAAAGCTTTAGCATAAAAACCACATGTTATTATTGGTACACCAGGAAAGATTCTTTATCATCTAGAAAATACAAAAGGATTCAATTTAAAGCAATTAAAATTTTTAGTTTTAGATGAAGCTGATAAATTGTTAAATATGGATTTTGAAAGAGAAATTAATGCTATTCTAGATATCATCCCAAAAGAAAGAAATACTTATTTATTTTCAGCCACAATGACAAATAAGGTTAGTAAATTATAAAGGGCCTCTCTTAAAGATCCAGTCAAAATTGAAGTTTCTACAAAATATTAGACTGTTTCTACTCTCTAACAAAATTACTTATTCATACCTGATAAATACAAAGAAACCTATTTAGTTTACGTACTGAATGAATTAGCAGGAAATACCTCAATTGTATTTGTAGCAACATGTTAAATGGCAATCAAGATAACTTTACTACTAAGAAATCTTGGATTTTAAGCTATTGCAATACATGGATAAATGAGTTAAGCCAAAAGATTATCATCATTTAATAAATTCAAATCAAAGGAATCTAATTTATTAATTGCTACAGATGTTGCAAGTAGAGGTCTTGATATTCCTTTTGTTGATTTGGTAATTAATTTTGATATTCCACAAAATGCAAAAGAATATGTTCACAGAGTTGGTAGAACTGCAAGAGCTGGAAAATCTGGAAAAGCTATTAGTCTTGTAACTTAATATGATGTTGAAATGTTTCAGAAGATAGAATAATTAATCGAAAAAGAATTACCTCTCTATCCTTTAGAGGAAACTGATGTGATGATATTTTATGAAAGAGTTTAGGAGGCTAATGTATTTAAATTCTTATAATTTTATAGAGAATAGCAACTTAAGAATTAAAAGATTTATTGGAAAAAAAGGTGAAGAAGACAGCAGTTGATGAAGATGATTTGGATGATAAAAAGATCAAATAAATCAATAAAAAAATATAAAAGGATTCCAAATAAAAAAAGGCTGGTTTCAAAAAAAGATTTAAATTAGATGTTTGATTAATAATTTGCTTATTATTTTGCCAACTTATTTAAATTGATTTAATTTATACTTATAATTTTATTCTTCAAATCTGTAAACAGATGGAAAGCAAAATATAAAATATAGAAGCTGAATCAGTATCAGAAAATAGCTTTTTCTTCTGAGATAGGATTATCCAAATCTGTGTTTTAAATTTACGATTTTTAATTTTTGTTGGACTTTGGCGGGATTCTTGATCTAAATGAAATGAAGAATCGAATTTTGATTAGAGATTTAAATAAATTTAATTAAATGTGTCAAGAAAGTAAAATTATTAACCTTTAAACTAAAACATAATAATTTTTCTCTAATTTTCAAAAATATTAATTACTTCATCTAAAAATTACTCTCATTTCATTTAAAAAATGCTCAGTCTAAAATATCTTTGTGTAATTTTTGTAATTTAGAATTTTTTTAAATTAAAAGCTTAATCTACAAGATCGAAAATTTTACTAAAATTAAAAAAATCTCTATTCTTTTTTATGCTAGTTTCTACCCCTTCTTTAATTGTTGTATTTTGATAATTCTCTAATATTTTTTCATTTATTTTTTTTAATTTTTTCAGCAAAAATTACATTTAAATATACAAACAAAGTTCTTAATGAGAAAAGAATTATCAAAAATTATTTCTTCGATTTAAAAGAACTAGAAATAAAAAATTGATCACAGAGGGATTCGAACCCTCGCCCTTGCGGACTGCAGCCTGAATGCAGCGCCTTAGACCACTCGGCCATATGATCGCATATTAAGTAATTATTCAAATAGATGATTATAAATTATATCACTTCCTTATTCTAATTTTTTGCATTATCTTGTCTGATTCGGATGGATCCCATTTTCTTAATATTAATTTCATAATATGTAATGGTAACCAACTGATTGTTACTAAAATTAAAACGTTTATGATGAATTTTTAATCGATATCCGCTAAATTTATATAACTCTATAAAAAAATAATTGATCCTGCATAAACTACTAAAGTAAACATTTCAGCAATAAACATTACAAATCTAAAGTTGTTCACTTCTGTAAAAACATTTAATAATTCAGCTACTATTAAACTACTAAATGTTACTGTAACTAAATCTAGAAATGTATTTTTAAAGACAGCAAAACTATATACCATAATAACAGCAGCTAAATGTTATATAAATTATTACCTTAATAAATAGATTTAAATAACCAAAGTAAAAAGGTCTTAACTGTTAATTCTCTACCTTTTAGTAAGGCTTTATATAATTCGGTATATTCCAGAGCTTTTTCTTTAGTTACATCTTAATCAAAAATTAAACAAAATACAGGAAACATAGTATAAACAGTGGCATATCCTAACATCAACCAACCATTATAAATAGGAATAGCAACAAAATAGAATACAATGGAAAATATAGTTTATATTGATGCAATAACTAATCCTCTATGCATAACAAATTAAGCCATTACAGAGGTTCTCTTATAAGCCAATCTACCATGCCATAATAATAAAACAGCTAAATGCTTAAACTTTAATATGGAAAAATCACTAGCGAGTGCTGCTTATTTTCCTTCTTTGCCAACTATTCCGACACCAACATCAGCAGCTTAAATCATAGCAACATCATTCCCACCATCTCCAATAGACAGAACTGTCTTTTAAGTATGCTCTTTTATCAATTCAGTAACTTAAGCCTTTTAGGTTGGTGAACATCTGCAACAGACTACAGCAGGAGCATTACAAGCAACATGGAAAAATGCTGTATGTTGAAATTCAAGAGCAACTTTTAAAGATTATCCATCTATAACAAGTACGCTATTATTTTTTAGAGCAAATTAATTTAGCTCATTTTGGAGGATTAAAGAGTCTTCAATATCCTTAATTACAAACATTTCCTAAGTAGGGCTTTTCAATCCAGTTGAGATTGCTATACATTAAGCTGTTTCTACTTTATCTCCAGTTAGCATCCATATTTGTATTCCTGCATTTTTTAATGATTCCAATGTTGCATAAATATCTTCCTAAAGCATATCTTCAACACCTGTTAATCCCAACAATTCCATATCATTCTCATAAAAGTCCAGTACTTTTGAACAACGAGCCTCTCTATCTTCCATTTAATTTTTTGCTTTTTCATATTCTGTTGTAAAATTTCTTAAATCATCCTCGGTCAAGTATTTTTAAGTTATCACCAAAGTTCTTAATCCCTCTCTACTTAAACTTTCACATTCATCCATCAAGAATCCTCTCTAAACTTCTGGAACTTTTTGTTTCATCACTGAATCTGCTCCTTTTAAATAAAAAATAGCACCTTTTTATCCCTACATTTGTAAAATAATACCCATTCTTTTTCTTTCTGATGTAAAGGGAAATTCATATAATATTTTATATGATTCTGGTGTTCCACCAGCATTTTAAATGTTTATTTCAGATAACTATCTATTGACTAATTTGAATCCAACATCTTCTGCAAAATTAACTAACGCAATTTCATCTGGGCTACTTGCTTAAAAGGTTCTTTATCCTTCTTCTTCTACTGGCGTAACATTATGACATAATGATAATGCTGAAATCAAGTCCCTGACAATTTAATCTTTATTTCTTTTGAAAGGTTTTATTTTTTTTCCTCCTGATTCTTGATATTTCTTTAAAACATCTTCCATAGGATATTTACTATTAGCACAATGTTTTTTAATCATCTTCCTTAACAAACCTAATGTTTCAACTGAGAAAGACATTCTCTCCAAAGATAGTTTTTTAAAAATCATTGTATTTTAAGTTAGCGTACCTGTTTTATCAGTTAAAACATAAGAAATTCTTCCTAATTCTTCTGGTATTGTACTATTTCTAGCAATTGATCCTTCAATATCTTTATCATTTGATATGCAATAAGAAAAATATAATTTGGAAAAGTCTAAATTAACTCTTAAAGATATTGGTATGATTGAACTTAGCAATAAGACATGTCTAAATAATTGAAGCAACCATTCATTTTAAAATCCACTACTTAATACAATAGTGAATGCAGTACATACTAGCAACACACACAATAATTTTGCCAATTAATTTAATTCATCATCTAATCTTCCCATCTTGGTTCTAGGTTCTCTTGAATTTAAAGCAGATCTACATTCTTTTCCAGTATAAACCACCACAGCCTATATCTTCCCTGAGGCCAAGAATGTATTACACCAAAGAGTATTGTCCAATGATAATGCTTCTCTCTAGCCTTCTCCACCACCAACCTCTAACTTAAATAAACCTTTAAAATCGTATATATCTAATTTAGGGGGTTCACAAGTTATTGAGGCATTAAGAGTTGTTAGATTTTTATTTTAACCATAATTTTAAGTATGTCTTATAGCTTTTCTTAACTTCCAGTCTGTTTCTCCGTCTAATTAATCTGTCCTTATGAAAACTGTTCCTGTAACATCATTTGTGTGGAGCAGAATTAAATCGGCTGGTATTCTTTAATTTGCATGAACTTCAATAATGTCTCCAACTTTTAGTTGCCAACTCTAAAGTTATATTGTTTTATCTTTTCCAATTTAAGTGTATTCTTGTGAATTAGCCTCTTTATCTCTTTTATACCTTTAAAAATCATCATATGCTTCTTTAAGTAATGTTAGGATCAATACGAATGCTAATGGAGCAACATAACTAAATAAAAAACCTACTTTTAGCAAAGGTATGAATTATGACAGTGTTATCAATAAAAAGATTAGATTAAAAAAGTATTTAAACTATTGATAGAGCACCATCGGAACAAATGACAAAATATTGTACTTTTGATTCTTTACTATGTTTGGCATATTATTTTAAGGATATACCTTACCATCCAAATAAATTATTCTTTATTCAACTTCTTTATCAGGTGGCTTAAGTAAATCATTAAACTAATTCTTAATTTTTTCGAAAAACCCTTATGTTTGGATTTGGGGTTCCTATGGTTCAATTAATTATTGTTTAAGGGGTTCCTGTCCATTATTGTCAAATCGCCAGCCTTAAACAGCTTTTTGATTGGTTCCAGCTAATTCAAACTCCATCAAGAAATTGAAATTGATTTTTATATTAATAAGAACTAGTTATTACTATGTTTAACACTTCTTCTGGTTAAAGAATTAGATATGTTAAGGAAGCATCAGGAGCAAAGTCAACTACATAAAGTTTTAAATATAAATCTAAAGAGTGTGATTTATCAGCAAATGATAGCACATCATCAGCACATCTTAAACCTTTAATTCAAGTGTACGATCTAATCAATAGTAATTAGCAAATAATCTTATAATTAACATTTTGCAACAGCCTTACCTTTGCGTAAATTAGCTAGTCCATAAAAGTAAGCCCCAGTAGATGGAAGAATTGTTGAGAGAACATACTCATCAGTTAGAACAAGTAATTATGTAAAGCGTTCATCTGTTGCTCCAGAAAAAAGAGTAGAAAATAAAAGTGTTATTTATGAGAAAAGATCAATAAAAATGCCTATATGTCCTCCACCATCTACAAATGTTATTGAAGAGAAGCTTGAAGATGATTAAATATAAGGTCAAGGTAGTGAGATGCAAAGTCAGAAAAGAAGGAAGAGCATCACATTTTTTGAATTAACAGCTAATACTAATTAATAACAAGATAATGAGGAAATTGTAGAGATGATGTCGAAATATTCAGAAAAAGAATTAGTAAACTTAAATTTAAATTTAGAAACAAGTATAAAATATAAGAGTAATTATTAATGGATAATTTGATGAAAGAGAAATTCATGTAGATATTAGCTCAATTCCTTATGAATGGAAATTAGAATAAATTGCTTAATAATTAAATGAAATCTATAAATAGTAATTTAATTAGAGTCTTCGCAATCCTGCTATTTCAGTACTCATAGGAAAGATCTAGACAAAAAAGTTAAGCAAAGATATGAAAAAATATGAACTTGTTTTAATGTCTTTAAAAGGATAACTTAAAGAATCTTTGATAGTGTTAGAAGATAGTTATTGAAAATATAGTAATGCTTTAAATTAATAATTCAAACTTTAATTAATGATCCTTTTATTCACATATATTCGATAGATCTAATTATAGAAGGAATATCTATTTCTTTATTCAACCTTAAAATTGAGCCATTCTAATTTTCAATAAGTTGCATCCAATATGGACACAATGTTATTAATTAATCAATATAAGCTTTTATTTAATTTTCATCTAAAATAAAATGTTTTAAACTATTAAAACTGTATTTAACAACATTTATTAAAAACATATTTGATACATCTCTAATATGATAATATTAATGAATTAATTAGGATAGAGCAATTAATTATTATTTTGGTGTTTTACAATCATTAAGTACAATCTCTGGTTTCTTTTTTGATTTCAATTTTTCTATTAAATTTTAACTCAATTTAGAATATATTGGCTCTTTATAGATTTCACTTTGAATTTCATTTTCATAAGTTTATTATTAGATTTCCTTTTTTAAAGAATTATTCATTTCAAATTAATCTTTTAAAATTTATTAAAATGGATTTTTGGGCAAAATGGCTAAACCAATATATTCTCCATTTTTCTAAATATATTTAAACATTAATTATTGGAAATAAGTTAAACGATCTACCAACTAAACATGAGATTTAATATTTGCCTTTATCATTAAATCACTCTGATCTTCTCTTATTAATTTTTCATTCAAAGACCAATTAACATCATAAGCATTTGGAAAGATTTCCAATATTTATTGAATGATTTATTAAGTAATTTTTATTTTAGAATTATGGCTCAATAATTCATAAATTGTATTAAAGAAAGGCGGTTTTTGTTAGTTTTGAAGAAATAAAAGAATTTCATCAATTTCTTTGAAAAAGTGACATAAATTGGAATATTTACTATGCATTAGCATTTTATCGATAGAAGTAATCAAATGAAGATTAGAGAATCGTTCCCTCAATGATACCTTAGCCAAAATTGAAGACACACTTTCTAATTTTAAAGGTGTTTTTTTCTTTTCATTTGATTTCTTCTATTATAGGTTTTCAAAATAGTCAATTCCATTAAAAGTTGAGGAATCCTCATTTAATTATTATACATTGTCGATTGAATTAAATGTACTCTAAATTTTTACTCTTCTTTTTGGTTCATATGTGTCATCTGGTTCTTTGTAGTTATTGTGTAATTTTGCCATTTTAATTACTATATAGGATATGAACATTTACTTTATTGTGGTCTTTTTGTTTCTTTTTAGTAGTTAGTTTCCATCTGAAATAATTGTTAAATATATTCAATTAAAATAAAATGTTCAAGTATTTTAACAAGGAGAAGGAAAAGAAAAAATCTTTGATTATACAAAATGTAATGTCAGTTGAAGAATTTTTCAATCGAGGGGAATATGAAATTTCAAGTGATATTTGGAAAATGAACACTACTCAATTAGAAGAAACAATAAATAAGTAAGAGAAATTCATAAAGCATCTATAAACATTATATTAATAAGTATAACTCATACGTTATCTTAGTAATTAGAGTTTATAGAAAATGATAAAACAAAATAAGAGGATAATCTTAGGAAATTAAAAAATCATATGGAAGAACTTGAAATAAAAAATGGTATATAGTATTAACTAATTAGAAAGTAATGTTTAATAGAAAGAATTGATAGAGGAAAAATATAAAGAAATTTATTTGAAATTTTAACCAAAGGAAAATAAGAATTTCTCAACATAAACAGAAGGAAATGATTAACTTGAAGAAGAAGTTAACAGACTTAGAAATTAATGTGAAAAAATGTGTGAAGAAATTTAAAGATTTTAGGAGGAGAATGATGATCTATCAGTGGCATTGGAAGCTGAAAAGAAACATAAAAGTTCACTTTAAAATTAAAATAATTAAAAAATATAATAGTTGGAATTGAATATATAATAATTACAACAAGAACACAATAAAGAACTTGAAATATTGTAAATTACGTTAGCTAATAATTTTTCGGTTGATGTCAATTCCAAAACTAAAGAATTAGAGAGTAAAGTATTGTAAGAGAAAATTAAATGTGATTAAAAATAAAAAGATTGTTAAAGATTAGAAGAGGAGATTAAAGAATTAAAATTACATTTAGAACAATAAACAACAAAATATGAATAAAGAGAAGGTAAATTAAAATTATTAGAATAGAAGAGAACAAGAGATAAAAATACAATTTAGAAATTATAATGTGATTTTTAATAAAGTAAATAACATTTATCAGAATAAAATATTAAATTAATAAATGAAATTAGTAAAGCTAATAATGAAATTTATGAATTAAAATAAAAATTAGAAAAATAATAGATTTAATAAAAAGAAGTTGTTGATTAATTCGAGATTTAAGAAAAATAGCTTAAAATTTAGTAATTAGAATTAATTATTTATGAATAACAAAATACAATAAACATGTTGGAAAAGTATGTATATTTTATATATATAGAAAAATTGATTAAGTAGAATCTTAATCAATTATTAAGATATCAGAATTGGAGAAAATTATAGAATAATTGAATATAAAAAGAGAATATGCTAAAAAAGAAATTACAGAATTATCTCAAAAATTATAGAATGTGCATTAAGATTTAAATACAAGTTCATCTAGTAGACATCAAGCTAAATCATCAAATATTGGACATAATAAATAAAAGTTTTTATTATTTCCAACACTTAAATAAATGTTAAATGATGTTAGAAAAAAAGAAGATAATAGCTATAAATTATATATGTAAGCTATTATGACAGAATTCAAAAACCAAAAAGAAATAATTGCCTTGGAAAGTGCTTTAAATGATGTTTCAAGAATGACTTAAGATATTATAGATCTTTTAGAAGAAATGGGATTAATTTGACTGAGATGTTCTTTTGGAATTTTTGTTATTAATTATATTTATATTATGCATTTAATATTATTGGATTCTATAAATAATATATTTTTCATTTAATTAAACTCATTAGATTCTTTACCTTCTCAATTTCAGTAAACAATTCATTAAATTATGCTAATGTTAATTCAAAATGAGTAGTTTCTTCAATCATGTTTTTATCAATTGTTTTGATTTTGAGCTATAAGAAACAATCACTATAGTTTTCTTTAGAACTGTTTGCAGTAGCAACTACAATAATATAATGAATAAACTTGAAAATCTCCATTCCACATCTAACATCTTCTTATTGGCAATGAATTCTTATACGCTCATAAATATTGTAATTAATTATAATTAATATTATGTAAGTATTAAGATTTGATTAGTTAGTTAACAGAAGTCCATAAATCGAAGAGCTTTGCAAATGTATGATTTGTTTGGAAATATTCATTGATCCAATGTGTTGTGAAAGTTGTGAAAATCATTTTTGTTAAACCTGTTTAACAACTTGGAGTTAGAACCAATCAGCACGAAGTTGTCCTGTTTGCAATAAACTTAAAGAAAAATAAGGTTAACGTATTTTAAAGAATATGCTTAATGATCTTGATGTTTATTGTTGTTATAAATAAAATGGATGTCTAGGAATTTTGAAATATTCTGAGTACTTCTTTCACATTAAATCATGTCAATTCAAATAAGTAAAATGTGAATATGAAGGATGCAATTTGGATATTCTTTTAAAAGATAAGAATCAACATGATAATATTTGTCCTTTTAAACTTTTATAATGTAAATGGTGTTCATAGGAGATATTAAGAAAACAACTAGAACAACATGAATTAAATGAATGTTTATAAAGAAAAGTTCAATGTGGTAAATGCTCATCTGAAGTTCCAATTCTAATTATGAAAAATCATATAGATACATGTCCAGAAAATATTGTAACAATAATATTTATTATCTTTTATAGTATAAATGTTAATTATGTTTATCTGATATAAAGTTAAAAGATCTAGAATTACATGATAAAAATGAATGTCCTTAAGTTATTATCAAATGTTCAGGATGTTAAGAACAACTTAAAAGAATTTTAATGATATAACACAAGTAAACATGCTTATTAGTAGAAATTGAATGTGAGAATTGTTAATAATAGATATAAAGGAAAGATTTAAAGGATCATACAATTTCAAAATGTTTTAAAACTCTTAAATAAATTATCTCAGATTAGTAAAGGTAAATTAAAGGTTTATATACATTCTGTGAAGAACTTTCATAATAAGTTAATTTATTATCTTAATTGTAATAATAAATTAAATTTTCTAAATATTTAAAACATAAGGATATAGATGTTATTAATAATGGTAAAATTGTGCAATTAAATTTAAATGAAAATAAAAAATTTGACAGATTTATTGCTATTAAAAATTCAAAAAATAAACCTATTGAAATTGAATTTCTTTATATCTCAGATTTTAATGTCTCTGTTGGAATTACATAAAGATAAAATATTTTTAATCCAAAGGATTTTTCAAAATTTAATCATTAATCTTATTTATTTTGTGCAAATGGCATAGTATATATTGATGACAATAAAGAGGAGAACGGGAAAAAAAAAAATTTTGGTTTCGTTATTGGCCAAAAATTAGAATTGCTTTACAACGACCAATTCGTAAGCATAAAAAATTGCACTACTTAGTAATATCTTAAATATAATATTTCTTTTTAATACTTTGATAAAGATGATATTGAACTTTATCCTGTTCTTTGTTTAAGAAATAATTTTGATAAAGCTCGTATTTTAAATTGACATTTATCAATATATATCTAAGATAATAACATATAAACTCATAATTATTAATCTTCATCATCATCCTCTTCCTAAAACTCCATTTAATTATATTTATTGATATTTATATTTTAATCTTTTTAACCAGATGTCAATACTCTTTTTAATATTACATAACCTATTAAAATCACAAAAACCAAAAATGCAATTATTATTAAATATAAAAGGATGTCATTCCAATTAAAAGATATTGGACATTAAGTTTCAATAGGTCCTAAATCTAAACTTTTTTAATTATATAATAATTTACCCTCCTACACATTATGTTAATTTTATGTATCCTTATGTTTTGAAAAATGTTTTTCCTGGTTCACAATAATCAGAAATATTTACAATAGGTAAACAATCTCCACCTTCTAATTAACTAGTATAGCCTTAGGCACATATCCAATCTTCTCTTTTACAAGGACAAGGTTCTATTATTTTTTTGGTTATCATCTATTTTGGATTAAAACATTCTGAATTTTCTTTTTTCCTATAGTATTTCGTTTAAGATCCATCAATACATTTAGAATTCCAAATATCATAATCTAAATTTGATTTACATTCTCTTGAAAATATATCACTAAAATCTAATTTTAAAATTATGCCTTCCCCTTTATCTGTTTTACCATAGATAAGAAAATATCTAACTGTTCCAGATGCTTCAGTAACTAAATTTTATGCCATGAATAAATCATCATAAATGATTTTTGTTTTCCATGTCTTCCCATAATCAATAGAATAAATAATTTCATTAGTGGGTTCATAATCTTTTGCCATAACAATAACTCCTCCAAAATCTGATATTTCAAAGACATGAGATCCTTTTCTTACTTCAATCCAATTCTATCCACCATCTGCTGACATATATGTATTTTATTCTTATGTTATAAATAATCCAACATTTCCAACACCTAAAACAATTCCTGGTGCTTAATCTACTGTATAAATAGTTTATCTATATGATTCAGTTCTTCCAACAAAATGCAAAGAACATTCTCCTCCACATTCAATAATGTTCCCTTCTGAATCATATTTAGGAGCCTTAATTGATTCCCATTTCTTTCCTCCATTAAAACTTATTACTGTTGATTTATCTTCTTAATCTCTTTAATCATATGTATTAGCAACATAAGTTGAAGTTAAACCTAAAAGTTTTTCAAAATCACAATTTCCATCTTAAGTTGATCTAACATTATTTGTTAATACAATTTAAAAATCTTATCCTATTTAATTACTAATATAAACATTAGTTATTGATTATTCTTATTAATAATGGGAAACAGATAAGTATATTCTACCATTTTCAGTATCTAAGACAGTATAAGAATACTCTTTTAAAATTTATAATGGCAACTCTACTAATTTCTCTTAAAATTCTTCTAATTTAGAATGTCCATAATGTAATTCATATCCTCCATTACTTGAAGAGGTTAAAACAAAAAGATATTTAGAAGTTTAATAGTAACCTTAAGCACCAATCATTAAAGTATGATAATTAGCAAAATCATCAGAGTAGATCAATTATGTTTGATTTTCATATGAAAATAATACAATAGATCTTTCATCTGGAACTGTAATGTCTTCTATGATTTTATCCCATGCTGCTTCTCTACAATTCTTAAATGATGGTAACCAAGTCTTTGCTCCATCTTCAGAATAAAACAATTAATTATTATATGGTTCTTTACAATCCATATCAAAATTATCACATTATTATTTTTTAAATGCTAGCATCCATTTCCAACTCATTTTATTTAATCTAAATCCATAAAATCCATCAGTATCAATTTCTTCAAAATTTTCACCACAATCATTTGTTCTATAGCTTTTCTAACCATTTTGACCAAATAAAAATATGACACGTGAATCTGCAGGAGAAATCTAAATATCTTCAAATAAACCCTCAATTTAATTCCAAACAGTTCCATTACTTTAATATACATGGTGAGCTTCTGTAATAAAAAATATTGTCTTTTCTTCTTCCAAACCTTAAAATTAAGGTATGGTTTCATCTTCTCTAGTATATATAATAGAAGCTCCACACCATGATATTTATGTAATAGGTCTTTCTACAATTATTGCCCAAGTGAAGACAAGTAAAAAAGGTAATAAACGAATTTCAAACATAATCGTGTTTAATTTTAATAATTATAATTCAACAACATTGTGAACTTTTTTTATTTGTATTTCCAATTACCTAAGTTGATGTAATCTATCCTATTTTCATATTTTAGCCTGATTCTGCTTTTATAGAATTTTAACTTTTTTCTAGAACATTTTTTGCAATTGTCAAAAAGGATTATTCAATATTGGTTGACAATTTAGCAGATGTTTCTATAAATTGTAATTTCAATTGTTTAGCTTAAATTAATAATATAATGTACCTAAAGCTTCACCTTCTTCATATGATACAGCCCTTTTGTCTTCTACATCACACTTGTTTCCAACTAGCATTCTTATCACATCTTCTTAAGCATACCTATGTTAATTTAATAAGTATACTTATCAATTTCAGACATCCACATTTTTACAGAGTCAAATGATTCTCTATCTGTTATATCATAAACAATAATTATTCCATGTGCTCCACTATTTTCAACATATTCTTTACCGATAATAACTACATGTGATTGTTCTGAATCTGTCTTAACCTGCTGTATCCCACTAAGAATATGAAATATATTTTTACAATCTATAACTTTATATTTTTATTCTCTAAGAATATTGATTTGATTTTCTACTTGTTAAAATAATAAATTACAAAATCTACTCCTATTGTGTTATAAAAATTATTAGTAAAATTATTATCGACATATCTCATCAACATGCAAGATTTTCCAACTCCACTAGTACCAATAAGTAATAGTTTAAATAAGTGATCACTAATATTAGTAAATAATTATACTATTCAGTGCTTTCTTTATTTTGCATTTCTTTAGGTTTATTCAGAAAATTTAATTTTTAAAAAATAATACAATTATAATTAATAATATTCCTTATTTTAATATTTATGTTGTTTTAATACTGTTCTTTCACCATTTTATCATCTCTCTCTTCAAATAGTTAAATAATCCAAAAGGAATTAATTATTTAAAATTCTAATTTAAATTAAAATATTTACTTCATAGTTTTCTTCTCTGATTCTGAAAATCTCTTCAATTACTGTAAGCAACATAAAGAAATCTCCAAGAATTTCTGGTTATTTTTATAATTCTTTAGATTGCAACATAAAGAAGATAGTTGATTTTATGTAAAATCTATATATTTTATTATAATCTCTACCCTAAATATGAAACAAATAGAGATGAATGTAATTAATTAAACTGATTTAAAAATCCAACGATTCCCATTAATAAACAATTTGGTTCATATTATAATTAGTTATCTTTTGCTTTCTTCACAAGACAATTTAATTTTTAATCAAAATCCATTAATGGCAATTAATGCAAAATCACTAAAGCTAAAATTAATGGAGTATGTCTAAAAAATATTATATAAATTAATACTCAGGCATTTCACATAAAGCATATATTTTTCTAATTGGATCAGATAATCCAACATAATTAAATAATTTTGTTAGATCAAAGAGTAAATTATTTTCCATTTAAGTTTTTATATCTGATTCCATAGTGGAATCGTATTATCTATTTATAAAATCATTAATTATAGTATTATTTAAGGTTTCTAAACATAAGAATAATTTGGTTGAACCTACTTTCGCTTTCATTTATAAAACCAAACAAATAAGTTTTCTTAAATTTATAAATTATCCAATCTATTAGAGAGGATAGAGTATTTTAGAAATAAGAGGTCTAAATTATTTTGTCAATTATTTATAAACCTTATCATAGTTTTCATCATAATTTGTAAATAATCTAACTTGTTTAATTAAAGTATCAATAATATTTCTATTTTCTTGATTTAATTCAGTCTTTAATATTTTTACAATATCTTTAACTGTTTTTGATAAATGTTAACTAATAAGTAAATCAATTCCATTTAATCCACTAACACCTATACATTTTAATATTAATCCAATAGTTTTTAAATTCAATACATCTCTTCCATTACTATCATAAAAACCTAAAGTTGATTCTACAAATACTATTTCTTTAGGATTTGTAATTAATATGATTTAATTTAATAATCTTCCAATAAAATTAATAGCACCATATTATTTACTTTTTTCATCTGGCATTGGAATATCTTCATCATAACTTAATTCTTCATATTCTTTATTTCCAGTTATTAAACCTTTAAGTTCCATAGAAGTATAACATTCTATCAATCTATTAAACTCTTCAGTAAACATTTTTAATCCTTATGCATTAACAAAATCTTGAATTTGTTCCATGGCTAATTTGAAACCATTTATTTCCTCACCTAATTTTGATAATTTTGTTTGGAAATCTGAAACATCTTTTTTTGGGAATATTAATTAAGAATCAAGAATCTTATGAATTAAAGCCATTAATTCTTTTCTAATACCTTAATCAAGCATTTCTCTAGGATTTACTTCTATGGATCCTAACAAATATGGATCAACTGTTAAAATAGATTCTGTAAAGACAGAAATTGAATTAGTTAATTTAGCAATTTGAGTTCTATCTTCATATTAAGCATAATCTTTCAATTCTATTTTATTAATCCTTGAAGGAAGTGGTTTTAATACAGATGTAATTAATGTAATAATATCTTAAAGTACTTCGAAAACTTAAATAGGTATAATTTAAAGAACTTCCTTAACAAATTTGACTAGTTCTCCAGAATAGTATTTTGTAACACTATTTAAATCTGGACTTCCAGCTTAGATAATACGAATAGTAGGAGTATTTAAAATAGAAGATAACTTCTAGAAAGTAGTTTTTAGACTGAGAGCAGAATGTGGATTACTCTAAACTTTAGCTTACATCAAATCTTTATATCCTTTTAAACATTACCATGAATAACTGAAATCTGCAATATATGAAATATGTGAAGGTAGAGTACTTTTAATATGAACAATTTTGACCATATGTGTTAAATCTTTTCTGGTTTCATTCAAATAATGTTTAACTTATATAGATGTTGAAATTTATGGATATTATTCAATATCTTCTAATGCTTAAATTAATCTTTAAATTTTTCTTCCAGCATGAGTACTATCACTATAATTTAAAGATTATATTTAATTGCCCATTTCAGTAAACCATTGCATATAAGATTCATCAGCTTTAACTTTTCCCAAAGCTTTTCCACTAAAATAATCAGCTAATTCTTGCATTCTCTCAACACATTTTACTTTATCTTCATCCCAATATTATTGTTTATTATCAATAATTGCTTTAATTGCTTTCAATAAACGATTTTCAAATTTTGAACTCTATAAAAGTAACTACAAAACTTCCTATTTATCAATTTTATTGAATATATCTTTTGCTTTTGAAATACTTGTATTAGAATGAAGTAAAATCCATCTAATAGCTATATTACTTTCTCTAACACAATTCATTAAAGATGATATTTTATCTAAAACAAATTCTTATGTCATTTATCCTTCATAAAGGTACTCTTAAACTTTATTTATTTATTCTTTAAGTTTTGTTTGATAAAATGTTCCTAATTCTTAAATATAATCGAAATTAATTGTGTTTTTTATTGCTTCTCTAGCTGCAGGATATGAATTCCATTATTCAGATAAATCAACAAAGTAACCCAAATAAAATGATATCACCCATTAATCATAAAAATGCTTGTCTACAATTTCTCTCATTTTAGCCTAAATTCTTATAATTTTTTGATACCTTTTTATTATTTAAAATAGTTGGAGTAAAAAACAATAAAACATACAACATTGATCCTTATACTGATAAAGCAATTGATCTATGATCAGCTGATGGATAAATGCTAGTATATTTATAGATATCTTCATCTTTGATAGAATTAATAACTTCTGTTATCAATTTCTCTGGTAATTAAAATCTAGCCATATATTCTTCAGGATAAAAGGCAGGACGAGCCCCATTTTTTTAATACCCAGTTTCAGCACACAATTTTGTTACTTCATTAATGAACTCAATTGCTGTTTAACCTCCCTTATATCTATAATAAGAAATAATTAATTTTTCTCTAGCCTTTCCGGGAATTAAGATATCCATTAATAAAAGCATGCATCCATATAAATAAAATGATTCCGCAAATAATCTTTTTCCTTCTGGATCTTACAATACAGTCTCAACAGAATATTGCATAAAAACAGCTTCCTCTAACTCTTATATAAACGCCATCAAATCAGAATAATACAAATAAATGCTTTCAAATAATCTATAAAATCTTTCTACTAATGGTAAATACGATTTCTTAAAATTTTCATCCAATTCATTTATTTCCTACTTTAAATTATATCATACTTAGTTTCTTTAGATCTCATCTTCAAGAACATCAATGTTTTTTAAGTATTCAAAGTCAAATAATATTTTCTCATATTTTTTATATTCTTATGCTTTGCTAGTAATAATCTTGGGTATGTTTTCTGATAGTCTTTAAATTTCAGCTAAAATGGCACTTCCTCTTGCAACTAGAATCAAAAGACTTTGTCCACAAGCATTATCAGGTGATAAGAAATCCATTTATAAATAATTATATTTCTTATCTCATGTATGTATTACTTAAATTCATAACTAATTAATCTATGATTTTTATATATATTTAACTATATCATCATCTAAACTTTTACATTCTTCGAAGTAGTTTCATCTAAAAATGCCTATCTTTATTATTATTTTTATTTATTTTTTCTTTATTCTTAATATTATTGATTGTTATTTTATTTGGTATAATATTTTACTTTTACTTTTATCTTTGATCTTACTTTTTTGTTTTAGCTACAAAAACTATTCGATTATTACATAAGAAAGGAAAATCAGGTGGATTCTATTATTTTAGTATCTTAAACGTAAAGAACACATACAGATCCCACTTTATTCATAATTATTTTAAGAAATACTATTTTAATATATGAGTTATTAAAAAATAATAAGACCAGAATCATTTTTAAAAGAAAGGAAATAAGTAACTATTCCATCAGCAGAATATGTACTATAACTGTTGTTTAATTGAAGACAACAAAATTTACTAGATCAACTAGACCAGAAATATATAACTATTGCCATAAAACAGGAAAATAAAATTCTTACTCAAGCAAAGTGTTAAATAAGAATTATTAATTGTAAACTTAATAAATTCTGGATAATCTATTTTATTTGAAGGTTGAGGTTAGACTTAATAATAATGTACTCCTTGTGGTTAATCATTTTGTGGTCCATAATAATAAATAATAGTAGGATTAGTAGTAGTATCAAGAGATGAAATTGAAACACCTTAAGTTCTCTATTTATAATCACTCATTTAAGAATTAGAAAAGAAGAAATAAGTATAAATATTTAAGGAAATTGATAATACAAGAGTAAATGTTAAATTTTAATTTAATAGAAAACGAGAATGAAAGATTAAAATTTTTAATTGAGTAAACTCATATGAAGTAATAACATAAAGAATTACAGAAGTAAACAATGAAACTGAAGTTTGGAAGAGAAGGTTTCAAGAAATAAATCATGATTATAGTGAGACTTAAGAGAAATTAATGAATACTGAAATTGAACTAGAAGCTTTGAAAAATTAAAAGATATGTAAATAAGATATTTTAGAGATTATAACTACAAATAATACAGTAACTAAATTAATTGTAAAAAGTTCAGGTTCAACTGTCAGATAGTCGATGTCTAGTATTAAACTTAATGTTTGATTTCATTAAATCATTAATAAAAATATTAAATAAATAAGAATGTAAACACCAGAGCCATAGACAATGCACTATAAAATCAGAAGTAGAAGTCGTGATACTTCCAAACTAAAGTGATTTAAGCAATTTAAAAAGTAGATTGATGGCTAGATCAACTACCGATAGTAGTAGCAGTGGGAGTAGCAGCAGCTCTTCTTCTTCTAGTTCATCAAGTAGCAGTAGCTCATCAGGCAGTTCATCTAGTAGTGGATGCCATTTCCATTATGAAATCGGAGACAAAATTGACAAATATGTGATAACGAAATATTTATGTTCGGGCACATTCGGAATGGTTTTGGAAGTGATTGACGAAAAGGGAATCCCATATGCTGTGAAAGTTATTAGATTAATATTCAGATCTTGAGCGAAACTGATCATACAGAAGTGGATGTCTTAAGAAAAATCTAGTTACTTGACCCCTTCGGTGAGGCGGGTATTGTCAAATTCTATGATTACTTTACTTGGTAGGACTATCATTGTATTTTACTTGAAAGGGTAGCATATTCAACAATTTAAACAGCTTGACATAAATCTCCATGATTATATCCAATCACATTCACTCAATATAAAGGAAATCCAATCAATCTTTAAATAAGTTACTACTTCATTAATGTTTATGCATTCCCTTGGAATCACACATACCGATCTAAAGCCTGAAAACATTGTTTTTGCTAATCAACAAAAGTACCCAGATCAATTAAATGACTAAGAAATTTAGTTAAACTAATAGACATGGGAGGTGCCACTTAAGCCAATGAACATCATAGTACAGTCATCAATACTAGATAATACAGAGCACCTGAAGTGATCATGCGATGCGACACCTGGGATACCTCAAGTGACATTTGGAGTCTGGCTTGCCTTATTGTAGAATTATACACTGGTATATACAAAAAACAAACCTCAATATAGGAAGAGTTTTTATTAAAGTAGGCAATAACGATTTAATGCATTTGGCTATTATACAATCTATTTTTGGACCAATACCCTAGTACATGAAACAACGTTCCAAATTTAAAACCAGATTTAATTCTTTACCAAAAGCCTAGCCTTAAAAATAATTACATCAAATTATAGATGATCAAGATCTTCTTGATCTTCTTAATATGATGTTTTAAATAGATCATCATCATAGAATTAATTGCAAATAAATTCTAGAACATAAATTCTTTTAAAAACTATTTTCAAATTTTTGATTTTATATAATTTGTTTAATTAACTTCACTTAATTCTATAAATAATTATGGTGCGTATTAAATTTAAATTATAATATCATTCTCATAATTTTGGTTCAAATCTTTAACATTTTTAATCGAACATGTCTTATTCATGCAACAGTAATTTAAATTAATATTAAAAATACAACACTATTTAAATAACTCACTTATGTAAACTATCCAATATCATCCAATTACTCAACTCATTTTAAATGGGGATACTAGCCCTATTAATGGAGATGACTAATAATACGATCCTCCACAAAAACATTATTTTAATCACCACATTTAACTTGAAATCTCAAAAAATAAAATATAAAAAAGAAAAAAAAGTATTTAAGTGTTAACTGATGAACTTATTTTATGGAATAATTATCTACACCACAAATTTTAACATCCAGATTAATTACATCATTGAAATGGGATGACCTTATGAAATCAATCATTAATACTCATGTCTGTTGATAATATAAACTGTTTATGTTTAATTAAATAACTTAAAAATTATGTTTTCAATTAATAGAAAATGAGCTCGGTTTATAGAAATATTTGCCAGAAATTTTTCATATTAAATTTTTAAACTATAAGTTTTATTAACAAATTTTCAATTCAAAATAATTATTGTAAATATTGCTACTCAACTTTTACAATTAGTATATGAAATCTTCTATTATATTAGAAGATAGGAGATTGATTATATATTTAATATTTCCTACTCACTTCTTTATCCATTTCAATATTTTATTTATTTAATTTTATACTTAGTATTATTTTGGCTAGTAAATATATATCAGATGTAGTTTGATTATAATAGCCAGTTTCATATATTTTATAGACTACATATTGTAAATATTTTATTACAAAAATACATTTCATTATTAAGATATCAATCTTTAATCCCACTATATAAGAGAGAGTACTTCATGGTAATTAAAAATAACTAATTATTTTTAAATTTTTTATGGAAAAAATAACAAAATCTCCTTTAAGTTTTTTATAAAGTTTTGGGGATACTTAGCCATTAATAGAAGAAGAAGATATGATTCCAACTAAATTAAAGAATATTAGATTTAATCATAAGTATCCTTTTGGATGTGTCCCTTCTTTTGAAAAAAAATAATAAAATACCAAAAAAAAATGTGACTATGTAATTCTAACGGATTAGCTCCATGAATGGAATAATTTTCTACATTAAAAGTTTCAAAAAAGCTAGTAGAGTTGAAAATAATCATTCTATTAAATTTTATTTTCTTATTATTCACTTATGATTTTAAATCTTTATATGTCTATATATAAACTATAAATATTGATATTCATGAATAATAATTAATATGAATGATAAAGGATGAATTTGATATCATGTCAGTGAATTAATAAATTTTATAAGTTTTCACGATCATCATAGAATTAGGAAAGGATACTCTTTAATTGTGAATCCATTTACTAATTAAAGAAGATATTTATAAACAAGAATAACTAATCACAATTAAAAAATTTGTTAACAAATAATTAAAGCTATATTAAATCAATTATATAATTTATATATTCCTTAATAAAAAAAAGAACATCACTTAAGTGTATATCAAATAGTGAATAATATTTTAGTATGATTATTGATTACAGCCAATACCTTTAAACTATCTCTTTTTGTTGTTTAATTCTCATTTTGAATTTATCATAATTGTCTATGTTTAATCATAAATTCATTAATTGAACCTAAATTTATTAATAAAATTACGAAATCAAATAATATAATATTTAAAAATAGTTTTAGTTAAAATATGGTTGTCCTAAAGATATATTTGAGAATCTTTTGTCGAATTTTGTATTTTTAGAGTTTATTTAGATTATTAAAAAATTATTTGGAGGTTAAATAAAACAATAATTTTAATATTATTCTAGGGATAAAATTAACTTGAAATTAATTTTAGGAATAAAAGTGACTTGGTATTAATAATAAGTATAATTAAGATTATAGTGGTTATTTATTTGATGAATGGAAATATAATATTAAAGGAAAATTATCTAAAAATTATGTTTAAATAATATAAATAACAATTTTATGTTTAAATAAATAATATATATATAATTGCTCAATTCATTAATTTATAGCTCCTTATTTTTTAAAGATTTAGTAAATCTAAGGCCCAGCCTCATCTCTTAATCCAAAGTGACCTATATTTGAATTACTAAAGACTATCTCTTCATTTTCATTTTTTATTCTAGTTGTATATTTTCCCCAAACAAGATTATTACCTCCAATAATTTCATCATAATTGGCTCTACCTGTTACAACATATTTTCCTTCTTTTGCTGGATTAGAATCCAATTCTTCTAAGAATGTGGATCTTCCAACAAATGGTGGTTATCCTGGATAGAAACCATTAGTCATGCCACAAGTAGGTAAAGTTGAACCAGAAGTATAACAAGAACTTAACCCTTAATTTCCACCTGCTAACCCAACAAATATTTTGACTTTTGAAGTAAGAGGATCCCCTAGATCATATCTACCACTACCCAATTCATCGTGACCAGTTCCACCTTTGATGATTTTTCTGGCTAAAGTTACACCCATAGAATGAGAAATAATATTGACGTAAGGAGATTTTGTGTATTCTAAAACAGCCTCAACAAATGCTCTGTTGTATTTAAGATAGTTCTCAGAATGATAATTGAGACTTGCTGTAGTAGGGTCAGCATCTCCCCAAGTGGTAGCATATAAATCTTATTTCTCATATCCTTGACTTAAAAAATATTCAATCTGTGAGCTAAATCCTGTAATATAAATTCCATAGCTTCCATCTCCTACTGCCACATCGCTATTTCCATGAATAAATATAATTGGTATTTTTGATGGTTTTTAAGTAGGTCTAGTGTCTGCTCCTCTAGATTGATATATATTTCAATTACCCATAGCATCCAGAAAGGATATCAGGTCTATGGAAACCCCAAAGCCTGTAATTTTAATCAAGAAAGGCTTTAAAATCTTTAGAAAAACCTCTCTAAAATTTAGGCTATGAGGTTTGGTTCATATACCATACTATTGTTGAAATTAGAAGAAGGGACAAGAGTTTGTATTACATAATATGATGCAATAATAAATATTCTAATTTGATTATCAGTTATGATAAAGAAGAAAATTTCAAAATTTACTCCATTTGATAGAGTATTGGATGGATTAGAATAGGAAGAACTTATAGATGAAGATGTTAATATGAAAATAATAAAAGTGTATAATCGAAAGAAAAAATAATAATATGTTTCTGTTGGAAAGATTAATCTCGAATGAAAAAGAACATTTAAAATACATAGAAGAAATACATAAATATGAAATAATTAATTCTGATGGATTATTATGCATAGACAAATGGGTTTATATTAATTAATAATAACTAGACATATGACATGTTAATTGATTAAAATTTAAATAAATTATATAAATTTATTTTAGTGTTTGACACCTATTCATAGAATTTAAATTAATATCTAGAGAACATTTAAGTAATATATATTAAATAAATTTAGTCTAAGAAAATTCAATTACTAAAAGAAGATATTGTTGTATTCTTTAGGGCAATTATCTTGTCAATAAATTATTTGCAATAATAATAAATTATAGCTTTTAATCCTGTGACAATGTCTTGTATTTTGATTTGCTCAGATACATGTATGAAATTTAATTGTATTCCAATATTATTAACTTAACATGCCCAAGAAAAAGCTAAAAAGGAAAGTTTACTTTATTAAGCACCTGAATAAGTAAAGGATTATAAAAATATAAATTATATCTACTCTTAAGCAATATATTCTTTAGGACTTATATTTATATAGCTATTTTTATTAAGACATATAGATTAATTAAGGAAATATGAAGATATTAAATAAAGCATCAAAGAAATTTAAATGAAATATGGAGACACTTATAAATCTTATTTAGAAAGTATGGTTGAATAGGATCCAAATAAAAGAATTAAGATATAAGATTTATGCCAATTATTATCCATTTAGGAACCTCAAAAGTTAATTAAGGACAATTTAAAAATTACATTTTCAGAGACTTTTGAATATTACCGTAAATAATATTCTATATTGAATGTACCTGAACCTCGATCTATTGCATATGGAATTCCTTGGAGTAGAAATATTTTATAATCAAATTTATTTAATATGAAAAATTACTTTCTAGAATTATTAGATCTTTCTTAATCATAATAGATATCAGAATAGGCTGTGACTATAATATTTTAATAATTTAGAGTATTTGTTATAGGAGGAATGAATTGTCATTTAGTTTATGAATTAGATGATGACATACCAGCTTTAAAAGAGGTAACATCAATTCCATAAAGTAATACAAATAGATGGGGTTTTGGATATGTTATATGTAAATGAATTAGTATATATTAGAGAAAATAATTAATTGTTATATATTTGTTCTGGATATAGCGATTAACTATTGACAGCTAATACATTTTGTTATAATATTTAAACTTAAAAGTGGATGAAATTAAGTGATTGCTAAAAACCAGGAATAGGTTGTACATTAGTTTGTTATAATAATTCAAGTATTTTCAAATATGGTGGAATTGAAACTAATAATAAACCTCTTAATTGTGTAGAAGAATTTAAAAATAATGAATGGCAAATCATAAATTTTAAAAAACCACACTTTATATTACCAAACTTTAGTTTTGCATAATAGGTAAATCCAACATAGATTTTTATTGTTGGAGGATATTGTGATAAAGTGCCTAATACAAAGGTTATAGTAATGAATATTGATACATAAGCTCATCTTATAGATTCAAGAAAAGATTATACATATGTTGAATTTATAGTAAATGAATTTTTAGATTATGGAAAATATGGCCCAGTAGAAGCAATGCAAATAAGCAACAATTAGTTATTTTTGTTATAAAAACGAAATGAAAAGCAATAATATTTAACTTTATAAGATTAAGCTGAATTTGTAGAGTTACGAAAGATTCATATATGATTATTTTTTGTAATGTTTCTTTTATATAGAAATAATAAAAATTATTAAAAGATTCAATAATTTAAAGGAATGAAATTTTCCATGTTTATACTAAATTAATTTTATAACCAATATATAAATAGAATTTTTAGAATTTTTCATTTTCAAATATTATTTAATTGGATCTAAATTTAATTTAAATATAAAAATTATTTTTAATACATAAAATCAATCTAAATGCAAATCAGAATCATATTCAAATATTTCTATATTAGTTAAATTAGTAAAAAAAATAATTATTATAATTTTCTAATAAAAATAGTTGATAAAGATAATTGATTTCATTAAAAATTAACTATATGAATCATTTGTTCACTTGTAACAATAAATATTTAATTCTATTAATATAACCCAAATAAACAATTTTTATCTATTCTATAAGCTTAATTCATTTAACCATTTTCTGGATTCCATTAAACTATTAATCCACATTAAGTAAATCCAAATACAGAATTTGATGTTTTTATGAATCCAACCAATTTTAATTAACTAGCAAATGCTGTTTTCTCTTAATATTAAAATTAATTATCTTTATATAACATTTTTATAATAGCAACACCATTTTCAGTACATGGATACAGATAATTATCCATAATTTGTATTGATTTAATTGAAGTATTAACATTAAAATTAATTTAATTTAAGTATTCTAGTTTTTCAGTTCTCTTATATACTAACATGAAACCTTATGAAGTACCTACAATATATTTAATTTTACCTAAAAACAATAATTTTTCTTTTTCATCAAAATTTAAACAAGATATCCAAGCTGTTTACAATCTATTTTTTAAACTTCCTCCTCCAATCAATTCAAAGTTTAATCTATCCAAAATCTTAACTTAACTATCTGTAACAAGATAAATTTCTTGATTAAAATGATTAATTTTATATATTGGAGATGTTAAAACTTAAATAATATTTTTCTCTTTTATAGAATTTTCTATTATTTAGTATACAATTAATGTTCCTTAACATGTTCCTACTATTAACTTATCATTAACTAAATATAACAATTATAAAATTACTATTTTCAACACAAAATAGTTTAAAACTATAATATTTATCAAAGATTTTATGAAATGGAGTTACTTCTCCAATTATAAATACTATCATTTAACCCATAATTTCTGGTTCAATCAAATTCCAAATTTTACCAAATTTTTATAATTAACTTTAATTCTCTAAAGTAACAATTAATAATTAATTAACAATTATCATCTATGACACAGTAAGATTAGAATCTGATATTTTGAAACCCATTACAATATTTGGAATCTAATCTGTATATAAAAATAACATACTAAAGCTTTAATTTGTGAATAAACTTAAATTTATTAATTCAATCCTAATAAATTAATGGTCTCTAGATAACACAATTATTTACTTTTTATTTTGTAATTAGATCTCTTCTATATAATAGCTCACCAATTAAATTATTAATTGCAATAATTGTTTTTACTTTGTCTTTTACTGTTTATAGTAGATCAATTTAAGCTTTATCTAGACTTAATAACATAAATCCATGTTTTTAGATATGCAATACATAATCATAAAATTCTTTTATTGGCTTATTACCTTGAGATAATCATATTGATTACTTTCAAAACAATATTAACTAAAGGGTGTATATACAGTTAATTAGATTGAAGGTTATCCATTAATCAAAATTATTTCTTCAATTTAATCAAAAGCCAACGTGTCTAAACAAACTTAAATTTATGCAGACATATAAATAAATGAAATTAATATTAAGAATAATTAATTTCAAAATTATCAGATTCTAATATTTTTTTTGGAACTTAAATTACTTTCCTAAAATCAATCAATGTATTATAAATATATTTAATTTACTATTATTGAACAACTAAATATCTAATCATAATTTATATAATATAAAATATAATATTTTTCAATTATTTATTTAAAATATATGTTGAGATATAGAAATTAAATTGTTTAACTGATATCACCTAATAACAAAATAATAATAAATATTATTAGTTTTCTATAATATAAATTAGATTCAAAATAATTATTATGTAAAATCGAGGTCCTCATATCTTTCTTATCATTTTTGTTTGTTATCTCTATAATTTTTTTGTTAATGGTTTAACACTTCCATCTATCACATCTTTTGTAATAATATTATTAACAAAATCAATTACTTATATAGACTTTCTGAATTCTACTTTTTTCTGTTATTCATCTATATTTGTCAAATGCCTTTTGTGATTTGGAATTTAAAACTTAGTAGGAGAAGTTGGTATTGAATTGATTATTGGTAAATAGATATCTGATTTTGTAAGTGGTGAATTAGAATCAGATTAAGTTATTATTACTTTTCTACTGGTGAGAGATTGTTTTGGATTGGATGTTGGTTTAATAAATCGAATTTTTTGTTTCTCTTCTACAAAAGGTAGAAGTAATATGCCTTCATTTTCTAAAATTTCATTGACTTAAGTTACTGATCCAAAGTTTTCTATATTTCTTGTTGAATTCATCTTGACTTCTTTTTTTACTGTCATTAATTAAGACAATGAAGATATGTTAAATTCATTCAAAAACATTGAAGGTTTCATAGATTTGGTGTCTTTCTTGAATAATCGTCTTGAAGGAGATACTAACATAGATTTTATTATTATTTAATGATTTGTCATAAACTAAATCATTAAATAATGAAGAAATAAGATCAGTATTATTAATAGTATTATTAGAATTTTTGAATCGATATTTATTTTAAACAAACAATATTGTAATCAATTTTATTAATTATTACATTAAGATATTAATCATATTAATGAATTCACTTATTATTAAAACTTTTATCATCACTTTCTCACTTTTGAGATCCTAAAAAATACTATATATACTAAAGTTATTCACTAGCTTTGTATTTATATAATATAATTTATGTTTATATTACATTAAAATCTTTATTTTCATTTTTCAAATAATGGCTGAATAAACTTAAGACAAACAATTCAAAGGTGTCAAGAAGTTTACCTATAGAGGATTATAACTTGAAGAGCTTGTCAAATTGCCAATGGATAAGTTGGTTGAATAATTCAGAGCAAGATAAAGAAGAAGAATTTCTAATTAAGGTGAAAAAGTACATGCCTTCTAAAATTTAATGAAGAAAGTAAATAAGTGTTATAAATTATCATTAGATTCGTAAATCAAAGAAAGAAACCTTACCAGGAGAAAAACCAAAACCAGTCAAGACTCATTAAAGAAATACTATTGTAGTCCCAGAGATGGTTGGATCAATTGTGGGAGTATATAATGGCAGATAATTTAGCAATGTTGAAATTAAGTTTGATATGATAGGCAGGTATACATTAATGCAATACTATAATCATAGATATTTGGGTGAATTTTCTTTAACCTATAAGCCAACAAGACATGGAAAGCCAGGAGTTGGTGCTACCAAAGGATCCTAACATACAGATTGATATAATATTATATAAGTACAATAAATAATGCAGACTTATTAATCATTTTTACTATTAATAATAATGTTTTGAGTAGTAATTTTAATAAAAAAGAATATCGAATAAATTTACAATATTATATAATAAGTACAATATTTTAAAGGAATATTATATCATTAAACTTCTATGAATTCAATGATATACTTAAATACAATAATAATAATTATAATAAAAATTAGGAATATGAATGGACTAATTCTACTCCTTTAATGATCTAAATACTAGATTTTATCAGTCATTTTCAGTTGATATCATATAATCAATATTAATTTCTATTAATTCAAGTTCATAATTATTAAACTCATTTCTTTTGATTATTTTTATTTACAACTAATCATGAATTAGTATTAATTTATAAATTAGATTGATTCTTGATGTGTATTTTAATTTTAAATTAACTCAGATATAGTTAAATGAAAAATTAGAGATAAAGACAGAATTTTGGATATTACCTATTTTATATATATATATATTCATTTCATAATTAATTTTATTTTTTTTCAACGAGAAATTTCATCCCTTTTTAAATTAAAAATAGATGAACTTCCAGTTTAAGTTGACTATTACTAAATTCTAATAGAGATATTTCTTTGTTCAAAATTAACTGGTGTTCCAGCAATACTACTTGAATTACTGTTAATTTATAAATATTCTTTCTTTAATTTTTTTTTCCTAATATATATGTATATAAAAAATATTATTATAATTACCAAAATGAAAGCAAGAACCTTCAATATATATATTATTTATTTTGAAGTAATTATAGGATATTTATAAGAAACTGTATAATTTGATATGTAAAGACACAATTCACCTTCTTTTTTTTATTTTAATTTAGAGCATTATGTAGAATTTTAATAATATGTGAATTAAATAGGACTTAATTCTTAGTTGTATTAGCAAATAATCTTTTAAGGAGTCATATAAAATTTAGAAATGAAATAGGTATTTTTAGTAATACCTATTAATGATTGATTTTAAGATTCTGTTTAACTTAGAAGATAGATTTGTTGTAATCCAGGAATAATAATTTATTACTATATTTAATAATCTGCATTTGGCAGAGAATGATAAATAATTTGATGTCCATAATTTCCAATTAAGATTGCATAATCCTCTGTAAATTTGATATCCTTAATAATATTTTATATTTGATATTGATTAGATAGAGTCCATTTATTGCTTATTTTTGACTAATGTAATTCATTAATAATAGATTCATCATTATTTTCTTCAACAATCATTAAAATATGTTTATATAATCCAATTTTATATCCTTTCATAGGTATATCATCATATGATGAAACTTCATTAAATAATTGTAAATTAAAATCATAAATACAAACTTTTACACCATACCATCTATGCAAAAAGAATATCTAAAATTCATCATCTTCTTACTTAACTTTGAAGTCAATTATATTTGTTGTGATATTATTATTATAAATTTTTTCAAAATCTTATTTTTTAAAAGAATATATTGTAAATTAATTCTATCGTACTATGAATAAGTAATCATCAACAAACTCTATATTTTAAGTATTTAAGATTTTTTCATCAATTTGATTAGTATACTGACCAAATATATTGGATTGATTTTTATTTAATTATACATATATCAATTAATTATTAAGTATAATCATTATTTTATGAGTAGTTGATAAATAAAACATATAAACAGTATCTATTATTAATTGACTTTAATCATTGAATATAGAATAATCTGATTCAATTTTGAATATGTTATTATTATTTTCATATATATAAGTAAGAATTCCATTACTTAATAAAATTATAGATCCATTATTTATTGGAACCATTGATACAATATAATAATAATTACCCTATAATTTTAAGGAACCATCAATATAAAATTAATTGAAAACGCATTCATTAATTTATGGTACTAAAAGTATTTAGTTTTCAATTAGATTATTTATTCTTTATTTGATTATTTGACATAGGTGTAAATTTTATGATCCATAAGTAATATTAGCATCTAAAATAACACCAAATTCTTCAAATGTATCAATAGTTTGTTATTCATCTATATAAACATATATCTCTTTAGCCGTTGAAAAGATCTCTAATAAAATGTAAATTATGAATGTTATCATAAAAATTGATATAAATATAAATAATATAAATTATTTATCATATGTCATCATCCTAAAGTATTACATTCTATTATTAATGCAACATCATTAATTTATCAACAATATTCTCAGCTAAAACATTCCAATCTTTCCATAATAAATTCACAAGTTGTATTATATCATAAGCTATAGCTCCTATTACAATTCCAATCCACACTCCTTTTAGTCCAATCTCAGCAGTATAACATAATAAATATCCAATTATTTCTCCCATCACTAAATAACATAAAATAAATGTAATAGAAGCACTTGCTTCTCTTCCTATAGCTCTTACTAATCCTGAAATTATAGCTTATAAACCTTTTATTAATATAATTCATATTACCATCTAAAATAATGAATGCTACTAATAGATACATAGAATTATAAATTTACTCTACAACAATTTTATCTTCACTTAAATAATCAATTACAGTCTTTCCAAATATTGAGAATAATCCTAAAATTATTAATAAAAAGATTCCATCAATCAAAAATGTAGCTTTTGTATATTTTTTAGCCATATCCACTTTCTTTCTTCCCATTTCATTTCCCACAAATGTAGTAGATGCTATAGAAATGCCATAACTAAATTGATATAAAAATCCTGCAAAATTAGACATTAATACATGAGCACTTATTGTTGAAGTGTTTAAATAACTAACTAAAATTACATAAAAATCAAAGCTTATCCACTCTAACCATAATATAGAACCTATTGGTATTGCTTCTTTCAAAAATTTGATTGTGTTTTTTAAGTAAATCAATTTAAATTTATATAAAGTAGCCTAACTGCATTTAGTTACAAAAATAAACGAAAATAAGATTATGTTATTCAATAGATCCAAACTTGTTAAACTTAATGCACAACCTACTATTCCCAACTCTAATCTAACTATCAATAAGTAGCTTATGCCAACAAATAGAATGCATGTCACAAGTTAAGTGTAGAATTGATATTTGTAAATGTTTTAACCATTTAAAAATACTTTTGTATTCACAAAAATTGCATTCAAGTAAACTGCTAAAATCATATATCTATTGAAATTTCCTGTTTCTTCTGCTAATTCTGTATTGCTAAAGTAAACCTGCACTTGTACTTATTGATAAAAGATATTATTTATGTTGAAAAAATCAAGAATAGTGAAATAGGAATCATAAACAATGTGCACAAAAACAATGATCTATAATATAGCTTTGCACATAATTCATAATGATTTGCTCCATAAGCTTAAGATACTAAGGTTTCCAATCCCGTAGCTAAACCATTTAAAATTCCCATTCCAAATGCTTGAGTTGTAAGAATTCCTAATCCCAAAGCTCCCACTAATACAGAGTCTTCTTTGAATTCTAGCAAATAAATTGAAATAGTATTCGGTAGATATTCTAGAAGAAAGCTCATAGCAGTTTGAAGAGATGCAATCGTTAACTCTTTCATAACTGAACCCTGTTGATAGAGTGGACGAATTAATTAAAGTTCACTCATTTAAAATTAATGAAAATAATTCTTTAACAAATTAAATATAAAACTTATCAATCAATCTTGGTTGACTATAATAATTAACTATAATGTTTATAAAGATATTTAATAAAAATTATAGAACCATTTATGAATGCTAAGCTCATTAGAAAAATTATATATTTAAATAATAATTCTATCCTTATGAATTCAGAAGAAATTTATGATTAAAAATTGTTAAAATTAAATAAATTCTTCTTATTCCAATAACCAAATATGGTAAGAGTTAAATTAATTGGAAATCATATACTCATTAATTCAACTTGATTAATTAGACTTATATTTTGAAATGGGTGAATAAATATTAAGAAAATAATTTAAGTTTTATACTTTAGGAAACTATAGTTTTATTAAAATTAGGATTATATATTTTATAATTATTCGTTTTACAAATGAAAGTACTTTGGCTCTTGATTGTCACCCTTATAGTGGCAAATACACAATAAGTATTTTTGGGATAAATCTTTAAAGGACTCTTGCTATGAAATTGATCCAATGGATCCACCTAGAAAAAAAGAAAAAATTCCTTTAATTTATCATTCAGGATGGACTGAAGAATTGGTTGTTGCAAAACCTAAAGGCAACAGACCTTAACCTTAAGAGTATATGAATTAAGAATATATCGATTAACATTTAAAGTATTTCAGATATGGGGCATCATTCATCATAACAACTGCTTGGTTAGATAATAATGGTAGAGAATTTGTAGGAAATAAAAATGGTATATTTGTTATTCCCAAATCATAAATGGATTAACTTCTTAAAACAGCAAATGGCAATTTATCAATTGTTGAAAGAAATCTTGGAGTCACTCCAGGAGGTTGGTAATATAGAAGATTGAGTCGAATTGATGTTCCTTTCCCTGAAAAGTTTAATGTTAGAATGCCAACTGGAAATGAAGTTGGTGCTAATTAATATTGGAGACCTGGTGGAATATTACCTAATGGATTATTGGAGGCAGTAATTGATATGGTTCCAAAAAGTGATTATTAGGAATTCTAATTGAACCTATAATGAAATGGCAACTGTAATATATTTAAAATTTTCAAATGCAATTAAATTAAAGTCCTATTCCATAGGAGAAACTAAGTTTTCTTAATACTCTCTTAGACAAGGAACTTGATATGCTTAAATACAATAATGTCCCAAGTTATCTTCAAAAAACATAGCCTTCATCTTATTTTGAATAGGAATCAATTTAGTAATCTAGTATAAGAGCATTAAGTAATAATCCTACATCATAAACTAAACGAACTACTAATGGGGATTTAAAAGAAATCTAAGATAAGATTGTTACTATTGAGGCAAGAATTCAAAAAAATATTGATAAGCAAATTCAACCTAATCATTAATTATAACAATAAGAGATTAAGGATTCAGATGAGGAAACACCTTTAAAGAATAAATACAATCATATTTAATCATCACATAAAAAATAAATTAAATTTACAGAGTAAGAACATTCAACTAAAACACTTAATAAATAGTCTTTTCATGAGGAAAGAAAGAATAAATTTTAATAATTAGAAAAGAATATTGAAAGTGCAGAGAATAAATTATCTCAATCAAAAGCACAAAGAAAATCTTCAAGTTAAGCTAAATCTAAAAGTAAAGAAAAATCTTAGAATTCTTTATAAAGAGGTATTAGCAGTTAATAATAAGATGTTTAATAATTATAAATTAAAGTATCATAATTAAGAAAATAATGGGAAGATGATAGAACTCAATTAATTAAAGAAAAGCAAAAGAATTAATAAATGCAATAGTAAATAGATTAATTAAACAAAAAATTGAAGAAAGCCTTATAATAAAATGAAAAATATAGTTAAATTGAATAAGAATAATAAAGATTATAGGAAAATTTTGAGAAAAGTGAATTTATTAGATAATAGTAAAAATAATTAATATAAACTTTGAAATAAGAAATTGAAGAATTAAAATCAAATAATAATAATAATAATAATAATAATAATAATAATAATACTAAAAGTAAATAAAAAAAAAGAGGATTGGAAGATAATAGTAATAAATACTTAAATAAATGAATATTATTATTATAATTAAGATTATTATTAGTTAAAAATAACAAAACTATTATTTAAATTAACATTTATATTCCTAAATTTTTATCATCTCAAAATATGAGTAATTTTGATTTTCTTTAATTTTATCATTATTTATAATATCATTATAACAGTAAAAAACCATTTAAATATTAAATTATAATTCTTAATAAATTTTTGTGATACTAATCAAATAATCTGACTAAAATAACAATTAAATTAATCTTATATAAATAATTAATGTGAAAGAAATCTAATAAATTTAATTTTTGAATATTGTTATATTAATTTAATGTTAATAATAATAATCTTTATACAATTATATAATAATAGAATAAATATTGATTTTGATGATGATTCAAATGTAAAAATCATTAATTAATTTATTTTAAATAAGTTAATAACTAATAAATTATATTAATATTTAAATAATAGATTTCAGCACTTACAACCTTATTCTTATTCTATTTTTTATGCATCTAATGTTCTTAATCTAGTATCATTTTCAGGCGGCTGAGCAATTGTTCTTTTCTAATCCACCAAATTTAAGATAATTTTGCCCAAATCTAAAAATAATTAATTGACATTATCTCCAGTTTTAGCAGATGTTTCTAAATAATTGACACCTAAATCTTATGCAAATTCATTTCCATTTTTACCAAGAATCTAAAATAAATGCTTTAATAATTTACCACTCTTTTACTTACTAAATCAACTTTATTTGCTATTAAATAGCATGCTTCAGGAATCAACCCATGTTCTTCAATCACTAATTTTATAAACTTTTTGGCATCCTCGAATGATCTATTAAATATTAAGTATTTAATAAGTACCTTTCATTTGTAACATCATATACAGCAATACAACCATGAGCCCCTTTATAGTGAGATTAAGTTAAAGCTTAAAATCGCTCTTATCCAGCTGTGTCCCAGATCTACATTTTAATACTAATAGGTATGTATATTTAGTTACGTTTTATCATGTATGGATAAGGTTTTGATTCTGAAGTCAACTCCAACTGTGGAAAGGTAACTATCATTAAAAACTTAATCTATGAATCTGGCCATAAGGGAAGATTTGCCAACATTCTAGGGTCCTATTAGTACAATCTTAAAGATGTAATCTACTTTTTACATTTGTATATATTAATTAATATAAATTTCATAATTTAGTATGTGAATCTATGTATATTTTTAACTAATGTGCAGGATCAACATCGACATATTTGCAGTGTTCATTTCGACAATAATGACAATTATACATTTTATTGGCAAGAGATTATACTGCACAAACATGACAGACATAATTAGAACAACAAGTTGTATGAAGCATACCTAGAATAAAATAAGATTTTACAGTCATAATATTTAAAACAGATTGGACAATAATATTTACAATTTCCTTTTAAAGTATCAGAAAACTAAGATTCAATTAAATAAATAATGAATACATTTGTTTTATTGAATTCTGTAATTATTTTAAGATTCTTATCAAAGTATAGTCCATCTTAACAAATTAAATTTAACTAATGAAGATTTCCTAATGAAGCATGTTTCCGATCCTTTTTCTTTTTTCCGCAACAAACAAACATCTAACGATAATTTTAATTTAAATTAGTATTTTTATAAAAATAAAATCATTGTAGATAACGAGTGATGATTTCCTCTATGTCTGCTACTTTTAATGGTTTTTCATAATAATCTACAAATCCATTATTTAATGCTTATTATTTCATATGTAATCCATGTCCACTTACTGCAATAAGTACAGGCATAGTAGCCATGGTATCATTAACATATTATTTAATCATTTTTGCAGTACCAAATCCATCAATAATTGGCATTTCAATATCTAAAAGAATAACTCTATAAAATATATGATTTCTAATTCTTTCATCTATAATTTTCAAGGCATGTTAACAATTAATTGCATAATCAATTCTATTAATACCTTTTGAATTAAATAATTTAATCAATATATCAATGTTAAATTGATTATCATCAATAATTAATAATTCTCTCTATCGAAAGGCTTAATTAGAATAAATACGTTGGACTCTAGGTTAAGCTTCAATATCCACTTAATCTTCTTCTTCATTATTGCTCTCATTATCACAAATAATGACAGTATCATAAACAGTTTCATGATCTATTTCAAAAGAAAAAGAACTGCCTTTATATAATTCTGACTCAATTTTGATACCAGATTCTTTAGTTGAAAGAGATTTACATATCATATTACTTATTAATAATCCTAATCCAACACCAGATCGATTAAATTATTTAGTTTCATCATCATCTAATCTACCAAATGCTTTAATTAATTTTTTCTTATCTTCTTCTCTTATACCAAAACCAGTATCAGATATTTTAATTTCTAAAGTTCCATCTTTTTAATCTATAACACTTACTGTTATACTACCTTCAATAGTAAATTTGAATGCATTTCCAATTAAATTAATCAATACTTATTTTATTCTTACATCATCATTACATATTTATTTTGGAGCATCTTAATCATATTCTAATTTCAAAGCAATTTAATTTCTTTTAGCTTCTACTCTAAATAAATCAAATAATTATAATATTAATTATTCTAAATTAAATTTGATTTTATGTAATTTAAATTTACCAACTTTGATTTATGCTAGATCAAGTAAATCATGACTGAAATTTAATAAATAATAACAATTCCATAAAACATTCTTAATTGTATCATTTTTTAATTCAATTTCTTCTAATAATTAAATAATACATTTAATAGGAGTTCTAATTTCATGAGAAACAAAATTTAATGAATTAGATTTTGCTTTACTATGTTAATTAATCGATTTAATATAATCTTTATATGAGACATCTCTTGTTAATATAAGTAATTATGGTTAATCATTGAGATATGATAAAAATAGTTTAATTTCAATACAGACATCTTTTTTTGATTATGATGTTGTATATCCATTCAATATTGTATGTAAATCAAAACCAATCTGTGTTTTTGTTAATAGGGATTAAACTTCTTATGAATGGATTTATAGAATAGCCTATTCTAGGGCCATTTTGAAAGGCTATTTTTATTGATAAGTTTACATTTTTGGAAAATCTTAATTTTGTATTTATGAATTACTCATTCTTAGGATTCTAAACTGTTGTTGAGGCTCTATAGATAGATCTAACTATTCCAATTTTATTCTTTTCAGGGGAATACATACTTTTATATGTAGATATTGAAGTAGCAAGATCTTACGTTTATTGGTTCTTTTTCATGATATGTAAATTCTTAAGTGACATTAAAGAACTCAATAAATCTTATTGAGTTGTGTGTAATAAATTCATCATTGTTTGATTACAGAAATCAACTTGAGGCAATCTATTTTCATCAAATATTATTAAAGCGACTCCATCAGGAAATTCATCTAAGATTTATAGAAATTGATCTAATAATAAATAGATATTATTTACATTTAGCACTTGTTCTATGTCCAGCTTAATTGTCACTATAAGCTATTGATTGAAGATGTATTTTATCTGATTTATCTGTTTTATCCAGTTCATTCTCCTCCCTTAGTTTTTTATTTGAGAGTTAGGTAGGTGAATATTAAAATTTAGGTTACTCTAATTTGATATCAACAGCTATAGTAAGGAAGGACAAACAAATTAGTACAATTTAAAATACTTATCCATGCATAATCATCCCTAAAATGATAACATAGGATAGTTTTAATAATAGAAATTTTGATGGTTTCATTTATATTAGTTATAGAGTTACTATTAAGGTACTACAAATATCATTCAAAATAATTCCCATTGGCACTGTCAATAATACTTAAGATATTTCAGTAATAATTTCTTCATACTTTTTCCATTTTAATACTACCATCTACATTATGACTCCCAATATACTCAATATTAGTTGATAATGGATGGGATTTTTACTTAAGTATGCTATCAAAATTAATGATTATGCAATCCCACTAATTTGTTTAATATTCATATTATTAATGAGTAAACATGACTCTGAGGAACAGGAAGGTATTAATTAGCATTTATTATTCCCAAATAGATTTTTCAGAAGATGAAGATTTTGTAGAAGAAAAGCCACTTGAACCAAGACCATATAAAACAGATCATGAAGATGAAACAATTTAGGTAAATTGACAATTATATTTGATCAATTAAGGAAATCCAATCTTTTACAGTTAAAGATAGACCACTTATCAAGATGTAATTTATTAAAAAGAGAAAAGAGTTTGGGTAAGTCTCTACATTATATACATTTAGTTTGACATTCAAATTTAGTGATTAAGAGACATCTGAAAGAACAGGTGAGATCAAGGCTCTTGATAAGGATCCACTTCAACTTGCTAAAAATAAAGTCATTGAGATGGGCATATAAGGATGTAATCCTTTTCAAGATGCCAGTTCTTAGACTGTCTGGAATAGAAAAATTAATAAAGCTTTATAAGTTGATGAAGGAGATGAGAGATAGGAATAGCCAGATGAAGACTATAAATTACTTAAATTCTTAGAGACAGTTTATCCATTAATGGAGGAAGCATTGTAATCAAATGAAACCATTGATATATATTAAGATGATTTCAATGTTTTGCCACTCTCAGAACAAAATGGAGGTATCATATATTCCATTATGTAATTTTAGATTAAAATGCTGAACTTACTAATGTTATCAAAGAAATCAAAAGTTTCAGTTACTTAAATTGTAAAGGTAAAAAAATATAATGCATCTAATTCCAACCTACAAGTTAAGCAATCAAATCTAAGTATATTGTTGCAGAATCTTTTGTTGAAAACTTACTCTTTGAAGAAAGAGCTATATATCAATTGAAATCTCATAAATCACTTATAGTATTCTGGGATTTTGAAGATATTCATTCTATAGAACCAGTGCTTCTTTTGTAATCTCCTCTTGAAATACTTTCTTTTGAGTTCAATCCCAAAGATCCTAATATCATTGTTGGTGGTGCTGTCAATGGTTAAGTTATGTTATGGGATCTCAGTGGCACAGCACTATCTGTTTTTGCATCCAAAAAAACTTAAAAAACTAAATAAGAACGAAGTATATAATAGAATTCTCACTATTTTAAGATGAAATTCAAGAACTTCAACCTAAAATGGTATCTGCTTTATAAGATCCAGCATCATATTAGGCTGGATCATCTAATGAAGTTTTGAGAAAATAAGTTGCATCTCACAAGAATTTTGTTTTGGCTGTGAAATGGTTTCCAATAGGAATGGAATTTGATAAGAAACATTTTAATCATCTAATACTTACTTCCTCTTAAGAAACATATTAATTTGCTAGTATTAGTTCAGATGGACAAATTCTCTTTTGGGACACTAGATTGATTGACAAAGATAGTAAAAAGACATAATAAGATGTATTTAATCATTTTATTATCAATTAGATATCAACTATCCCTTGGAAGGCTACTTATGGAATATAATTGTATAGACCAGAAGGAGGAGGTATGATGGGTGGAGGATAAATTTAATTCAGGAAAAGTAATATTTTTAATTTAATAAAAATAGATTAAAAAGTACCAATTTTATCAGGTACATCAGATGAAGGTGAAGTTTTTATATTAGATTGGGGAGAAAAATAAGGGGAAGAAGGATAAAAAAATTAATTAGTGTCTTCAATTTGGTAATAATAAAGAAGTATGAGACCACCTATTGCTTTGGATGTAAGTCCATTTTTTGAAGATGTTATACTAACAATATATGATTTCAATTTTTGTGTTTGGAAACACAATGTTACTTTTCCAATATTTGAAAGTCTTATTATGAAAGGAGCCCATATAACTTGTGGTGGATTTTCTCCTTATCGTGCTGGTGTTATTATTGTAGGAAAGACTGATGGTAATTTAGATGTTTGGGATATGTTGGATTAATCTCATAAATGGACTATTTAATTCTAAGTAGTTGCATGTGCTATAACATCATTAAAATTTAATGATAATATGGCTCATATTGTTGCTGTTGGTGATTCAGATGGTACATTACATTTACTAGAATTTCCATAAAGTTTGTGTAAAGATTAAGGAAATGAAGTTAAGGCTATGAGATTATTTTGGGAAAGAGAAGTCAAAAGAGTAAATTATTATTCAGAAAGATTTAAAATCAGAGAATAATAAGCTAAATAATAAAATGAAAAAGATATTTAGGCATAACCTGCTAAAGAAACAAAACAATCTGGTGATGTAAAATTATATTTATTATCAATTAGACTAAAATATTAGATGAAATATCCAACTTTGAAAATGAATATTAAAAATTCAAAGACGCTTTATTAGGTATTGGTCCAAAACCTGAGGATGAGAAAGGTGCTGCCAAAGGTAAGAAATGAACAAAAGTTACATTCAAAATTTATAATTGTCAAATTGTTATATTTTTTTCTTTTTCTTTTTTGAATGATTACAAGATCGAGATTTCATTTAAGTTTGACTTGAATTTGTATTACGAGCAAAATGAACTGATTTACTTTCACAATTTCTCATATTAGTTTTCTTTAATATGCTTTTTAAAGATTTATTATCATCAAATTCAATATTTTATTTCTCAATTACTTTAAATTATTTATTAAACTCTTGGAATTAGTTATTTGAACTTGAAGAATTTGATAAATTTTTAGGTAAGTTAGGATCTGTCATACGAAATTTTTGTTTATTTATAGATTCATTTTATTAACACTTCTAAGCATTATTGAACATCTAAATACATTCCTAAAAGTTATATTATTTATTTATTCTCTTTAGACTTCCATGTATACTTTAAATTAAAGTTATTTCTTAATTTACTTCACTTATTTATAATGAATCCTCAAAAATTTTATCACTTAATTAATCAATTTCCATCTTTTTATTAAATTTCATTCTTTCAAAGATTGTAGCTTTAGATATTTGATTCAATTCTAACAGTTTTAAATGTACACTCTCATGTTTTTTATACATATCACTTTCTACTGAATCTTATTTTGTGTTATTACATTATGCACATGTTCCCATTAAATAGCAAAAGTATTATTATAAATTTTATAAATTATTCAAGATTTTATTATACTTTGAACGTATTCAAATAAAAAAACAGTAATTTTTATTGAACTTTCTTAAATTAAGTATTTTAAAAACTCATATTATACATTTTTGAAATGATTAATAATCATTAATATTTAGAAACTTATCAGTAGTAAAAAACATTAAAAAAGTTTAACTTAAAAACATTCATAGAATATTTTTTTTGAAATGAATGTTATATGTTTCTTAATTATAAATATATTTTATTGTTATTAATTCAAAATATGAAGAAGGTTTTAAAATATAATTATAAGGGAAATCTATAGAATAAATAGATAATAATTTGTTTAACATATATATTTGATATTAAAATTGATATATATTCTATTTAAGCTTTTGAAAAATAATCATTTTGAACATATTATTATATTTAGATTAACTACTATAATATTATAAATCAAAGTGATCAATTTCCCATTATTGTTCTATATTATATATATATAGTTTTAATTATTATTGATATGAATTTAAGATAATTGGTTATATCACTTTGTTGTCTGTTGTCAAGTATGATTGAATTATAAAGTTTTTATTTCATATTAAATGGAAATAAATAAATTGAATGAAGTTAATCCAGATGATTTGGATGTTATCTTTAGAGGAATCTAATTATTTATTGATCAAAAAGAGAATGATTTAGAAACAACAATATCTCAATTAGTTGATAAATACAAATATTATTAACTTCAGGATCATGATAAAAAGTTTTAATTATTTTGTTAAACAAGCAGATTATTCCATCGATTCTAGATTAGAGTATCAGAGTTAATTGAAAAGTGTAAAAATTAAAATGCCATTAATTATGTATTGAGCATCAGAGATATACTTAATTATAAGGCATAGAATTTTGCTGTTATACTTAATAAAGTTCATAAAAGGTGTGAGATGCAAGCCAATTAATAAAATGAAGACAATCCATAAATTCAAATGAAAAGATCAGTTCCTTCATGGCAGTTAAATAGTTAATAAAATCGAACGTTGTTCTAATTTTATGATATTGATTTTTGGAAACTCTATGATATTATGCTTCTCAACAAGTAAGAATTTACTTAATTAGACAATATTGTTCAAATCTTATTGTTTATCATTAATCAAAGAATGAAAATGTAGAAAGATTATTTGTATCCAGTTTAGAAAGAAATTAAAGATTTCTATAATCCAAAACCTTACCATTAATGGAAATAACAATATTGGCAGACAAAGCTAAGAAATTAAAATTTCTCTAACTTACTTCAACAATGGAAACACCTTATGCAAATAAAAATATTACAATGTTTGGCAATTAGAGTCCAACCAAAAAAACTCAAATTAGTGTTAAACATTCTATGTCGATTAGTCCTTAAAGAACTTAAAGTAGAGACCCTTAAGATTAAGACATAAGAAGTATGTTTGATACAGAAACTTGCAATTTGTTTGATAACAATTACAGAGTTACTAGAGCAAAGAATTTATCTTTACATAATGACAAAAATGTTGGTGGTTGTTCTACTTAATTAAAATAGAAAGGAAAATCAAAATTATAGCAAGAGAATTTTAGTCCTTAAAAGGGATGTAAAAATTAAAATTGGATGCTTCCAGAAATAAAGTCTCCTTTTTCTTAAGATTAAAATGTTATACATACAAATTAATAAGATTCTCTAATCAAACCAATACAAATATATTAAAATTATGCTTTTACTTAAAGTCCTGATAGAAGATCTGCAAAGAAACCACCTCTAGGATAAGATCTCAATAGTACTCTTTGTTAATAATTATTACCATAATATAGAAGTAATAATAGAGCATTCTAAACAATAAAAAGCTTTATCCGTAAATGATTCTAAATAAATTGTTATTTATTTCTATAATTTATTTTTAATTTACTCTTATTCTTATGACATCTTTCTCAAATTTTGATGAGAAAACTTCGCTAATAAATTAATGTGTTAAGACTTTGCAAGTAGAAAGTTTAATTTTTATAATTTTAGATAGCTCCATCTAGAAGAACATAAAGTGATTTAACTCTACTGTTACAATTGGTTGAAGCTATTACTTTTTTTAAAAATCTTTAATCTCAAAATCCTGACATAGTCCTGAAATGTATGTCAGTACTAAGTTATAAGACAGTAAAAAAAGAAGAAGTAAAAAATATAATTTATAATTTTTTTAGATATTGTTTCATGTTGGAGATTAAGGATCATTATTTTACATAATTCTTAAAGGATCTGTCGGAGTTTTTATATTATTACCAAGTCCTGAGGATTCCAAAAAATTTGAATTAAAGGAGGTGAATGTATTAAAAGCTGGAAATAGTTTTGGAGAATTGGCTCTGTTGAATGATAATGCAAAACGAACAGCAACAATAATAGCAAAAGAAGATTGTATGCTTGCAGTTATGGAGAAACATCATTTTAAAACAATTTTAGGGGCTTAAGAATAATAAAAAGTTTAAGATAGGATATCATTTTTATGCTCTGTAATAATGAGATTTTATTATTCTTAATTATAGTTTCCATTTCTATAATCGTGGTCATTTAGAGAAATAAAAACTATTAGTTATCATTTTGAACCAATTTAAGTAACATTAAATTAAGCAGTCATCAAATAGAATGATTACTGCTCCAATTTTTATATAGTGAGAGAAGGGTACAATATCAATTATGTTATTTAGAAAGTAATTTCGAAGTAACATATACATTAAATGATTCACACAAATTAAAAGGAGTATTCTCAAATCACAGCATGTTAATTTTATAAATAAATATAGATGTGTATTAGGACCAGGAGAGTTTTTTGGAGAAGAAGCATTTTTAATGGATGATGGAAAGACTTTTATATTAAAACTCTTTAATATCTTTTCGGTAAGATGGTCAAGAGTTAAATGTTCTATTATTTGTAGAAGTCAGTGTGGTTAAATATTAAGAATAAGTAGAGAAGACATAATTAAGTATTTCAACTTTTTAATTATAAAAGGAGGTTTTGGGATGAAAAAACACAATCTGTTTTTATATCATTATTATAATCCATTCATCAATTTAGATTGAATAAGATGAGATATTATGAATAAATGGCAGATGATAAATTAAAATAACTTAATGGTTAGGAAGGGTTTGATTAATTTGTTAAACCTATTTTTAAAGTAAAAGTCAAAAATAATTGTGCCTTAATAAGAAAAGAAACTTAAATGGAAAAAACTGATGCAGTATTTGATTTAATTTTATAATATATAGGAATATTAATTTTATAAAAAATAGGAGAAAAAAGCCTTTGAATAGTTTAAGAAATTATTTAAGGATAGAAATTGTTCTTATGCTTAAGTTAAAACATTTTTTGATTAAAAGACTATAGGATCATAAAATTATATTGATAGAGATACTTATTTTAAATTGTTTTTTAGATTTCCTTCATAATTAAAGAATAGTGAGATCTCTTAAAATTTAAGTTAATAGCAACCAAGTACTGCAAGAACTCATTATAGATTAACTACATAACCTAAGGAAGAGCATGAAAGAAGTGCTCATTTTTCAACAAAATAAAGAACACAACTTATTTTGTAGAAGCTTAAATTAAGTGAAGTAATGCCAAAAAGCAAGACTTTTCATAGTAGTAACAGTCCTTTAAGTATTCAAAGACTTGAACTAAAAAGATTTGGGACTTAGAGTTACTTATAAATGAAATGATATAAAATTATTAATATTTTCTTTTAATAAAACAATATGAAGAGATTATTGAGGAATGCTCAAATTTTGTAAAAATAATCACGATATTATCATCATGATCCAGCCAGTAGGGCATTAGTAGGTAAAGATTGAATTTTATATAAATCAGGATCACCTTAAGAGATTGCTCCTCCTATACACTTCAAATTATATTATCTCCCAGACAATGTGGCCAAGACTGGCTAAGGTATGGGACATCCTCATTATAGTGCCTATTAAATGGAAGGTATCACCACTTATGATAATTGGGAATACAAGTAGATTATTAAATTGATCTAGATATTATGGTCAATGGTGGCATATAGGATCTGTCTTCTGGAATTCATTGATGTTATTCTATCCTTTATTATTATGGTTTGTTATTGAGTAGAGTGAGGTATTTGAATAAACATATATTCATTTTAGCAAGAAGCACTTCTGGTGAAGGATGACATTTTTAAGAAATATTTCAATGAAGCAGGAGGATTCTATTAATATACCTTCATAGGTCCAGAAACCACTTTAAATTATTGAAGCATTCATTGGAAAATATAAAAATATATTAAATATTACATAATGAATTCCATCCCTAAGTTAGGGGATATGTAAAGTAATGTACAAACTATGAGTTCTAGTCAAAAGTAAACCTAAGATTTCTAGTAATACAGGCTTGCCACCACTTCTATCTCCCAGAGTTAAAATTGACCCAACTAAAACAGCTCAAATTCCCCCGGCTTTTAGATCAATCTCAACAGTGAAAAAGAAATCAATAGAGAAGAAGGAAGATACTCGACCTGTTACAGACAATACATAAAATGAGAAGGGTTATCCATCAGCTAAAAAATAAAGAGCATAGGGTCTCATTATTCGTAAACTCTAGAATAGACAATCAAAATTATAAACTTCAAATTAGGAACCATTAGAATAGATTATAAATAAATTTTAAAGTCCTGCAGTTAGAATGCTTGAGTTCCCAATAAATGGTATTGATTCTTTTTGACATAGACTTTAATGATGATACATTAATAAAGGAAGAAGTACTCTAATAAAATGAATAAGTGATAGAGAATAGATTCACAACAATGAAGAATCAATCTTTATCAGGCTCTTAAAAGTTTGTTTTAGAATCTTCAAATTCCAATAAATAAGGCTAAGATTCATCTTCAAATTCTTAGTTTGATTTCAACACTAAAATTCCTACTTTTACTGAAGGGGAAATGATTGGTGCTGGTTCATTTGGATAAGTTTATATAGCATAAGAAAATTAAACTGGAAAGATTTATGCTGTGAAAAAGATAAATCTTAGAGGAGACTTTGATTAGGAAGATTTAAAAGGATTGAAAAGTGAAATTGATTTACTGAAAAGTATTAAACATTAAAACATAATCCGTTATGTATGGAATTGTGAAAATGAAGATTATTGGTTATTATATTTAGAATATTTATCATAAGGTATTTTAAATATCATTATAATAGGAACCTTAACTTAATTAATCGAAAAGTTTGGGCCCCTTTCTATTAATACAATTCGTTCATACTCAAAATAAATATTATAAGCAATAGCTTATTTACATGAAAATAATATAATACATAGAGATATTAAAGGAGCTAATTTATTATTAGGAGTTGATGGTGAAATTAAATTAGGAGATTTTGGATGTAGCAAAATTAAAGAAAAAACTATTTAACGTTCTAAATAGAGTGGAGACATCTTACATTCTCTTAAAGGAAGTATTCCATATATGGCTCCTGAAGTAATAATGTCTTATATAATTTCAGGTTGCTAGTTAAGATGAGAATTGCAGAGCTAGTGATATTTGGTCATTTGGATGCACTGTTTTGGAAATGGCCACAGGAAATAAACCATGGCATGAACACAATTTTGATAATCCTTTGAGTGCTCTTTTATATATTATCACCGATAATGCACTTCCTCTAATACCTGATGATTTGGATCAAGATCTATAATCTTTTATAAGAATTTGCTTATAAAGGGATCATAAATAGAGACCAACTGCTATGCATTTGTTATAACACTAATTCATAATTAATTAATGATTCAATTCTACTTGATATATATTTCATTTTTAATAATAGTCGAACTCTCTGAATTCATCTTAATTGACTAAATTATTTTCAGGTGCATAAGAATTTATTGCCTCTTCTGCAGTAAATTATTTATCAAAATTTTCAAGCCATGCATCTCCTTATATTTAAGGTTTAAATGGAGTTTCAATCTCTTTTTTTAAAAGTTTCTCCCAATTAACTCCCTTTAACCATATATGATTTTTGACATCATCTGTTTTATTATATCCTAATCTAAGTTTTGGATCTTTGATTGTTAACTAATAATATATAAGATTTATAGTAATACTTTTTAGATAAAATCTTTTGCTTCATTAGAAATCTAAGGAGTAGTAGGAAAATTAATATCTTTTGTTTAAATTTGTTTAAACATTAAATCTTAATTTTTGTTGTAAAATGGTGGAAGTGCATATAACATTTCATAAGTAAGTATTCCTAAAGCCCACCAATCAGCAGCCATAGAATGTCCAATTTCAAGAAGAATTTCAGGAGCCAAATATTCAGGTGTACCACAGAATGATTTAGTTAATTCATTTTTTTTTAATATTTTGGCCATACCAAAATCTGTTAAACATAAATGACCTTAATCATCTAATAATACATTTTCTGGTTTTAAATCTCTATATATAATATTTTTTGAATGTAAATGTTCTAATGCTAAAATCTATTTATAAATAAGAATAAGAATTTACAATTTCAGAAACATAAAATTTTGTTCTATTTTCTTCAAATCTTTTTACATGTTTAAGATGTTAAAATAATTCACCACCTTTCATAAATTAAGTAACAAAAAATAACTTTTCAGGAGTTTAAAATGCCCAATTTAATGAGACTAAAAATGGATGATTTACATGTTCTAAAACTATTCTTTCAGTTTTTGTATGTTCTAATTATTCAGGATCTGCTATATCTTCTTTACGTATTGATTTCATTGCATAATACTATTTATCACTCTTTTTCTCTACCAACATAACTTTACCATATGCTCCTCTACCTAATACTTTTATTAAATCAAAATCATCTATTGTAACAGCTTCACCTTTCTATTTTGCATACAATGTTGATGTCTTTGCTCTTGTTTTTAATCGTTCTTCTGTTTAGGAATCTAATCTTTTTCTGTATTATTCTTCATTCATCAATTCTGATCCAGTTGTTGGTAACCTATTAATACCCTTTTTTTTATCCACTTTTGTTGTAGTATATGCAGTTAGAGTGAGTTCATCTTTATAGAATATTGGAAGTGCAGCTCCTTTATTTTATTAACAATAAGCTTTTATTATACACAGTACTGCATAATCTCTTCTTTCTGAACTTGAATATCGATAATCATATTCTTCAGGAACATGTACTACAAATTCTGTCCCAATCAAACCTATGGTTATGCCATATACTCTTTTTATTGGAATTTTTCTTTTGATACTCAATTTCGAGAGATTATATAGATTATGTGTTGTAATGAGAATTGTTCTTTCTTATCTTTTATTAACTTCATTAAATTTGTAGAGCAAACTAGAAAATAAAACATATTCTCCTGGCTCTAAAATTTTTGTAATTGATTTTTCATTAGCAAGATGCAAATCATCCCAAGACTCTTATTTCATTAATTATAATTTATCTAATATCAAAATTATTGAAAATAGTAGAATAATATATAATTTAATATATATAATAAAATAATTAAGGACATTCCAAAAGATAATTTGTTGAAATTACTAAATCAATCATATAAATGTATAAATATCTTAATTGATTCATTTAACATACAAATTATTATAATGATGACTTTGCTAAATTCAAATAAAATAACAATCAAAATACAACTCACCTTACAATTATGATAAATATTATTTTTAATTTTATTCTCTCAATTTAAGAAATCATTCATATGTAAATATATATATATAAATTAATTTTTGTTCCCAATAACATTTTTTATCATATCAATTTTCATTATAATTAAGCTGTTATTTTTGTTAATTCTTCAACCTCGTTTTCATTCAAAAACCAACATTCATTCTTTCTAATAACACATAATTCAATATTTTTATTACCACTCTCAACAACATCCATTAAAGCCTATTTTCAAATAAAATATATATATTTACTTTAGTTGTAAGTAAAAGTGCATCTTTCTCATGTAAACCTTCTCTCCAATGTTTCTCTAAGAAATCTTTGACTTATTTGGCACTCTTTCCCAATGAAGTTGCTTTCCATTCTGAACAAGCTCCTGAAGGATCAGTTTAGAATAGCTTTGGTTTATTATTACTAAATCCTGCAATAAGAGTTGAAATTCCATAAGGTCTAGCACCTCCTCTTTAAGTAAATTTTTATTATTGTTGACTAGTAAATTTAGCAATATAATCAACAGAAGGATCATCTTCGTAGTAAATCTTGTATTATTAACATTATAATCTAGTTTGATTTGCCAAGATTCTTGCATCTGCATTCAATCCAGAAAAAGTCATACAAAGATTATGATCTAGATATATATGTATTAAATACCCAATTAATATACTTTCTTAATTGTTTTAACATCTTACAATTTAGATGTGGCTTTCTTTTCTACTCCCAATATTATGGCATCTTTTCCTCTTACACCAACGCAACAAAGACCTCTTTTAACTGCTTCCATTGCATATTCTACTTAGAATAATTAACCATCTGGAGAAAATACTGTGAGTGCTGTGTCGTATGACATTATTTAAAAAAAATAATATTAAAAATTCATCCTAATCTTAAGTAATCATCTTCTTCTTCAACATCCCATCCTTTGAATTCAATAAGATCATTTTTACATATCTTTATTGGTCTTTTTTATTAAGTTATTAAACCTTAGCTCACACTTCTTTATTGTGAAGGTACAACTTTAATTTTTGCTTTGATTTCAGGAGTAGGTATACTAATATCTATATGATTTAATGAGTTTTCAATAACTATATTTTAGAAAAACATATGTTATTATGGTTTCTTTTTAAAAGGACCATTCAATTCTTCAATTGATTTATCAATAATCTTCCTGGCTGATTATGGTTTCTTGTCTATAATCAATAATTTTTAATCCTATGGTGTTTCTTATAGATTATTGTAAAGTGCCATCTTGTGAACTGAATACATAGGTTTAGTTTTTTCAAATTTTCGAGCTTTTTATAAATCACCTAGTTCTTTTTTTAATTAATTTATTTTTTTTTCCAAAAATGATGAACTTTTTGAAGAGTTGTTATTCTACCTTCTCTATCTATCTTGAGTTTGAATGATACTTGATCGAGATGATTAAATTTATTCAAAAACCGATTGTCTTTATTTATAGGGAGTTAATTTATTGTTAATGACAAATTTGATTCCTGGTTTGATTTGTCTCATCTAAGTAAATTACTCTCTCTAAGTAGGATTGAGTAATTGATCAATTCGATTTGCTACATGTTCAAGATGTAGTATATTGAAGGCTTTCATCTTTTGAGGTGATTTCCGTGAACTTCTCATTTTAATCGAAACTATATATATTATTAATTTAGTGACTTATATAAATGTAATTATTTCATAACAATTCATATTAGCCTAAAAAGAAACAATATCATGAAATTATAATATATTATTTTCAAGTAAGTTCTAACTTAACCTAATTTTACTTATACTTATTCCAATAAGATCTTTAATATTATTGAATTTTTGAATTTCTATATATCTAAAATCTACAGAAGTCTCCATTTAAAAATTTATCAAACAAAAATTTAATCTATTTTGTAAATGTTAGAATAATAAGTTTACCTTACAATTAGAACATTAGAACATATAGAAACACAAAAGATTTAATCTATTAGAGATTTTCACATTATCAATCTTTTAATAAAGCAAATTACATGTAGTTAGAAAATTTAATTAGATGGTTATTTTATTGGAAAATATATTATTTTATTCCATTAAAACTATAAATACATCTTAATTCAAAAAACCTCATATCATATTTAATAATTATTGGTATTATTAGTTATTTACAACATATTGTTATAATTATTTTTTTAATTAGTTTATTCTAAAATATTAATTTCATAAAATCAATTTTCTTAATTACAAATAATACTTTGTGAAAGCATCAAATTATCTTGCTTAGAAATTATGATTTCTTATCTTGAATTTAGATTGTTTTTGATTAACATAATATCTTATTATATGATAAAGAAACAATTGATATTATGTATTATATTTATTATTATTTTTTACATTATATATGATAAAATAATTGAATCATTACTAAAGAAATGACGCACGATTTCTAATAGCGATCTATATATTACTCAATATCTCCTAGAATTCAAATTACATTAAATAATTATGAGTGCATTAAGATTTGATGGAAAGGTAGTGGTTATCACTGGAGCTGGTAATGGTTTGGGCAAAGAATACGCTCTTTTTTATGGAAAAAAGGGAGCAAAAGTAGTTGTCAATGATTTAGGTGGTTCTATGAAAGGAACAGGAGCTTCTTCTTCAGCAGCTGATAAAGTTGTTGAGGAAATAAAGGCTGCTGGAGGAATTGCAGTTGCAAATTATGACAGTGTAGAGTTTGGTGAGAGAATAATTGAAACTGCAATTAAAACATTTGGAAAAATTGATATTTTAATTAATAATGCAGGGATTCTCAGAGATGTTTCATTTGAAAAAATGAAAGATGAAGATTGGGATTTAATTTATAAAGTAATACTTTTTTTATTAAAACCTTAGGTTCATCTTAAAGGAACATATGCATGTTCAAAAGCAGCATGGCCATATATGAGAGAATAGAAATATGGAAGAATAATTAATACATCATCAGCATCAGGAGTGTATGGTGTATTTGGATAAACTAATTACAGTTCAGCTAAATTGGCTACACATGGTTTAACCCTTGCACTCTCAAGAGAAGGCTTAAAAAGAAATATATTTGTAAATTCTATTTGTCCTGTTGCTGCAAGTCGACTTACTGAAACTGTAATGAGTAAGGAGGTTCTTTCTAGTCTTAAACCAGATTATATTGTACCACTTGTAGCATGGTTGTCTCATGAAGATTGCAAAGAAACAGGATCTATTTTTGAATTAGGAGCAGGTTATATATCAAAATTAAGATGGTAAAGAAATTAAGGATATTTCTTTGATACTCCATTTACTCCTGAAGATGTAAAGGAGAAATGGGATGAAGTATCAGGATTTGGTACTAATGTTTACCATCCTTAAACTTCATCTGAAATATTTGAAATATTCTTTAACAAAGAAGAATTTATGAAATAATAAAAGGAGGGTAAAGCTAAATCAACAAGTCCATCATAGAATACATAACCAACTAATGTAACTTTGAAAGCAGAGAAAATATTTAATTTAATGAGAGCATTTTTAGATAGAGGAGAAGGAAAGGATTTAATACCTAAAATTTAAGGAGTGTTCAATTTTGAAATAATTTTATAAAAAGGAGGTCCAGTAATTAAATCTTGGGTAATTGATTTGAAGAATGGTTAAGGATCAATAAAAGAAGGTAAAGAATAGGGTGATGCTACATTTAATATGATTGATGATGATTTTGAGAGAGTTTGTTAGGGTAAATTATAAGCAAATGAAGCTTTTTTAAAGGGTTTGATGAAAATAAAAGGAAATATGAAAAAAGCGTAATAGATTATTTTATTATTTTAATAGAACTCTATTTACACCTAGCCTATTCCCAGCTCCAACACCAGAAAATTTAGCCAAATATTCTTAAGCAAAATTATGAGAAATATATTAGTATTATTTAATCAAATAAGAGAAAATAATTTACCTTCTCTCCATATTCCCTTTGTAATTTAACCATGTTATTCTGTAAACTCTCCAAGTCCATGTTACAATCCATTCATCCATTAACCAGAATATTTTCGACCATCAGCAAATTGAAATGTTCCGAAACCTTATCTCTTATCATTTACATATTAACCAACATAAACTCGACCTATAAATCTTAATAATAGAATAGTACCATCAGACCATTATAATATTCCTTGACCATGCATCATTCCATTTTTCCAATCTCCTTGGTATCTTCTTCCATCTGGCCACATCTTTTAATATTATATCAAAAACTACAAATGTTCCTTTTCCTTCAAATTAACCATTTATGAACGAACCTTCATATTTTTCTTTATTACTAAAAACTAAGATTCCGTGACCATGTTTTAAGCCATTACGAAATTAACCTAATGATTATTGTGAAAATACCTTTATAATGAGAATCACTTTTTACTTCAATACCATATCCATTATATTTATCATTAAACCATTATCCTGAAAAAATATTAAAAAATTCATTTACCATCATATATAGACCCATCTGAATAATTATACACTCCTTTCCCATGCATATAATTCAAATGGAAATCTCCACAATAATATCCACCTTCTGTATCAAAAAATTTGCCTTTTCCACTTGCATATCCATTTGACCACTATATTGATTATTAATTGTATTACTTCACCATTATATCTACTTTAATCTGCAAATTTGTATTCTCCTTAACCTTAAGGTTTTTTTTTGTACCAGTATCCAGTGTAACATCCCCCATTTTTCATTATAATAGAAGGCAATTTACACTGTTCTCTTTCACTCATTGCTATTAATTTATAATCATCTTCATTCTAAGGCGATAATAATTCTTTTTCGAATAATTTCTCTTCACGTTCTTAGCTTTATTTGCTTGATTTATTTGTACACACAGAGGGTCTAATCTAGCATGAATCCTCTAAAGAATCAAATTCTGGAATTTCATCTGAGTGTGCTTGTTGTAATTTCGAATGAGAGCAATCTTTAACTATCTCAAATAATTTCTTATAGTTTTCTTAAGAACTTGATTTAGGTCTTCTATATTTTTAGATTTAAGTTAAACTTTTGTAAACTTTCTATATCAGACTCAAAAACAGTCTAAAATCCTTCTGAATGGGCTTTCGTATGTCCAGATTATTCTAGCATCTTTTATATTCAAGATCAATTAAATATTAAATATATATATATAAAATTTCAATTATTATTCAAAATTGTATATGATAAAAAAACTTCTTATTAGTGAAATTTATCTTATTTCTATAAAAAAAACAAAGTTTACTAGAAAAATGAAATAAATGATTAGTTTAATTAAGAAAATTCTTAATTATAGTTAAACAATTATACTTAAATTAATAATAAACAAAAATTGAATTTGAGTAAAAGTATTTATTTATATAAATGATTTCTAAAAAGATAATAAGAAATTTATGATTAAAGGTTATGAAATATACAATTAATGTAGAATATCAATACTCTTTGTCAAAATTAAGTTATTCTAATAGATCCAATTTAAGTTATCCTAAAATCTTTGAATATGGGCCACTTAATTTTTCAATTTATTCTTCTTCATTGTTTTTTTCTATAGAATATTAATATTTATATAATACCTTTATTGTTTCCTTGAGCAGTAGATTCCAACATAGACAATAAATCTGTTTTTTCCATTTATTTTAATGAAGCATTATCTTAATTTACAATAGCTTTAGATATTGCTGATTTAAATCTTTAAATTCCCATAATCTTTTCTTCTAAAGTATCCTTAACAATTAATCTAAAAACTTAAACAACATTTTTTTATCCAATTCTATGAGCTCTATCCATTGCTTATTAATCATTTACAGGATTATAATCATGATCAAACATAATAACAATATTAGCTGAACTTAAATTCAATCCCAATCCACCTACTTAAGTTGTAAGAAGTAATACACGAATATCTGGATCTTCATTAAATTTAGTCACTAAAGGATATCTTTAAGTTTATGGAACACTTCCATCTAAAATTAAATATTATAATCCTGGAAATTATGCTTTTAATAATTACTCAGCAATTAATTGTAGAGCAGCTCTAAACCTAGAAAAGACTAAAACTTTATTAAAATTTGTATAAATTGTAATTTAATCGCTTTGAGTTTATTATTAAGGAACATCATCTGTTGATTGAAATCCCAATTATTGTAAAATATCTTTCAAAGCAATCATCTTTCCTGAATGATTATAGCTTTCAGGCTTTTCTTATTTATCTAACAATAAATTTATTTCTTATTCAGCCAACATTTCAATATTTTCTGTTTTTACCTTTTTTTTTGGTCTTTTATTAGGTAATATTACACTTCTAACTAAAATTGGATGATCTAAAGCTTATCTTAATTTATGTAATAATTTAAGAACAGATTCACAAACTTTATTTTTTTATTCTCCTTAAGTTTTAGTGATCTATTATTCAATATCAGTAGAAAATGAATTTGATTCTAAAATCTAATAAATTTATGATTATAAAGGTTCTGATAGAGTACAATAATAATCTCCTATTATTTTAGCTGGTAATTGTGGTAATACATCTTATTTAGTTCTTCTCATAATAAAAGGTAAAACCTTTTTATGGAGTAAACGTAATGTCTTTATTTATTATTCATCAAATAAAATTTCATCTTCTGTTAATGAGAAGATATTTGTATGAAATGCTTTAGAAAAGTTTCTTTTAAAATACTCTTCATCACCTAAATAATTAGGTAATAAAATATCAAAAAGAGACCACAATTCTAATAAGTGATTCTAAACAGGTGTTCCAGACAAAACAATCTTATGTTTTGCTTTTAGGCTCCTTATTACTCTACTGGTCTTATTTTTACTATTCTTTAAAATATGAGCTTCATCTAATATTAAAAAATAAAATTCTTGATTAAGAAAATTTTGATTTAATTTTAATAATTAATTGTAAGACACCATAATAAGATTTCCTTAAAATACTCCATCATAGATATGTGGTTTTAACACAGCATTACTTATATACTTTTTAGTTTCTGCATACCAATGATCTACCACTGTACTTGGAGCAACAACAAGAGAAACCAAATTTTCATTTTTTCTTTTAAATACTTCATTTGCTAATACTACTAATGTTTAAATAGTTTTTCCTAATCCCATATCATCACATAAAGCCGCATGTAAATTATATTTTATTAAGAATCCTAACCATCTAATACCATCCCATTAATAATCTCTTAAAATGCTACGATCTTTAATTCCACCTTCTAATTTATAATCCACTTTTGTCATCTTACCAAATCCTAATTAAAATTCTTTTGCCTTTTAAAATTTATTAATTAATTATGGTGTTATTGGAGAATATGGTATATCCATAATAGTTAATATTGGCACTAGAAATCCAAATAATTTGCTAGCTGCTTATGCTGTATTTGGATCTTTAGCTGTTAACTTTTTAATAGCTTTTAAAGTAAGAAAACCACTTATTGGTGCTAATGAGATGGGATATTCTTTCAAAATTATATTCAAAATCTCATACATTCCATTTTCATTTCTTTTTAACAATTAATTTATTTGCATTATCACTTAATCAAATACATTAATATTCTTTGAAATAGATAAGAAATGTATAAATTTAGCACAAAGTTTAAGCAAATTATTTTTTAATATAACAACCTTTTTAAATGTTTAATCAAATTCTAATAATATTCCACCTTTCTAATCATCTAAAATAATTTTATTATTATCATCATCAGTTATATTACTTAATACTGGTAAATAATTTAATAATTTTGATAATAGATATTAGGCCCATTTGTCAAAATCAGAATGTTCAGGATTTTATATGAATAATGAATATGCATTTTAGATTAAACCTATTCCCCATAAATTATATTTCAAATCTTCTACTTTTATAATTAATTTAGATGTTTAAGTCATTAGAGTTTAATTAAATCTTAAATCATTTGGAATATAATTCAATTATTATAAAAAGAGTCTCTCAAAAAAGAGATGCCAAGATTAGAAATCCACTTAATTTTTTAATAAATGCCAAATCAATCTTTTTCTACCATAATCCTTTCCTAATTAAATATATATAAATATATCATACTTTTCAATTGATTTTTTTAAGATAAAATATATTATACTGTTTATTATGTACTCTATTTAACATAAAGGGATGTTAAATCACAACAGTTTGGATTTAAAGACATTTATCTAGCTAATCTTTCTGATGCAATATCCTATATTAAATGAAATTTGTCTATTCTTAAATAAATAAAATATTTTACCTAATTCTTTGTATTAATGATTCAGTGTGATCTGAGGTTAATACCTTAAAATTCAAACTTAATTCATTACTCAACTTTGTAAAAGCTTAAAGATTTTAAACTAAATCTGATGTAGTATCCTATAATTTCTATATTGATTCTTAATCCATTTCATAATCAATTTAACTTAATTGCTTAAGTTAATTTAGAATAATAGGATATAATTATCTAAGCTTTGGTGAATGAGCTGGTGCTATTGCAAAATCTCCATAAATTTTAAGAAATCCTTATATAATTGTTAAATATTCTTATTCTTTTTCTATTTACATATAATTTTTCAATAGAATATTTAATTTTTGCATTGAAACTTGAATTTTGAGATCCAATTCATCAAAACAACATCCATTTTAACGTGTACTATCCACTTCTATATTTAAATCTGTTTTATTATTTATATAATTTCTGAAAGTATAAATAAAGTTGATTGGATCTAAATCAACAGTTATTTAATGGTTATAATTAATATCTTTAATCAAATAAGCAGATTTAATCATTCTATATGTTTAATTATCAATTGGATTTTAAGATTATTGAGATAAATTTGGATAATGTAAATCTATTGATTCTCGTTTCATACCATCAAATAAATAAAAATATTTCTTAAATTAATGATCAGTAGAGAAATTATGAACAAATTAAATAAATTCGTATAATTATTCTTCTTCTAAATGTTTAGATAATTGTTCAAGTATATTCATTAATGTTTAAAATGTTTCTGGTTTCTCTTCAAATATTCCAGTCTAAAATATAATTTTCATAAAATTTATTGTTCTATGATCATTTTATTTTTATGTTTGTTATTTTGAAAAAGCTAATAAATATTTATAAAATTATTCTTTGACCTCTACAATTCTATGAAAAAAGAACTTTTTTAAAATATCTATTTCTCCTTAAAATTATTTTTGTATTTTAAAACCAATATGAAATAGAACACCTAGAAATTAAAATATTGATTTTCCAGCAAAACTGATATCATCCTATTTTTTTAATTATTCCATAGTAATTGAATAAACAGTATTATAATATTTCTAATTTAAACCTAATTATAAGAATTCCTTCCATATATCTGCTAATAATTCTAGAATCTCATCTTCATTATCTCTTTAACCTACCTACAAAAGCATTTCTGAAAAATTATCAAAAATCACTTACAAATGATCTTTCAATAAACCTTTTACTAAAAATAAAGCACTTTAAGAGACTTCATATATTTATACTCTTTAACCTTCTTCAATAAAATCTTTCAATAAAAGTACAAATTTCATAAAACTATCAGGATAATGAATCCAAATATTAGTATTATAATTTCTATCTGTTAAAAGTGTAATAGCAGTTTAACATGCTGCTTCTCTTACAATCATAATAGTTTAATTTCCAAAATAATCTGCAAATCTATCCATTACAATTAATACACAACATCTTGTCAATAAATATTCTAATTTATTTAATTAACCATTTTTATCACTTATATATTCTATTAAACTATTTCTCAAAATTCCATTAATTTCCTTTTCATCACCTTTTATCAAATAACTGAATCCCAAATTTAAAAATCCTTTTTGCCTAACAATAGATTTCAAAACTAGAGCACTTGCATGTCTCTCCTACCATTTATGATTCATCAATTCATAAACTGCTCTATTATAAATTACATTAAAAGGGTTTATTACACAATATTTTGTATTTTAATTTTTCTTTTAAGTAGATGGTTTCTTTTTTAAATTAGTTTCTGGTTATTTATTTTTAGTTTTATTTTTTCTTTTATATTAACCTACTGCATCATCATCACTAGAACTCTCTACAATTTCATCAGAGGATGAATGCATATCTATAGGTATCTCAGCATCTCCTTACATAAATTCCAATAATCTAGTAACATTTGATAAATTAAAATTCCCAGACAAACCCATTAATCTCATTATTTCCTCTTATTTAATATCCAAAGTTTCATCATCTAATTTTTAATTTTTATTCTCTTATGATCTTTTTAAGTATTTCATGTCTTTTCCAAGAATTGCACTTCCATCATTGATTAAATGAATGAAATCAATTTATTCACTTTTTAACTTAATATTTGATTTAATTTCTTCATAATCTCTAATTTACTCTTATTACATAGCATCCTCTACTTATTGATCTAATATTGGTTCAAAATGAAACAAATTTTCAGGAATGGAGTCATTAGATGATGATAACAAATATTCTTCAAGTCGTTCACTATATTTAATTAAAAATTAATTACTTGTAGATCTTGTATGTTCTTTCAATTATTGCAGCAGCAATTTAAGAATGTTCTAATCTGAGACGAGGATCTTGGGATCTTGAATATATTAATTTATTTGTTTTTCTTAATATTTAATATAGACAGGCAGGGTAATCATTATAGACATTTACTATTTAAGCCAGAGCCAAGCTAAAGAGTTACTGATTCTTGAAATCATTGAATAAAGCAAAAAGTTTATTTATTTTATCTTCCATTTATTTTTAATAAAATAAATGAAATATTTCAGGTGCCTTTTAAAGTTCTGTTCAATTAAAAAATTTTAAATTAATTATTATAATAAAAATAATAATAATTTATATAAAATATATTCTCAATATTAATATCACCAAAATATTCAATTTTTAGTTTTAATCTAAATTTAATAACAATCTCAGAATACATGAAATACAAATTAATCATTAATCCTAAAAAAAAAGAGGAAAAAAGGTTTTTAAGTTATAAAACTATTATTATTAAAACGAATAATTTAATATGAGGTGTATTAATGATTATTATTCATTATATTAGATTTAAACTTTAATTAAGTTCAATGATTATCTTTATTGAGCAAAAACGAGAGTTTTAGAGTGCGTTAAACACTTACTTTCTTAATGTACTTAAAATTCTTAAAGCATACTAAAATTTCTCAAAAAAAATGTTTAAATAAAAATGATAGAAATTCAAATATTCTCCAAGAAAGATAATATTTCTTGTTAAGTTTCAACATAATTTTTATGTTTGAATATTTATATTGTTAATATCGTGATTAAACAAGTAATCATTCCTATTCCAAAATATTGATTGTTCCATCAGATTTAGCATAATAAGGATTATGCCTATCAGAAAATTTTTTTGCCTTTATTGACACATCATTTATAATCAAAGGCTTTATCCACTCTTTTTTTATGATAAATTTACTAAAATAATATTATATTATTACCTCTCTTCTCCAATTACAGCCCCATCATCTATTGGTAAAATAATCATCATAAATGTCCCTTTTGGAAAATGTGAAGAAACTTCCTTAATTTGAATTCGGCTTAAGCTACCATACCCTTTTTTTATTACAGTTTATTAACATCCTTTAAAAATTGATTGGTGTTTGTTATTATGGGTAAGTTTTTTAGGAATTTTGTCATAAGTCCAACTAATATTACTTTCTATACATACATTTGTAATTCAACAAGGAGATTATTTACATTTATTATTGTTCTTTCATTTTAAACAAGCTTAAGTTTTATTTGAAAAATTCTGTTTCTGTAACAAGGAAGCTCTAAATCTTCTTCCATTTAAAGTTCATATTTATATTACTGATTCCTAAGAATTTGAATCTAGTTTAATGTTTGTTGAGGTTATTTATCATACATTCTAGAAATCACTTGATTCATCTTCTCTAGTTGTTTTTGTAATTTTTCCAGAGTTTTTTACTTTTCTGTGTACATTAGTTGAATCTACTCATTTTGATTATTTATTTATTCAGTTATTTGAGTAGATATCTCAGAAAGACAGAAACTGATATCCATCAAGCTTATTGGTGTATGACTATTCATTTAATTTCTGTAATTAAAAGATAAATGGAGGCATATTAAAAGGTTGATTTATATTCTTGTCTAAAAAGATATTGTAATTAATAGTGCGTTGTTGCATTCATTAAAATAAACCAAAACTATGTCATACAATTTCACTAAATACAAATAAAAAAATGCATCAAATAATCATAAAAACATTATAATATTAAACAAATATTAACATTTTGAAATGGATTAAGGAAGTATTTTAATTATTAATTTTATAATTAATATTAAATAAGTTTTAAAGAACATTTGATTCTTATTCAATATATATATAATTATTAAAGAATATAAATCATCATTATTCTTCCATCTATTCAATCTCTTCACTTGATTCATCTAATTATGGCCTTTTCTTAAATCCTTTGCTTGGTAAAAAACTGGAAGTAACAGTTTGAAATCTTCCATCTCTAAAATTGTTCACTTCAAGCATTTTTTGATGTAAATGAGTAATACCCATACGAGTATTCGAATATTTCTAATAAGTCCAAAATTATGATTACCTACATAAAACTTGGTAAAAGAGATTTTCCATCTTGTTCTCTATCTAACATTTATTTAAAATTTGGAGCTGTAGGAGTTCTAAATAATTTACTATTTGGATCCTTAGAATATACATCAAATTCAAAATAAGTTTCATGATTATAAGGTGGTATTTTAGTCATTATATCTTTTCTCTATTCTAATTTATCGAATGGTGCTCCACAACTGCCTAATTATCTATTTATTAATTCATTCATATACTTTTTACCAAATTCAAAATTTGGATGATAATCAGGGGCAAATTATTTCTTTTTATAAATAATCATTTAATCTCTTGACAATTGTTTTTCTAATTAGACTGATGGAGTTCGAGGAATCTTGCTCCATGAATCTGTTACATTCAAATATGTAAATCTATCTGGATGTGGAGTGGGTCTTCCAAAAAATATGTCAGGTCTAATGATTTTGTTATAAATATATACCTTGGTGACTATCTTGTCAAATCAAGAAAACATGTTCTAGAAAACCTTGGTCTATCCACAATTGGTTTGCTATCAAAATATCAATTCATTACTTACTCAATATTTTCATGTTCTCCATGCTTTCCTGGAACTTCTAAAGGTATGGTATGTTTAAGTGATTTATCATAATCATGAATTGAGTGAATTGCTCTGTTAAATCATTATTTCAATAAATACTTATCTAGTTCACTGTATTTAACATGATACTACCCACAAGAAGGTTTACTATCTTTACTCAGTTTTGTATAATGACCTACTTATCTGGACAGTTGTTTCGAGAATGGTTGGGAAAGTTTGACTTAATTTTTGCGTTAAATCAATTCTGCTTCTGTTATTTATTCTTATTATTTTTTGTTTGATATTTCTGGCATTTTTTTATCAGCTTATTGATTCACATCTTCTGATGAAGCAACAGATTAAGATTTCCCTTTGAAATATCTGGGCCTATTGTTGATAATCTCTTCTTTTCTTTAAAATACAATATATTTCTCTGAAGTAATTTTCCCTGCCTTACTAAACATATTTTGCACATCATTTTGATTATGAATTAAGGCCATTTTTTTATATAAAAAAAAATAATATTTTTATCATCTTCATATAAAAGTTAATAAAAATATATGAAATATAAAAATATAGATGTATTTATATATAAATATATTGATTTGTTTGGTCATTCTACAAATCTAATATCAAAACCATCATAATTATTTTTCAACATAAATTAATTTCAATTTTTTAAATTATTTGTTTATTTTTTTATTATCAAATAAGATTGAAAGTTGAAATATTATTAGGAATAATAAAAATTAATTAATATAGGAACTATACTTTAATTTCAATCCTTCTAGTTAAGTATTATCAACATTTATCCAACAATTATTTTCCAAATTATGAAAAATAACATTTAATATCATTAAAATTGTATTGATTATAGATTTTATTGCTCAAAAAAACATGAAGAAGTAATCATTATAGATTAATCAATTCTTAAAAAGAAGGAGCATTAAAAATTATATTGACAGATCCATTGAGAATTTATTTTTAGAAAAATGTTTACTTTAAGATATAAATTATTATTTTTAATTTAACCTTTTAATTTTTATAATTAAAACGAAAATCATTAAAAAATAAATAATAACTTAATTATTTATAAATATCTAATTAGAAATTATTAATCTAAATTTCAATTAAATATAATATACATAACAGCTAGAAAGAATTTATTAAGAATTTTTATTCAATAATTATTTCTAATATCATAAAACCATGAATAATTTAATAATTCTTTTGCTTATGGTCTCCTGGCTGGATTGAATTACAGCATAGACTATAAGACTTCAAGGGCTCGATGATCATCGATTAATAATGGAAAAACTTAAGTAAGATCTTTGTGTTGATGTATTGTAAAATCATCTTTATAATTTGGAAGTTTAGACAATCCAATATAATTATCATCGGATGGAGTTCCAATTACCTTTGAAGAAATTAAAATATAAAATTACTTCCATAATTTGAGACAACATAACCATTTCACTATCCACTTTAAACAGTGGTTCTTATGCTAAACATTCAGCCATTATACAACCGACAGCCCATATATCTACACCAGTTCCATAATTATCATCACCAAGCAAGAGTTCTGGAGCTCTATACCAGAGAGTAGTAATTTCCTTTGTGAATTAAGGCATTGGGAATGGAAATACTCTAGATAGTCCAAAACCTGCTAGTTTAATAATCGTCATCTCATTTAATAAAATATTCTCTGGTTTAAGATCTCTATGTAGGACTCTTCTACTTAGGATGTTTCAATTTTTAAAGTATTGATATTTTTCTGATTGTAGTAACAGGAAAACCTTCATCCTTAAATTTTCCAAGCTTTATTTTCTTTAAGGCTACAAATTCTCCTCTTCTTTCATCAAATGCTCTTATGACTACACCATAGGTTCCTTATCCTAAAAACTTTGATTAAGTAAAATTTTTTAGATATTAATTTTGGAGAGAGTTTTGATATTATTCAACTTACATTCCTGCAAATAATAATGAAATTTAAGATTCCCTCGCAGAAGATTTAGATATGCCTAAATTCATTTATCAGTACAAATTTCACATTAATTTATAAAATGTATGTTCATTACAAATATAGAATACTAACAGGGAATAAATAATTCAAACTATGTCCATACTAACAAAAGCATTATGAATAAGGAAATGATAGTTTTANTTAACCTTTTAATTTTTATAATTAAAACGAAAATCATTAAAAAATAAATAATAACTTAATTATTTATAAATATCTAATTAGAAATTATTAATCTAAATTTCAATTAAATATAATATACATAACAGCTAGAAAGAATTTATTAAGAATTTTTATTCAATAATTATTTCTAATATCATAAAACCATGAATAATTTAATAATTCTTTTGCTTATGGTCTCCTGGCTGGATTGAATTACAGCATAGACTATAAGACTTCAAGGGCTCGATGATCATCGATTAATAATGGAAAAACTTAAGTAAGATCTTTGTGTTGATGTATTGTAAAATCATCTTTATAATTTGGAAGTTTAGACAATCCAATATAATTATCATCGGATGGAGTTCCAATTACCTTTGAAGAAATTAAAATATAAAATTACTTCCATAATTTGAGACAACATAACCATTTCACTATCCACTTTAAACAGTGGTTCTTATGCTAAACATTCAGCCATTATACAACCGACAGCCCATATATCTACACCAGTTCCATAATTATCATCACCAAGCAAGAGTTCTGGAGCTCTATACCAGAGAGTAGTAATTTCCTTTGTGAATTAAGGCATTGGGAATGGAAATACTCTAGATAGTCCAAAACCTGCTAGTTTAATAATCGTCATCTCATTTAATAAAATATTCTCTGGTTTAAGATCTCTATGTAGGACTCTTCTACTTAGGATGTTTCAATTTTTAAAGTATTGATATTTTTCTGATTGTAGTAACAGGAAAACCTTCATCCTTAAATTTTCCAAGCTTTATTTTCTTTAAGGCTACAAATTCTCCTCTTCTTTCATCAAATGCTCTTATGACTACACCATAGGTTCCTTATCCTAAAAACTTTGATTAAGTAAAATTTTTTAGATATTAATTTTGGAGAGAGTTTTGATATTATTCAACTTACATTCCTGCAAATAATAATGAAATTTAAGATTCCCTCGCAGAAGATTTAGATATGCCTAAATTCATTTATCAGTACAAATTTCACATTAATTTATAAAATGTATGTTCATTACAAATATAGAATACTAACAGGGAATAAATAATTCAAACTATGTCCATACTAACAAAAGCATTATGAATAAGGAAATGATAGTTTTACTACAACAGTCTAAAATAAAACTTCTGATAAACAAGAATACTTATATCTTTAGATTACTAATCCTCATCCCTATGTATATCTAGTGAGATTTAAATTGGAGTAAAAATTAGATTTTACTATCAATATATAAGCTTAAATGTCTAATTTTTTATAATAAAGGAAAGTATTCTCAAAAAAAAAAAAATTATTATTAGATTAATAAATAAAATAGTTAATTTTTTTTAGTTTGAAGATTTAATAATCCTTTTATATTTAAAACTGCAGATGAAATTAGAGACTTTTGCTTTAAATATCTTTTCATCATCAAAAAAGAGATCTAAATATTTAGAGATGAATAAATATAGCTATTTTCAAAGAAATAAATATATTTAAGAAGTTAAAAACATTAAAATTATAATTAAGCAACTTAATAACATTTTTTAATAAAATAGAGATATATCAATTCTTTATTGTATATGTGTAGATGAGATTATACTTAAGTAATTTATTTGGATATTTTATAAGTAATTAATCATTATCAGTATATATCATAATTGTTTTTGAATGAAAATTCTATGGAATAAAAATGTGAATTTGATAAATATTAGTAAATTACTTAATTAAAGTAAAAAAATGAAATAAATATTCAAAAAAAATAGTTATGAATAAGATTGATTAATAATTATAGCAAAGAAAAAATTGAACTTTTGATGTAAAAATTTAGGTAGTTAAGTTGATAGGATAAATGATAAAATCCAAATTGTTTATATATAAATATTTGGATAATTTTTATATGAGGATGAGTTAGATTTATTTAGTCTAGATAAAAAAGAATTTTTGCAAAAAAATAAAATAAATTTCTTATTTAAAATAAATAAAGATTATTTTAAATAGGAAATTTGAAGGTCAATATAATATTCATTAATATATATGTTATAATGAATATTAATATTTATGTTTGATTTTAATATATCATAAAATCTGAAATTTAAAAGTAATTATCTTCATTATTTATTTTTATCAATCTATTCTGATACAATGAAAATAGGAGGATAACAAAAATTTATCTTATGCAATATTATAGCTTCACTGATGATTTTGATTTTGAGTCTAACTCAAATAATTGCTAGTTTGAATTCTGGATTGTTTGTTTTATTAGATTTACTATTCTCTATAATATTTTTGATATTGGAATGGAAATAAAAGTTCATTAATCAAACAAATGATTATTATTTGGCAGTAACTTAAATGATAATGATTATAATTCAAATTGAAATGTTAAGAGAGAGTGCACATGAAGTATTTACTGTTAAATTATACTAAGGGATCTTTCATTTACATAATATTGAAACTCTTTGCCTTACTATAGATTCTGTAAATATAATTACTTTAATCGTTAATATTCTTCATAGGACTTATTTATTTAATAATAAGATTTGATGAGTACTAGTATGCAATGTCATATGTTGGAATTGCTTTTGCACCAATCATTATTGTAAAATCAAACATAGCTTTAGATTTAAGAGCGAGAAGATGCTAATGATCTTTTAGAATTGTTTAAAGAAACCTTGCCTAATTCAATACTTGTAATTGACAAATTAACAAATAAGCCTCTCTATCATACCAAAAATTTAGAAACTGAATTTAAATTTGACATTCCACATTCTGATGAATTTATAAGATGTCTCCATAATTTCTATTCTGAAAACAAAATCAAATTATAAAGTATCATTGATAGTTTCTTTCCTCAGATCTATAGTGTTCGTCAAAACTTCAAGAATTTATTTTCTGAAATTATGGACAATTGCCAATATTTTTGTCATAGTCCTTTATTAAAGAAGTTCTCAGGATAATTTGATTTTGCTGAGGATGAATTTAATGAAGAAAGAGAAAATAAGAATCATAATGAAATTATTATTGAAACTCCAAAAAATAATTTATATTCAAAACCTTCTATAATTATTAGTGAAGAGACACCTAAAAATTAAAAATCTAAAATAATAGAAGAATTATTGATTAAAAGTTAAAGTTAAAGAGCTATTTGTTTATTGTAATTAAAGAAAAAGAAATTAAAAATTAATTTAAATCATTGTCTATGGTTTCGGAAATAGGCCTTTATGATAATATTGTAGAGTAAAGATATTGATAAATAATTGGATATTTTATAATAACAATTAAATGAATAATAATAAATTAATGAAAATAAAGATTTAATACTAGCAACAGTGTTTCATGATTTTAAAACTCCAATTAATGGTATTGTATCCATTTTGGAAACTCTAGATTGTAAAAATGAAATCACATAAATAGAAAAATATTATCATAATATCATTAAAAAAAATGTTTATTTAATGCTCTATATGATTTATGATATTTAAGATTATGCAAGAATTTAAAAAAAAAAGTTGAGATTATGCTTAACTGATTTTTATATCAATGAAATAATTGATGAAGTCATTGAAATGTGCTTAATTCAAGCTGAATAAAAGGGGATTGAGATAAAGACATATTATGATATTCCCTCTTATCAGATTCATTCTGATCCAAATAGAATTAAACAAATAATAATGAATTTTGTTTCAAATTCATTAAAATTTACAGAACAAGGCAGTATTACTATTACTGTTTCGTCATTAAATACTGATAAGTCATAAAATATTAAAAGAAGCAATACTTCAAGAAATATTTAATATTAAGTTGGAGATTAAACAATTTAATAATTAAGAAAAAGTTTACAAGGAAGATATTAATAATGTTCCATAAATAAATTAATTTACTCTATATCAATAGAAGATACTGGTTGTGGAATACCAGATAATATTAAACCATAATTATTCAATTTATTTGCAACTTTTTCAAATTAAAAAATTGAAAATAAAAGTGGAACTGGTATTGGGTTGATGGTATGTAAGAAATTAGTTGGTTTGTTGGGTCCATCTGAAACTATAGATCTTTGGAGTGAATAGAATGTTGGAACTAAGATGTCATTTTAGATATATGCAAAATTATAGGATAATTCTATTAGATCAGCTAATTATATAAGTTGTTTTAAATAGGAACATTCTTCTTAACATCTTAGTAATTAATAACATGATGAATAATAGAATGCAAAAGATAATCATTAAGTAATTGTGAGATCTTCTCTTTTAAGAATTTATACAAAAATTTAAGAGAAAACTGAAATTGATTTTAATGAACCATCATCTGAAGATGTTGATCAAACAAAATAGAGAAATATTATTCAATTTTAATCTTTGGGTTTAAAATTCTTAAATTAAAAAACTTATCAAAAAGAGGATTCATAAGAACTCTAAGATCCAAAATATAAATTAAAATAAGTATTATAAAATAAAAAATTTGGTATTTTATTAGTAGATGATCAAATTTTCAATTTAATAGCATTTAAAACTTTACTATAAGATCTGATTTCTGAATTGGATATTATTGAAGCTTATAATGGATAATAGGCTATAAATAAAGTAATTTTAAATAAATCTAATTTAGCTATTATAAAATCAAAAGAACTTAAATATTAAATATGTTTTTATGGATCTATATATGCCAATTTTAAATGGATGGTAGGCAGCAGAAAAGATAAGAGATATGGTAAATAGATGTTATTATTATTATTAGATTAATAATAGAGAAATTGATAATGTTAAATTAGTAGCTTTATCTGGATTTGATGATGAAGTTGAATAAGAGAAATGTGAAAAGCTTGGATTTGATGCATTTATACCAAAACCAATTAAATTGGAAATTATTGCAGAAGTTTTTTTTTAACTTGAAAATGGATGTTGATTTTTATAATTATTAATTAATTCTAAATTTCAATTATCTTGGAAGTTCATCTAAGAAAATTAATCAATGATTTGATTATTAGTTTAAGTTTGTTGCAAACTAAAATCAAATTTAGCAATTAAGTCATCAATCAAATGATTTTCTTCTTTACCAGGTTAATTATGCTGATAGTATATAAGTTGTCCATTCTGATAAACTTCTACGTTTTTAAAGACTTCGTTCATATAGTCCATAATATAATTAATGAAATTGTGATGTTATTTTAATAAACCCATAAAATCATGGTTTTAATATCAATTTATATAGTGGTTTATTATTAATGATAATTTTACTCATCAGTAGGTGATCCTTACCTTCACCTAATATATGATGAAAAGGAGTTAGAGAAATGATTAACGATTCTATACTCCACAGCGCTGACTAAAATATAATTATATATATATATATCATTTCTGTTTCCAATTACTGTATGAATAATTAGCCTATTAATTATTAATGGATTGAGAACGAATAGATTTTGAAATATTGTCTTATAATCTCTATGATTATACAGTACTTTTTTCATATGTAATTCCTCTAAGATTGTCTAGTTCAGCAGACATCATTACAATTGTAGTTAAGAGTTCCATAACTTTATCAGATTTATCATATGAATTTGAATTCTATTTTGTATTTCTAACTCTGGTAAGTTCAAGAGATAACATTGCAATCTTATTCTCATATTCATGTATCTATCTTTTTAATTTATCTATTTCTGTATTATTATTATTTATCATATATGATTACTATTGTTAAGCTATTAATTATTGATTCTTTGTAGTTTATTCTTAAACTTATATTTAGAGAGTAGATATTTATTATTAATATTATTAAAGTTATCTCTTTAATCTTTCATTATCCTGTAAAATTGTAGATGTTTCTCTTTATGTTAATTCATATTCTTAGATTCTGTTTACACTTGCATTGACATTAGTTTGATAAGTACTTATTTGAGATTGAATGACATCATACTATTTAATTAATTGATCCATATCATATTACTTTTATTCTAATATTTTTTTTAATCTTTCAATTTCATCTAAAAGTAATTCATTTTTAGTAACTGCATCTCTATTTGTTTTTTCTATTTATCTATAATCCATCAATGCTAATTCTATTCTTTAATACTTTTATTTCCATTCATCTGCATCTGTATTTAATTATTTTATTAAATTATTTAATCTTTCAATTTCTGTTGTTAAAACAGCCACTTTATGATCTTATTATCTTAATCTCTCATTTTATAATTAAAGTTCTTAAAATTTTAATTCAAATTATCTAATCTTTTCTTTATATTCTTCAAAGATATATTTTTATTTATTTACATCATTTATTGTATATTAATATTATTCTATTGTCATATTAAGTTGAGATATTTCTGATATCAAAGATTGATTTTAAGATTACAAACTCATTATTTATGATTCTAAATGATTATTTTATTCTTATAATCTAGTAATTTCATTTCTTAATCTTCTCAATTCATCATCATTTAAATTTCTAAGTTTCATTTATAATGAATCTATTTCAAGAACAAGTGTCTCATTATCTGACCATAATTTATTTATATCATTATTTAATTTAGTTATTTCATTCCTTAATAAAGTTGTTTCATTATTCTCACTTTAAATCTTTGAAGACATACTTATTGTTAATCTCTTATTCTCAGATTCAAATCTATTCAAATCAGATTCTATTGTATTTATATATTAATCCATTTCTGATAATTTTTACTCTAATTACCTAATACGATTTTGATATTATAGTAATTATTATCTTAATAAACTATTATCTTCAAAGGATGTCTATTTTTTCTTTAAATCATCTAATTCTCTAAGCAATTCATCTATTTTAATTTACTTTTATTACTGACATTCCTTCCATTCATTTATCTTGATAAATCTTCAAATTATTATTTCTTTCTTCTTAATTCTTCTAATTCTCTCATTACTTAATCTGCACTTTAACCACCAAATAGATTCACTTATTAATTAAATTACTTCTAAAATGCTGCTAATTAAAGTTCTGCTTAAGTCAATTTTGCTCTCAAATTTGGATCAAATTCTTTTTATGATTATTATTATCTTTTAAGTTAATCCTCCAAATCCTATACTTTCCTTTATAACTTTTCAATATCAATCAATAGATTACTCTATGAACTAATAATTATAATCATTATAAATGATTACTTGTTTTATAATATAATCTTTTCCATCAAATCCCTTATCTAACTCTCATATTATACTCTATCTAAATTAGAATCACTATTTGATTGTAAATCAGATTTCAATTAAGCATTCTCTCTTTGTAATCTTTCAACTTCTACTGCCATTACAAACAATGTAATATCAAGTGGCAATTTTGTTCTTTTCCCCAATTCCTCAGGACCTTAAGAGTATCTTACTCTATTATCTACACTTTATACAATCATTGTTGAACTAAATTTTGACTTTGTGTATGTTCCGTTTTTGTTTAACATAATAAAAATTAATGATATTTATCAATTTATTTTAAACTATTTACACAATATTCAATTTAATGTACAAACTTTAATTTCTACAGTTTGATACTATTAATAAATCATTCCAAATTAATTATTCTAAATAAGTTTATTCTTAGTATTAATTTATTTAAGCATAATTTATTTTATTATAAATACTATAATATCAAAGTAAATTATCAAACTCTAATGGGTTAAAATGTTATTAACATAGAGTAAGCTTATTGGATAAACATCTTAAAAAAGAAGTATTAATAAGATTTACAGATCAAGTCAGTAGGATCAATTAAAAATTTTAGATAACTCTAATATAATACAGATCTAAGATAAAATTTATAAAAAATCAAACTATTTTAATAATTATAATGATCAATTAGGTGAGATTTAAGATTTTTGATTGAAGTTAAATTAAGGGAATTTTATATACCATTTAAATAAATGCAAGTATCAATCTATTAACATAAGTTTTCAGAACCTTATCTAAAGTATCTAGAAACAGTAATTCCAGTTTTTGTAATATAAAACTTGAATTTTTATTTGAAATAATTTATAATAGTAATACTATTTTATTTATTATTATAAACAAATTAAATAAGAATAAGAACAGTTTAATCAAATCATCTCAAATGATTAAAAAGAATTCATTATTAAAAGACCAAAAAAATCTTTAGAACATTTTATTTATTATTTATTGACATCTTATACAAAAGGAAAAAGAAACAAAGATTAGATTATTTGTGATTTCATTGAGCAATATCAAGAAATGGATTTAATGGATTTTAAATGATCTGAAAATATTACATATTGCTTATAATTATTAATCATATTTATGAATAAAAATATAATAAAAAATGTTTTTATAAATATGTAATGAGAGAGGATAAAAATATATTATATGTTTTGTACTTATTTGAAATTATAGAAATATCTAAGTATATTGAGAGATTTAAGAATTTTATTAGAAGAGAAATATAAAAGTAATAATCAATTTTTAATTTAGTGTAAAATAAGAATTATTGATAGATTATGAGGAATTGAAGATGATGATATTGATATAGAAGGGTTTAGTGGAGAATATTAGTATGTTTTTAGGAAATTAATTATAATTTATAAAGTTAATATATAAATAAAAATTATGTAATTAAGGCGGCAGGGAAATGTTCTATTTTTCTGATTTGTGTTTTTTTTGTTTTTGATGATATTATGTTAATGATTTCCAATCTAGTTAGGAACCATTCTTATTTGTATTTAAACCCCCCTATATTGATGATAAAATAATTGATTAAAATATCATATTTAAAGCCTCTAATTTTTTATACTAGAATAAGGTATTAGTTTTTGTAAGAATTATGCATTTTAGGAATGTAAAACAGCTTTGAAGAGAACTAAGGAAAAAAGTTGATTGAAGCACGATTGATATCATACTACACAAAGAAGCTGCAAAAGTCAACTATTTTAGAGAGTCAACAGCAGAGAATCTGTGCCTAAATGATTCTGAATCACTTACATGAGCTTCAATGTGAAAAACATCTTATAGAGGGATTGGAGAATTTCTTCAATCAAAAGAATGGCCATAAGCGTGGGCATATTCTATAGATTAATGGTACTTATATTTATGATGCATTCTGTCTAGATTTGAATCTGAAAAATTTAATCTCTACAAAATTAAGTCCTTCTTATGAAAATGTTATCCAAAAGATGCTTCAATAATATATTACTCGTGAGACACCTGAACCCAAACGATAATCAAGATTTGAACACATAAGAAACAAATCAAAATCACTTTAATAATTAAATGGTGGTCGAGTTGTGCGCCAAGAATATATATCACCAATTGAATATATGAGAAAATTAAAGACTTGTTTCGGACATGCTCTTCATCCAGATAATTAAGATTAGGAAGATCCATATATACCAGTGTATAATGTAATATATGACAGGTAAAATATGATATGTAGACTAATTAGAACTGGTTAATTATTATTGACAGGAGATGATTTAGGATTGATAAAGATATGGTCAGCATCAAATGGATTATTATTACAATCATTAAAAGGTCATACAATGGCAATAAATTCAATGGATATTAGTTATTGTAATAGGTATTTGGCATCTTGTAGTAATGATGGTTTAGTGATTGTTTGGGATATTTAAATTGGTAAACCTGTGGCAGCATTAAAAGTATAATACTAATTATTATTATTAAAATAGGAAGCTTAAGATGATCCAATATTAGTTTTAGTATTTTATTAAAGTAATTCACAAAATGTAAACTATTTGACAGTTGCTAGTGAAAAGGGATATGTTTATATCTATGATGTATAGGATTTAATTAAATGTAATGGGAGTATATTAGGTACATAGTTCAATACAAAAATTAAGTAATCTGCCATTAAACATCAAGCAGATATAATTAGATTGAATGTGAATTATAATAAAGCAAATAAAGGAAAAGACAATGGGATATTGTGTATGGAATTTAATAAACAGGGATATTTAGCTATGGGAACAGAGTAAGGGGAAATAGTAATATTTGATAAACCAGAGAATCTTTAGAAAGTAATTAATAAAGTGGAATGGCGTGAACATACTAGTACAGTTCATTTAGCTCGTTGGTCTAAAGATGGTGATCAATTATTAACTGCATCATATGATGGAAGTGCTAGATTATGGAAATGGTAAGAAGGAGGAATTGCAGCTAATTAACATAACAGATCATCAGTGTTATTAAAATATAAATCTAATGAAGGTAGAAGAGTAGGAGAAATCTAATGTGTAGCAATAGCTTGGTCTACAAAAAGTACTTATGCTTTGGCTTCATTTAGTAAGAAATTAAAGAAGAAAGGAGATGAGGAAATATCAAAGACTTAAATTCAAGTTTATTCAACAAATGAAAATTATATTATTCATTGTATGGAATAAGAGAATTTACCTTAATTAAAATTAGATTCTCCTGTTATATTTTTAGAATCTCATCCTATTTATGAGGAAGTAGCATTATCAGCTGATGAAAATGGATTAATAATTTTATGGAATGTTTTAAAAGGAGTACCATTAAAAGTGTTTCATGAAAGAGGATATCATTTGAAATTACCAAATTTAGAAGTTCCTTTAAAAGATGGATGTTTCAGTCCAAATGGAATGACTTTTGTAGTATCAACAGATTATGGATCATTTTCTATTTATGGTTTTGGAATACAAGAAATCTTTGATTAAACACCTGTTGAATAGTTTTATGTATCAGATTCTGAACATCCAATAATAGATGAATCAGATGGATTTAGAGTTATGGCATTAGATTCTGATATGGAATTTTGTTATGTTGATAGAGGAAGTATTTGTAATTTTTATAGAATGCCATATCATTATAATTTCTAAAATAATTTAAAAATTCTATTTCCATATTTGATATCTCAAGATTATTAAGGAAAAAAGAGTGTCAATTTTTAAAAACCAAAGTTATTTACATATATATAAATGTCAAAAGGAATAACAATTGATAATATGAAAAATGAAGAAATGTTTTAAGGTTATTTTACAGAAATGAAATAAATGGAAATTAAAATCATTTAAGAAATTAAAGAATTAATAAAAATTTAAGATTAAGTTAAGATTTAAAAATTAGAAGGTGAAATAATTTAAGTAGCTAATTAACCAAATGCAGAAAGATCACCATCTAATCATAATGTTAAACTTATTAAAAAGACTGAATTAAAATCAGGAGAATTAATTAAAAGAGCATTAATTAAAGATGATGAAGATAGTAGTCCATAAATTTCTTAGGAAATACCTCAACAATCAATTATTAATAATAATGAATCTAAAAGATAGAGTTAAAGAAGAAAGAAAGTAATAGAAAGTGAAAGTGAAGAAGAAAGGAGTAAATAAAGTAATTAAAATATTAAGGAAGATGTTCAAATAGAATAATCACCTTTATAGACAAGATCAAGAAGAAATTAAAGAAGTTAATAAATTAGATTATTAATATTGAATAATCATAGATAATAAAATGAATTAAGAAGAAATAGATCATAAGTAACTGAATAATGTACTAGATGTAGAATATTAATGGATAATGTTGTTCGTTGTCCTGAATGTAAATCTGCATATCATTAGGAATGCAGTGAAATTCGTCTATTTTTAAGTGAATTAGATTTTGGAACTTAAAAGAAAATTTGTATTAATTGTATGGCATAATTTTAAAGAAAAAAATAAGCATAAACTAGATAAGGTGATCACTTGAGAGACAAATATTTAATTGATGATACTAATTCCCCTTAGATTGGAGATGATGTAATATTCTTTACAAAAGGATATGAATAATACTTATAAAAATGTCTATAAAATTTAGATTTATCAGAATTATCAATTGATTCTGCATCTAAGAAAACTATTGTATTTCCTGGAGATATTTTAACAGATTAAGAATCTGCTAATTTTGTATATTGTAAAGTACTCAATATAAGTTACATTTTCCCTGTTATCAATACAGTTTTTAAAAGACAAATTAATTAAAATTCATATATCATATAAGTTTTTGAACTTCAAATAAAGGATCTAATTTTCAAATGCTTTTACTCTTATGATTGTGATCCATATCTTATTCTTGAGTAATCTTATGCTTCTAGTGTAAAATAAATTCGTCCTTATTTGAATCAATAATAATTAAGCTTCCAAACTGATTCTGATAAAGATAATGGATTTGGTCATCAATATCAATTTATTGCTGAAGAAACACCAGATAATTATTTAAATGTAAGTGATTGGTAAGTCTTAAAATGCAAAAGGATTAGTGATGATACATATCAATTAAGAAATCACAAAACTATGATTGCTTATTGTCATTTAAATTTCTGGGAAATTGCATCAATGATGAATAAATCTAATAAATCTATAGAAATTTAAGGAGCTTCCTTATAATCTGCATTAACTACTAATGAAGCTCAATAAATTAATAGAGATATTAATTCTATGATTAAAAAATAAAATAAGATATCCTTTTTCTTTTCCAATGAAGTTGATGTACAATAATACCCTGAATATTTAGATTATGTTCCATTAATGAGTTATATAACACTTATTCAAAGAAGGTAATTATATAACTTAATTTTTAAGATTAGAAAATGATTTTTATAGAAGTAAAGATTAAATCCTAAATGATGTTGAAAGAATAAGAAGTAATGCTTATATTTTTAATCCTCCTAAATCAGAAGTTTGTGAATTAGCTGATAAATTAGCCAATCTTTTACATTCAATAGTAAATGGTGAGCAACTTCAATAACAAGTAACAACATAAGTTAGAGAAATATAAACAAGAAAAAAAAAAAAATTATATTGATTAATTTTATATTTTAGTATTTAAGTTATTTTTCAATCATACTATTGTATAATATACATTAATTTAAGACTTTTAATTAAGATATTTACATTTTTATTTTGATCATCTTACAAATTTCTAAATTGTTATTGATTGCTTTAAGAATAATGATACTATCACTTTAAAATTAAATTATACTCTATATTTTAAGTAAAATAGGGTATAAATAACTTAATATAATGCATTATTATAAATAAGATATAATATACATTTTATTTAACTAAATATTATGTTGTAAATTTTATAATTTATTATTAGACTATATTTATATTGAATATATATCTTAATAAGCTTTAAATTTGAAGTAAGAACTATTATTTTATCTTTTAATTTTCTTTATTTAATTTTTTATGCTCAATTGAGAGTGTATATAAGGAAAATAAATAAAATTATTCATAAATAATTTAATTATCTGTCTATAAATGTTCCCTGTGAAGTTGATCGATTTGTAATTGTCTCCATCTAGATCGGAATTCAAGGATTTCTCGACTAACATTAGTGAAAATGATTTGGATTATGATACTTTCAAATTAGAACAAGTACATAAGCCTCCATAGATAAAGAAGAGTTCTTCTTATCCTAGAAATTATGTACTATATTTGACACTATATTTTTAGTATAAGTAGCAATTAATTGAAGAAAGCAACATTGAAGGGGATCAAATCATTTAGGAATGCAATCGCTTTGTTTAAGACTCTTAAGTTTCTGTCACTCAACTACTTTAAGAACTAGCTCTTGAATAACCTAATAAGAATAGATCCACCGGTTATCTTAAGTTCTTCGATGAAAATAAAAATTATGGATTTATTGTTATGGATTAGGATGGCTCAGACATATTCGTCTATGCTGATGATCTCGCCAAAACAGGCATTTCAAGAGACTATTTAAGAACAGCTAAATTCGGAAATTACATTAGGTATTCTTCTTATCTCAAATATAAGATTTAATTTTACATGCATGGAATATTATGGTAAATATAACAAATCAAGAAAAGCCATCGATTTGGAGTATCAAAAGCCTAATCCATTCTTCCAAACAATATACTGATTTATATATACAAATTATAACTTAGAATATATAATGTTAAGTTCATTTTTGAAAGTGCTATTTTATCAATAAAAATTAATCATAAAACCATTTTATTTGATATTAACAAAAAAAGTTATTTATCAAAAATTCAAGTATATTCTGTATTAATTACACTAAATAAATGACTTCAACTTTATATTTGTGAATAATTATTCAAATTGACATCATTAATTTTATCCTTAATATTAGGATTAAAATAGTTACATCATATAAATTATAATATTATTATAAAATATCTAAATTGCAATTGCTTTAGAATTGTAAAACAATATCTGAAGGAAGTTTTTTACAATTTATACTATTAAAAGAGTAAAGTACTCCTAAATTTATATAATAATTTTTTAGTCCATTTTAATATGATGAATAATAAATCCAATATTATTGTATATATTAAAAAATGGTCTTTATAATTTATCTAATCTATATTATTTATGATAAAAATATGAAATTTATCAATAACTAATAGTTTATTTATATCATATATTTTATAATAAAATATATATGAATATCATAAAAAACCAAAAATTATTATTCATTAAATAATATATAAGATTTGTTATAACATTTATAGACAAAGACTTAATAATGGATATATTGATATTTCATTTATAAAAGTTAAAAATTTACATTATTTTCTAATTTGTTATTGTTTATTCCTTATCTATTACTTTAGAATATTTATTATATAAATTGTTTTATTTTAATATTTCTTCAAAAGCTTTTTTTTGATTGTCAAATAACTATTTGCATTCAAGTAACTGAAAATATTATTTTAAGGTATACTAAATTATTCGTTTGTTTAGGTCCGCTAACAGATCTATTTCGTAATTGAAAATATCTTTTATCTAACTCAAATTATAAAAGATTATTAGTTTCTGTTGTGCTTACTCTATCTTCAACAATTATTTATTTCATTCTTTGACTTTGTTCTTCTGATTTAAGCCCTCGAAAATCTTGAGGATTCTCATTAGCAGACGATTAAGGTGTAACTGCCTTCTTTGGTGGAATCAAACCAAATTTAAAAAGAGGATTCCTCCTGCTAATTTTAGGGTGAGCCCTAACATCATTAATAATTTTCCAATCTGCAAATGTAGGTGTAAGTATATTGGGTAATTTTGCTCTCTATTCCCCTTGTTCTTAAACTGATGATGCTCTAATCCTAGTTTGTAGTTATTACATATTATTAAGGACAATTTATAATAAAATAAAGAAATTTAACTATTTATTTGTTTTAAATGAAGTTCTAGATATTTATTGATATACAAGCCACTGTATTCATTATATCGATTTCAATAATTAACAATAATATTAAGCATGAAAGATTTTAGAATGAATATGCCATAATTATTTTATCAAGATATTTCTTAAGATGTGGTTAGATATTAATTTAGATATTTATAATTCAAGCTTTTTATTTATAATAAAGTGTTATATTTAGGAATAATTAATTATCCTCTTAAGATAATTAATTATATAATAGATTTTTAAACTAATTATCAATTAAATCTCTCAAAATATTTAGATCTAGGTTTAAAAGATGGCAAATTTAAAAAAAATTAATGTTTACTTGAATATATTCTTTATTTCTAAAATCATACCATAATTTAGGTAAATAGGGTTGTTAAGAATCAATTTTTATTTTGTATATTATTGACTAAAAGGATTTTTTAAAGTAATTTATTAAATAATTTGAGAAAGAGATTTTTTATTACACAATTTAATATTTTGAATGGTTTTACAATTCTTTTTAATTTCTTGTATATATAAAGAGTAGTTTATATTCATTTAATAATAAATAGCATTCATTAGTTGTTAAAAATAAAAATTCATTATTTGTTCATTTTTTTTTTAATAATAAAACTTAAGATTTTTTTAATTCAAACAATAATTTCAAAGGAGAGCCTGTCAAATAAATATGATTTGATTTTTTTCTTTTAGTTTAGATTATTTATTTTTAACTAATTAGTGGAAATTTAATTTTTGCTGGAGAACAATGAGTGCTTTGAGATATATATTTATCAACAGTTCTATTTGGTTTAAGATTGTATGATTATAGTATGTCTTCATAGACTCTAGGACTATGTACTGAAGGTTTTTATTAAATTTTACATTTTGCTCTAGGGAATTAAGTGTTTGTGATTTAACTTTGATTCATATTCATATTCATGTTTTTAGTAATTGTAATTTGAGATTCATCTATTGTTTTTTGACTTCCATTTAAAGCAAAATTTTGCTATTTGATTTAAGTATGAGTTTTATCAATTGTCGTTATTGTTATAAATTCTTGAGTTTCATTAGCAATTTTCAATTCATTTGCAAAAAAATATTCATAACCAATATTATTGTCATCTTTAGTCTATAATGTTTTACATTTATATAGTTTTTATTGAATAAATTAGTTTTAGAGTAAGGTTGTTACTTTTCTTTCCTTCTTAAAGTTATTATGTTCCTCATTTTAAAGAGGGACTCTTGTTATCATAGCTGATAGATGTCTGCCACCTCCTTTATTGCGATACATCTTTCTCTTTCTTTTTTTTATATGATGTGCTCTTATGTAAGTTATCGGTTACAAAGCATTTTATTTCTCGACAAATGCATTTGTCTCTCCACACTCAGAGCATGTACAAGTTTTCCTTCTAAATTTACATTATTATCCTCCAGTTGGATTAAAAAAATAGCATTTAAAGCTTCTTCCTCTTAATGTATTTTAAGGAACAACTTAATTCATTTATTTTATTTGAGGTTCTAACTTGTTTAATTTTATGAATTTAATAGAAGAGTTGAATGAAAATTAATTATTAGTATGTGAATTTTGGAACATTTTAATTAATGATTTTTAGATAATTTTTAATGTATATTTCTAGGTTTAAATAGTAAAGTACTAAACAAAAATAAAATTATTAAATTAAATACAATGAATTTTCAAATTATATTCTATTTTACTTTTTGTCTTGCTGCATCTAATGTCTGGGATATTAAATTACCATCCTAGATGTAGGTACTAGAAAAATTAAGAGAAAGTCGATATGATAGAAGACTTGAGGATGTTTAGAATTAATGGGAACCTATTAGAATAAATTTTGAATACTTAGATCCTGCATAAGAAAATATCTAAACAAATACAGTGTTAAATATAGTTAAGACATTTTTTGGAAGACATTTATTAGTGAAAAGACAAACAGGAAGTTTAGAATGGAAATCTAGTTATGAAACTGATTGGGGACTAATATAAGTACCTACTACGCTATAGAAAAGTTATGATGCTGATTTAGTAATCTAATAGACTATTATTAGGTTTTTTTTGTTGGACAAGAGACAAATTCCGAAGTAGAATATATTGCAAGAGCTGCACCTGTGATTTTTTAAGAAAAAACAGGAAGACCAATTTTTGGATTAATGATATTAAATAATCATTATATGAATGAATATTAGGTATAAATAGAATGAATATTTTTAGGGAACTGATGCAAAATTTGAGGCTGCTGTTTAAATAGTAATACATGAATCAATACATGGTTTAGGATTTGTTGACAATCTCTATCCTTATTATTATAATAGTACATCTAATTAGAAATATAATTTTACTGTTTATTAAAGAGTGAATCAACAGATAGACTTGCCAACTCCAAGATTGAAATAGTTGGTTGAAAATCATTTTTGTTGCTCTAATTTATTGGGGGGAACTGTATTTATAATCAAGTTAATAATTAGATGGAAGATTAAAGTGGAAGTGGAACAGCTGGATCACATTTTGAAAGATCTATCTTTCAAAATGATCTAATGACAGGTTCAATATTGACAGGTGATTCTCTATTTACAGAATTTACATTTGCCCTCTTAGAGGATACAGGGTATTAAATACATAAATAAATTTTAGATTTTATAGAGTAACTAAACATGTTTCTGATGTGTTATTATGGGGATTGGATAAAGGATGTGATTTTTATTAGTACTAATGTTATTCAGATACTTAATATGAAGAGTTCTGTTCAGATCCATATAATCCAGACGACTCAGATGATAGCCCATTTGATCATTTATCTTGTTCATATGCTCAAACAGGAATAGGATTTTGTGTAAATGATGGACTTGTTGAATGTCCATATTATGCTGTCATTCCTTAATTTGACTGCAGAGATGCTTCAAATTATAATGCAACGTTATTTGATGGATCTAATTTCCATTTTGGATATGATAGTATGTGTGTTAGAGGTGGTTTAACAAAAAAAGGAAAATATTTGTATCTTGGATTTAGTTGCTTCAAATATTCTTGTGATGAAGATGATTAGTTAACCATTATAGTTGATGGAGTTCAATATGATTGTAGTAGCGGAGGTTCATCACCAAGTTTTGATACTAATAAATATTAATATGGATTTCTTTGTCCAGATAATCCTGAATAAATCTGTTAATCAAATAATGAATGTCCAAAATAATGTAATAAGAAGGGATTTTGTTTAGGAGGAGTGGTATATAAGATTAAATTAATAGATTAGTGTACTTGTATACCTGGTTATTCAGGAAGAGGATGTGAAAATCTTTGTTATACATTTAGAGATGGAATTGATTGTGTTTAGAGTTGTCCAGCAAATACATTCTCAAATGAACAAACAATGTATTGTATTGGTTGTCCTGCTAATTGCTCTACATGTTCAGCTAAAGATGAATGCACAGAATGTGAAGAAAACTTTGAATTAGTTGGAGGATTTTGTGAACCATTACCAACATATACTTTAATGTTAGTCACATCTATAATCGCTTTATTTTTAGCTTTATGATAATAATATTATATAGATCATTTTTTAGTAAAAGATTTATCTCTAAATAATTTTTTATTCTATTTCCAATTTATGTATCGATTATAATAAAATAATTATATTCCTTGCAATTTTTTATTTTAAATAATTAAATATTAATGTTTACAAAAATATTAAGATTCAATTTAAGAATTAAAAATAAGAAATAATAAATTAAATTCAAAAATTCTATTTTAAAATATAAATCAAGAAATAACTTAAATTTTAGATTAATAATTGTTAATATTAAATTTGATTTATTATTAAAGTTAGTAGTACCAAAAGTCTATTTTAATTGGAAAATATATTTAAACTATAAATAATAATTTATACACTCTTGTTAAAATTACACTATAATTTTTAATAACAAACTCTTATTTTCTCTAATTATTACATTATATTCAATTTGATGATTTATTATGAATATTAGTTTTGTTATAAAAAAATAGATAAAAATAAGTGAATATATAAATTAATAAAAAAAAAAAAACTTGACTTAATATATAAATACTTCTTATTTATTATATAAAAAATCTTGTTTATTCCCAACAATAATAGTTTTAATAATACACTATTTTTAATATTACAAATTTTTAAATATATATTGCAATTAATATAATTATTGAATATTTAAAGTGATATTAATATTTTCATGTTTATTTTTTATAATTTTATGATGTCAAGTTGGATTAATCATTTTTTATTGTATTTCCTTTATGAATTAATGATAAATACAAAAATAAATTTGTTTATAATACCAATTTTATTCTTCATGTCCATGATAACGTAAAATTAAATTGAATATATGATAAGAACTTGAAATCAATAAAAAAATTTTTATTTGCTGATTTTTAGTAAAATTTAAGCACTTTAGAGAAATAATGACTTTGATTCTATTGTAAATTAATTAACGTGATATAATTTTGGTATAAAATAATCATGAATATTTACATGAGCATTTCGATTAATTTACTGATTGGATCTGATGCTATAATCAGTGCAATATTGGCAGATTAAGAGACTAATTATATATTAACAGCAATTAGATTCTCAATAGCTTTGGTCAGTGTAATATGTCATTTTGTTATCCACAAATAATTTAAGGTTCCATTATTTACCCTTTGCTTATAACTGTTATATTAAGTATAATTGGCTTCAGAAATTAGGTAAGCCTTTTAAAGTTTAGATTCTTATCACTTTTATATATATTTGTTATTGTTATATTAAGAACAAACAACACAATAGCATAAATATTTATAATATTTCTCAATAGTTTATTGTATGGTAGAGATTCAAATTACTAATACTTTCATATATCAGTACATAAACACAACCTTAATTACTATATTAATAATTTTGATAAAAGTGGTGAATTTACAATAATTAAGACACAAACATACCACTTCTCATGAAGTTTTATATTCTTATTCTACAGTACCAGCTGAATAGATTATGTCAAATAGGAAAATTGATCTTATTTAAAAAGATGAATTAATTTACATTACAAATCATATTAAACAAGGAATAATATATTTTTCAACTACTTTAGATATATTATACATAAATGATAAGGCATCTAAGATATTAATGGCTTAGAGTGATGAATAAGCTATGCTTTAATTTTAAAAAATGATATTACAGTAAATTTTTATACTATTTTTTAGGGGTTTAGAATAAGAAGAATCATTAACAAAATTACACAAAGAGATTAAGTGTCGTGCTTCATAAAAGTAATTACCTTAAAAGGCAGATGGTAAAATGATAGAATCTTTAATTGCATCTGCTGAAAATCATTATAAAAAATATTAATCATTAAGTGAGAAGATATTAGAATAATAATTCTAATATAAAAAATAAAAAAAAAATTAATTATCAAAACATAATTTTAAATAGTTGCTTTTATCACTTTTTAGTGAATCATAAATTTCTTCTCTGTAATAATATCTGTAACTTTAGTTTAGAACATAGGAATTTTGTTAAATCTAACAAATTAACAGTTCATTTTAGTACCAATAATCATGAAAAAACCATAGAAATAACATTTTGTAAAATGATAAACTTATTAAACTAAAATTGTTATCTAGCATTATTTTAAGATATCAGTGAAATAGAATAGTAATAATAATATGTTTAGAAATATAAATTTTAAACCTTGTATTTTAATTCATTTTCTCATGAATTGAGAACTCCACTTAATTGTTCATTAAATTTATTATAAGCTTTAAAAAATTAACCTATTTAAACAAATCTTATACAATAATATATTAATCCTTCAATAGTTTCTAATAAATTACTTATGCATTAAATTAATGATATCTTAGATTATGCTTCATTTGGTTTAGGAACATTTCATTTAAATATGTAAGAATTTCTGATAAAAGATTTATATAAATAATTAGAAGAATATTATTAAGACATTTGTTAAAGTAAAGGGATTAAATTAAATTTACAAATTTTAGATGGTTTAGAAAATATCAAAATTAATAATGATCCTGAAAGAATATTATAATTACTTGTAAATTTAATTAATAATTCATTAAAATTTACAGAATAAGATGATACAATATCAATAACAGCCAAAAAAAAATAAAAATCTTCTGGATTGATAAATTTTATTAAATTTATTGTTCATGATACTGGTAAGGGAATCTCTAAAGTAGATTTAGAAGCAATTAATAATATAGTTAATGCAAGTATTGATGATAGTATATTTTATTAATTGAGAAATTTCACAACAAAATATGTAGGACTTGGTTTTTCTATTGGAATGAAAATGAATCATGAATTGTCTTATTCAAAAAAATCATATTTTAAAATTAGAAGTAAAGAAGGAGAATATACTAAAATTAGTTTTAGAATAAATAATTAAATAAATTCTATTTCTAGATCTCTTAAAGGATCTACAATAAGATTAGATGAGATAGTAGAATCAAATGATGATAAAGTTACTATTGAAGATCATTAAATGCCATTATGGAATTAAACATTTTTTACTTAAAGATAACATTAAAATGATACAAATCCTCCAATTCTTATTTGTGATGATGTACCATTTAATTTATTGTCTTTAAATTTATTAATTAAAAATCTAGGATTTGAAAGTGAAATGGTATATGATGGATAAGAAGCTATAAATAGAGTTATTAATAGATAGAAAATGTAATAAATATAATATAAATTGATTCTAATGGATATTGAGATGCCTGGTTTAAATGGATATTAAACATCTGTATAATTATTAGAAATTGATAGAAAATTGAATATAGCTATGTGTTCTGCTTATGATTCTGAAAATAATCTACTTAAAGCATTAGAAAGTGGTATGAAAGAAATCTTAATTAAACCTGTAAGATTTGAACAATTAAGGTAACTGATTTTTAAATATATAAAATGATTATCATTTACATTAATTTGGTTTTCCATTATTAAGTCCAATTAAATCCAAGTTATCTTAACTTTCTGCTATACAATCTTCTTCTTTTTATGATAACCCATTCAAACTATAAGAAAACTTTGGACTAAACCCAAAATCTTATGATTCCTAAATAGCATTGTTTGAATCTCTTAATTTATAATTAAATGTATTTTAAGAATAATCTCTATATTTATAAATTAATTATACTTTGATAACTTCTGGTATAACATAAATGCATAATCATTATAATCCAATTTATATTTTTCACAAACAGCTATTAGAAATTAGTCAAAACTATATTTGTAACTTTGTGCTTATAATAATTCATAAATAAGATCTAAACTACCTAAATTATATTAATTAATAATTTTACCAATTTTCTCATTTAATTTTGCAACAACCTTATTAAATCCTTCTTTATTAGTTTCTGAATTAGCCATTTACATAGTTAACAATTATTTTAGTTCTTCTCTTGAAATGTTTGCTACTTTCCCATAATACACAATATTATATACGTGTTTGCCTTAAATATAAATCTTTTCAATTTCTAATGAACAATGAGCAATGAAAGATTATTATTTATTGTTATTTCTATATTGTTAATTTATATTCAAAAGTAAAGGTAATTAAGAATAATCTATTTATGCAGGAAATTGAATGATTAAATTTTCTATTTAATCTGATATTAAATTCAATAATTCTTTAAGATTTGGACTGCAATCTTTTATGATATCTTTACATATTTGTTGATCATTATTCATAGTTGGATTAATAAATATGCTATCAAATGGAAGATTCTTTTTTAATTTAAAAATATCAGCATTAATAATTTCTACTTTTGGATTTGGTAAATCTTAACTAAAAGCACTCTAATCACAATTTTATTTGGTCTATAAACAAGCATTAGTATTTTTATCAATAGCAATTACAAAGTCTAAATATTTTGTAAACTTTAATTTATTAATTGTATTATACTTGAACTGTATTTTCACCATTTCCACATCCATATTCTGCTAATGTTGCAATTTATTCTTTTATTCTAGATGCAATATATTTTGAAGTTAATTCTGGATATTTATTATTATTTAGAATTTATTCACTGTCATTTTTCTATTCAAATAATCTTGATTTTTTTAAATCTGTATTTTATATTTTCTTTGTTTTTAAATCAATTTATGTTATCTTGGCAAATATAGATTCTCCACTTTGATTATTTCTTAATAAAAATAACTAATTTTGCAAATAATTATTTTCAAAAGTTGTGATTGCAAAACTACTAACTATTGGAGATGCAACACTTACTTTTCTTTAAGATTCTGAATTAGTTGAATTTAATAAGTTCAATTAAGAAGAAGCATAATGTTTACTTCCATCTAAATCAGATTTATTCATTGAGTGCCGCACCTTAGAAATTTACATTGTTTTACTCTATTCCATTTTACTCTTCTTTCTAAAACAACCACAAAAATATCCAACATCTTCATATTCCTCTTCTGGTTTATGAGAGTTCTTTTTGCTATTACTACTCATTATTAAAATATAAAATATTTACTTTAATATATATATATATATATTTATTGATCTCACAATATAGATTGATATAAGTTTAATACCTTTGTTCCTGTTAATGAAATATTAATTACTTAATAGAGTGATACCTAATTTATATTGAATATAATATACTTTATAAATAATGTTTAAAACACCAAGAGGATAAAGGGAATTGTCATAATCAAACTATCTTTCTATAATCCATTATCTTGCTATTTTTGTATCTCCTATTATAATTTAATGATCACTCACTTAAACTTCAACTAATTTAGTTTTATTCATCATAAAATCAATCTAAAATATATATATATATATTAAATATACCTATTCTAATTCTAATCTCATATTATAAATTGATTCATCTAATACTTTAAATCCTAATTTAGATGATCTTCTTGATGAATATTCAATTAAATTTAAATTTTCATTCTCCTATATTTAAATTATCATTTATTGTAAATGTATCATTTTCTTTAAATGTTTATTTTAACTAATAGTTTATTAAATGCTAGCATTCTCACTTGTATATATTTATATCAATCTTTATTTACAATTTTCTTTTAATTAAAATGCATCTTCTTTAGTAATCTTGAACATTTATGTACAATTAGATAAACTTTCAAATTATTCTAAATCATATTCAGTTTAAGTAAAACCATCTGAAAATAAATTTTAGAATTTAGTTTATTCTCTCTTTTTAGCAATTTCTAATTCTTGAAGTAATTTTTAATAAAGTGCTTCTTCAAATCCAATTTAACTCTTTAATTATTGATTCTTGCTATGTACTGTAGCATATTAAATTTCTAATTTATCTTTCTCTTATTAAGTTTCACTTATTTCTTTAGCTATAGATTAAACTAAAGCTTGTTTTTCTTATTTTTCCATCTCTACATGTTCTAAGTCTGCCTAAATGTCCTATAAATATTACAATTTGTTTTCTTTTTCATTCTCTAAATTCTCAACTTATTCAGCCAATTATCTTCCTTCTTATGAATACAAAGCCATTCTATTTCTTAATTATAATAATTTTTAATCACTTTCAACAAGATTCTTATATAATATTTATAAATAATCTTTCTTCTCTTTCAATTTATTCTTAGTATTACCTTCTTATTCAAAAAGTTCTTATGTTTCTATTTCTAATTAATAAATTCTTTATAAAACACAAACCTTTTCAGATTCTAAATCTGATTATTTAGTAAAGATTGCTTAAAGTTCAAATTCTATTTATTCTACACTCTATCTTCTTGAATCTAATTCTTAAGCTAATCTATTTTCCTTTTCAGCCCATTCCTTTAATTATAATGATAAAGCATAATGATTTTCTGCTGTCTATTTAATTTTATTCTATAAATCCTTCAATAATTCACTTTCTTTAGTGAATTTATCTTACAATTCCAATAATAAAGGATCATCATCCATAAAGAAACTTGGTTAAACTGACATCTTAGATTAAAACATAGAAGGAATCATACTATTTCTTTCATGCTATTACTATTATAATGTCTAAATAGTCATTTCTAATATTTCTATTTTTTTATCTCTATCTTATAATGTTTATTAGATTTTTTCTGGAGCAAATTATGATACTGAAACAGGAATAATTTTACTAATCTATTATTCTTCAGCCTTCTTTTCAGTTGTATCTGGACTCTATTCTACTAATTTCTAAAGATCATCCTTCAAATTATTATTACGTGAATTCAAAGAAGTAATCTTATCTTATATATCCTCTTCCATATCTTCATCTTATTATTAAGGTTCTGCACCTAATGATCTTTATTTCTTTCTTTATGTTACTAATTGTTTCTAAACCTCATTAACATCATTATTTATTTTCTCTAATTCATCAATTAAATTTTCTTTCTTTTTTTATAATTATTTTAATTCCTTCTCCTTCAATTAAAGAACAGCCTCCATCATCTTAGAATCCTCATCTACCTTTTTAAATTAATCATTTAATTTATCTAATTAATCATTCTTTTCTTCTAATTAAAATTTCATTTCATCCAATTAAGCTGATGCTGAATGAAGATCTTATTCTAAATCATTCTTCTCTAATAATTTAAATTCAAGTTCCTATTTCTAATTGTTATTTAAATTTTCTTATTCTTAAATTTATTATTTCACTTATAATTCTTACTCTTTTAATTTTTAAACTTCATTTTTCAATTACTCAATCGATTCTAACATCTCTTATTATGCCATTGATTATTCCATTTTCTCATTTAATTCAGTCTCAAGATCCCTCAATTATATTGAATCTAATTAATCCTTTAAATCCTTTTCTCTCTAATATTTTTCTATAATTTATTCTTCAATATCCTTTATTAACTTACTTTAATCCTCCAACTATCTTTCCTTCTATTCCTTCTCTTATAATAACTTATCAATTTGTTTATTTAATTAATCTGCTTATTCCTAGGTTACATTCAAGATTTCATCTTTCTTTTCAATGATTGATTTCAATTATGATATTTGTTCATCCCTTTCTGGAATTATTTTAAGATTAATTTCTATATCTTTTTCATATTAATCAATCTATTCTTTCAAGTTTTTAAATTATTATTATTATTGCAATAAATATTCTTAATCTGCTTGCATTTTTTTAATTTCATCCTAAGTCTTTTACAATTACTCTTCTAAAACTTATTTCTTCTTTAAAAGATCTTCTAATTCAGCATTAAGAATATTATAATTTTATTTTTCAGATTCTAAATTTTCAGCTAATCTTTTTGATTTAGCAATAACTGCATTCACTAAGACTTCTTCTTTCTTTATTTAATCTTCAAGATTTGTCTTCTTTTCATTCAAATCTTAGAACACATGATTATTTTCTTCAAGATATTTTTCTGTTTCTGAAACATCTTAAAATACTTTATTCTTTTATTCAATCTTTTATTACAATTCTTATTATAAATTATTTAAAGCCTCTACATTTTATGCATATTACAATTTAACTGTCTCTTTTAATTCATCAATTTCTTTGTTTTAAGGCAATAACAAATTTATTTACTCTTATGTAGCTTTTTATTCATCTTATAAAGTCTCATAAGTTTGTTTATCTTCATAAATCTATTTAGTAAGAGCATCTATTTATTCATTCAAAGTAATATCTTCAATAGTTAGATTTTTATATATTTTAACTTCTTATTCGATTCCTTAATTTTCATCTCTTAATTAATTTAATTCTGAATCTAATTGTTGCTTTTTATCTTTTTATTATAGAATTTCTTGATTAAGAGTTGATAATTACAATTCTAAAGCAGAAGTTATTTACTGTTTCTAATTAATTTAATTCTCTAATTATTATTATTTGTCATTTAAATCTATTAATTTTTATTCACATTAAGTAACTGATTCTTATAATTATTTTTCATTTTACTACAATTCTTAAAGTTGAGGCTCTAAAAGTTTAAGTTGATATTATAAATTATTTTATTCTTTATGTAATAAATCCCTTCTTCCTTTTTACTTTCTATTCTATTGTTAATATAATTAATTATCTTTATTCAATCTCTAAATATCATTTTTCTTATCTGCAACAATTGTTTCAAGATCTATAATTAAAGAATCATAATTAGCAATTTGATTCTTTAATTATTTCTAAGACTATTTCAAATCATGAAGTTTCTTACTCAATTCTAAATTCTCTGATTTAGTTTTTATTATTTCACTTTATTCTGAACCTCCAATCTCTTATGGTTAATTATATTCCTTCTTCTAAATTTCTTATTCAATCATTTATTTCTAACTCTATTATAATTCCTCCATTAATTCATCAAAATTAGAGTTCTCTTTCTTAATTTATTCAATTTATTGTTGTCTTTCAATTTACTCTTATTTTAAATCTTTCATCATTTCATTCTATTAAAATAATTATTATTTTAATGAATCTATTTCTAATTACTTCTCTTTCTTCTATTATAAATAAAAATCAAGCTCACTATCATCAATACTCAATTATCTCACCTACTCTTACATTTGATTAATAGAACTAGTCAATTCACTTAAATTATTATTATGTTCTTATATCAAAGGATGTTAATTTTAAGCTCTTGGAGATGATTCTGTTCTTATATTACTAGCCTTATCATCTGAATCTTCTTAATAAATATACATTGGTTATTACAAAATTCTTGAATTCTAATTAGATAATCTAGTCTCTTTTTATGATAACTGTTATTATTTATCTAATATTCTCAATTCCAAATTTGTTAATGCTTCATCTAATTCTAAATTCTTCTTAATTAATTCATCTGTCTATTAAATCTTTTATTAAAGTATTTAATTTTCTTTATTTTATTTTTCAACTTAAATTTGTATTTCTGCATTCTTAATTTCCATATCTAATTCTTTTACTTTTGATTTTTTCTCTTATAATTTATATTATGAATCCCTAATCAAATCTTCATAATTTAAATTCTCTTAAACCAAAGCTTAAATCTCATCCTATAATTATTTATTTTACTTTTTGATTACTTTCACATCTTATTAAGCTAATTAATATCCATGAATCTATTTCTTTAAATCAGCTACTTAATTTCTTAATTCTAAATTAGACTTATCTCTTTCAGCTAATTCACTGCTTAATTATTCAATCTTATTTTTTAATTAATCTATATTCATGCTATATCCTTAAAGTACTTATTCCTATTATTGTAATTATGTATCCTGCTCTTAATCATAAGATTTAATAATCATTCCACTTTCTCTTTGCTCCTGTATATTCGAAATACTAGAATCTGCTCCTATTTATAATTCAAGATCTTTCACTTTTTATTATTTCTCTGCTAATTTTACTTCTAAATTATTCAAAGTTTCTTCTATCTAAATATTCTTTCTAATTAATTCATCAGCTTTATCACAATTATCTTAATATGTTTTGATTAATTAACTATTTCTAAACTCTCTATCTTTTTCATCAATCGCCTTCTCCTTCTCAAATACTTTTTATTATAATTTTGATAATTCATCATTCAAAGCAGCAATTTATAAATTTTTTTAATGCAATTAATCTTATAATTATTTCTTCTCATTAACACTATCTGATACTCTCTAACTTACTAATTCTTAATCTTTATTATAAACACCTTCCAATTATTCTTTTCTCTTGTTTTTTCTTGATAATGCATCTCTCAATTCTTATATCCTTCTGTCTGCATCACTATTACTCTTTAACAAATCCCAAACCTCTTATAACTTTTTCCCATCTATACCCTCTTTACTCAATAATTCTTAAGGAGAAGCAAATCCTTAAGTTGATTTGACTTATTAAAGCTTAGGTCCAGAATCCTCATCTATTTGAGCAAAGACAGGTTATGATTTTGCTGGATGTAATAAGTGGGATTATTATTCAGAAGGATTTGGTTCCTTTATTTCTTACTTTTAAATATCTCCATCCAATTCTTATAGAATTTATCCAGTTTACAAAGGAATTGAAATTTAATCCTCATTATTGCTTATAACTTATTAAACCTCACTTATTTCTTAGATAGGTTCAACTATTTATGCTTAATTCTATTATTTTATGAATACTTAATTTGGTTATACTTATTATTCTTTAGGTTATTCATTTGTTTTAGATTATACTACTGATTTTATTCCTTCTTATAATTAATTAATTAATTAATCTTTATAATCATTCTTTTCTACAAGTTTCTTTTCCAATTCTTCAATTAAATCATCTAAACTTAAATGTTCTCTAACTAATTCATCTGCCTTTTATTATTTCTCTATAAGTCTTTGTCTATTGTCCTTAATTTAAGAATTTGATGAATTAGAATCATGAATAGAATCTCTTATTTTTTATGACAATTAAGAAGCTTACTCATGTTAATTGTCCATTCTTTATTATAACTCCCTATTAAGTTTAATTTGATTATCTAACTAATCTTCTAATCTTTATATATCTTTACGTAATTCTGTATTTACTAATTCTTCTTATTAATGTAAGAACTATTCATTTTAATATTCTTATATTGAAGGTACTAATTCCTTATAAGATTTAAGTTCATCTTCTTTTTCTTTCAACAAGTCTCTCAAAATAGTCATTTAAGCAAGCTTATTTTCTTTATCTGCCAATTAGTCTTTCAATCTTGAAATTTACACTTCTTAATCATATTATCTTTATAAGGCTTCCTAATCCAATTTGGTAGTACTTGCCATAGTTGCAGATTCCTATAAATAAGGATCTTATTGTGATGATTCAATCTTTTTCTCTAAAGCATTCAATTATCCCTCCAATTTATCCTTAACTTCTTTCTTTGATTAAACCTTTTATTCAAGATTCTCTATAATATCTTAAAGTGTTTAAACTTCTTAAATCAAGTCTGCTTGTTTCTCTAAACTTTTCTCATATTATTATTGAAGATTTTGAGGATTTTTCTTAGAATCAATAAATTCAGGCAATTATTAATTTTAAACTTATTCAGATTGTAAATTTTCATTTTATACTGTAGGATGAGATTATTTAGACTAAATATCATCTCCTTATTATTGTTTCTATTATGATGATCCTTTTTATTATTTTATTTAATCAATTAATTTTTAATTTTCCTTTTAAAGATCTTTTATCTTTTTTTCATATTTATCTTTAATAGTTAACTTTTTAAATTGATTTTATTGATCTTCAGGTTACTCCTATTCTGAAGCTTATTAGTTTAACTATGGTAATTAATCATACAAAGGCTCCTCTTAAGATAATTTTGGAGATAAAGAAACTTCTTCATCTAATTCTTTGTTTAACATATAAAGTTCATACATTTTCGCTCTCTTTTATTGATCATTATACTCTTTATTAGCTTCTTCCAATTATTTCTTTAACTCTTCATTTTCTATCTTCCTATTTGCTAATTTACTTTCTAAATCAATTATAATATCTGCAATTTCCATATTTTACCTAACAAGATCATCAGACTTTCTTTAATTTCCTTCCAATTTTTACTTTTATTATTCTTCAGATAAGGAACCAAATTATTTCAATTCTTCAATCTATTCTAATAGCATCTATATGTGATCATCTTTTGTTTTTATTGTCTTTTACAATTATTCAATTGTGATTCCTTAATCTTCTGGATTCTATTCATTATTCTGATTAGGAACTGAAGCTTGTAATTAAAAGTTAATATTATCTTATTAATTAGATCCCATATTTCCAGTTTAGAAATTAAGAGGTATATTTTGAACACCTTAATTAGCAAGTTCATTCTTGAGATCATCAATTTCATTTTCTTTTTCTCTAATCAAATATTCATAATTTTTAATTATATCCAAAGGAATAGTAATAAACTTACCATCTTAAGTTTTATTTTTAGCAAATTATGATTATTTAAGATTTTCAGGTGAACTTGTGACTTCTTATTATGAAATGTCTTATTAATTTAAACTTCCTAAATCAAATGAAAATTCTTCATTATCCACCATATGTTAAAATGGTTCTCTAAATTTTTCAATAGGATTTGTCCTTTATTATTCAGCTGATTTACTATAACTAGGTTTTACAGATTCTTTAGTCTACAATTATTCTTTTTTGAAGTTGTTTAATTAATCTTCTAGTTATTAAATTTGTTTTTCTAATTCTGAATTGTCCTATTAAGTATTTTGTAATTTATTTTTAATATTAGATAATTCTTCTTTTAAGGGTTGATTATCTTATTATTATATTCTTAATTCTTCATTTAATTATTAAACTAATTGTTCTAAAATTTTATTATTTTCTTCTGTCTAATTAAATTTATCTTAAAGTTTTTAGAAATCATCATTATTTATTTTAGTAAGATTTTTATTTTTTTAATCGTGCAATTAAGTTAATTTTTCTTCCTACTGTTTTATCTCTGATTAAGTTTGATTATTTTAATCTTGTAATACTTTATTCTCTTGAAGTAGTTATTATTATTTATCTTTATTTTAATTAATATCTTCTTACAATTATTAAATTTCATTTTTGAAGTTTTTATTATCAGTTTCTAATAGAGAATGTTATTTCTATAAATCTTTTAAGTTTTATTATAAAGCTGGAATATTTAATTTCTAAATCTCATTCTCTATTTCTTCTTTTTAAGCTTGTTTATCTACTAATTTCTATTATAATTCCAAAATTAAATCTTCTAATTGTTAATTTTCTATAACTAAATCATCAACATTATTTGTATTTAATTTCTCAACTTAATTATCTTATTTATTTAAATTATTTTATGATTATAATTATTATTAATTATCATTAATAGTATTATTTTATTTTTATATTTGATCTAACTCATTTTATTTTTAGAGCAATGATTTTTATAATTCTTTAATTTTATCATTGACATCTAAATTTTATTTAATTAATTCATCAACATTCTTTGGTAATTGATCTTTTGATTATAATAATTATTTCTCCAATTCCACATTTTAAGTTCCCACTTCCAATAATTTAGCTTATAATTCTTTTTTCCTATTGTCTTATGACATTAACTTTCTCTCCAAATCATTTATCATATCATCCATTGTAGCTGTTTATTTTGCTAAATCTAAGGCTTAATCTGATCTAATAGGAGATATATCTCTTTTTTTTATTTCAGAAATAGAGTCATTTGCCTTTTGCTGTTAGAGTTAAAGGCGAGATTTCAAATTTTAAATTTCGATATCTTTCTCCTCTATTAGAAATTGCATTCTTCTATATTCTTGTATGATCCTTTCAATCACATCTTATAATGCTTCTGGATATTATTATAATTCATTCAGTACACTTAATGTTTCATTTCCTTGTTGTGCTACTCCTACTTTATTTCGTTTAGATTATATATTTGATTAAAGTTATCCTATCAATTAATCTAAAGTGCTTTCCTAAGTCTTTAATTAACCGATGACAGCATCCTTATTTAAAATTTGATTTTGAAGATCTCCTATAATATTTTGTAGTTATAAGTTTTATTGAATCAATTGTTGTTATGCAGCTAGTATTTCTGGTGATGCTGCTTATACTGGCTTAGATGTAAATTAAGCAATCATTGCATCTTTCTCTTGAATTTAACTCCTTAAAAACTCAATTTATGTCTTAAGTTAAACATTGATGTTCTACAAATGTAAAACTTATTCATTTTGAAAATCTAAACTTTCTAATTGCTTTAATCTTCTACGAAGTTCTTCTATCTCTCTAGCTTATTACCAAATAATATGTTCTTAATTCATCAAGAGTTCTTCAATCTCTAGTTTATTTCTTAACTATTATTACCTTGAATAGTGGCTGTGGCCCCTTTCAAATGTCCTTAAAGTTTAGATACGCACTGCTCACGATTTATATTACTCATTTTTTAATTATATTTCTAAATATAACAATTTATCAAACACTTATATACAATATTAATCATTTAATCATACACTTATTATTGACAAATCTTGAATAGACTTTGAAATATTAATCATCTAAATTTAGTCCAATTTTATTAAAATAAATGAATCATATAAATTTCATTTAGAATCAAATTGGAGAAATTAAAAATAATATGTTATCATCAAATTTACATTGTATTTCTTTATTGATAACAATATTTATAAATCATTAATATCACTTCGATTATTAAAATCTTGAAATTTAAAAGAATACATATTTTTATATCAAAATAGTTTATAAATATTCTAATTAGAATTAGAATCATTAAAAAAGCATTAAATAGTAATAATTTCAATGAGATTTTGAAGCCTGAAATTTTATGATGTATAATGGATAAGTTCTCTATATATAGTTTTTAAAAAGTTGAGAAAAGAGTTTGATGTCAAAAATAATTAAAAATTTATTTTTTAGTTAAGAAAAATTAATGAATTATGCTTTAAAATTTAAACTTAAAAGTGATCTTGAAATATTTAACCAAGATTAATAGAATTAATTTCATAAATTAGAGAAAAAGATTTTATATCTTTAGATGTATTCTTATAATTTTAATTGCTTACAAATGTTATATTATAGTATCATAATTATTATTTTGTATTATTCTTACTTAATCATATGAGTTCATACATTTTTATTATAAATATATATAAAAATATTATTTATATTAAATAAAATCAGCCTTCCTCCATTGATTATATATTATATATTAATTTTGTTAACTGTCATGAACTAACTTCAAATTGAAGAACTTTAAAGAAAATTGTAGCAATTATAACTTGAACGAATGAATGAGGATTCATCAGATGAAGAGCCAACTTTTTAGTCTGTTTAAGGAAAACAAAATGATAAATAATTATTCTAAAATCTCTCGATTAATAGTTTTGAAGTTTACACAACATTAGGTACTGGCACTTTTGGACGTGTAAAATAAGTTCGAATAAAACGTGATGCAAGTCGTTAAGTTTATGCTTTAAAAATAATGAAGAAACATGATATCATTAAATTAAAATAAGTTGATCACATCAAATCAGAAAAGAATATTTTAAATGAAATTTAACATCCTTTTTTAGTATAATTGAAGGGTTCATTTTAAGATTAAAAATGCATATATATGCTATTTGAATTTGTTTCAGGTGGTGAATTATTTTCTAGATTAAGAAAGGATGGCAGATTTAGTTAAGATATTACATTATTTTATGTTTCTGAAATATTATTAGCAATTTAACATTTACATAGAAAAGATATAGTCTATAGAGATTTAAAACCAGAAAATTTATTAATAGATTGTGAAGGACATATTAAGATAGCTGATTTTGGATTTGCTAAAAAAATTACAAATAATCATACTTAAACTTTATGTGGTACACCAGAATATTTGGCACCTGAATTAATTTAAGGAGCAAAAACTGGATATGGAAAATCTATAGATTGGTGGGCATTGGGAGTTCTAATATTTGAAATGTTAGCAGGGTAAATTATAATTTTATTATATAAGTCATCCTCCATTTTATGATATTGAACCAACAAATATATATAAGAAAATATTAAATGGAGTAATAGAGTTCCCTAAATTTTTGCATGTAAGAGCAAAGGATGTAATAAGAAAATTATTAAATTCTGATATTAATAAAAGATTAGGAGTGGAAGATGTAATTTCACTATTTAAAATAGGAAGGGGCAGCATTAATGAACCATAAATTCTTTAGAGGGGTTCCTTGGTAAAAGGTTTTTGAAAAAAAGATTCAACCACCATGGATTCCGTATATGAGAAATGAAACTGATTCATAATGGTTTGATAAATATCCAGAAGAAAGAGATGATATACCACCTGTGGATGATGAAAAATAGCATCTGTTTGATGACTTTTGATTAGTTAAATAAATTGAATTAAATAGAAACTAACGATTAATATTTAATGAATTAGTAATATATCAAATATTAAATCTTAACTTTAAATTGTTTATAAAATAATTTAGTGATTCAATATAACATATTATTATTATTGGATTTTTATTTCTATTTCAAAGCATAAATGAAATGAATCTTTGTAATCTAATTTTAATTATATTATTAAATTATAATTAAAAAATATATTTATACATATTTATAAAAACCTTTATATATTAGATGTTCTTTCAATAATAGAACCATAAGTAGAATAATTGAGAATATAAAATAATTGTCTAACTCTTTAATGTATTTTTTTATTTTATTAAAATGTAAAGATATCATCTAAAATTTTATATCTATTCATAAATTATTGAGATTAAACTATAGAATTATGAGTTATATATGTTAGATTGATAGCAGTGACTCTTGTATACAAAAACTATTAAGATTGTAAAAATTATTCTTTAAAATAATGAATTTAAGTTATAAAAATATAAGATTCCTATATTACTACAATGTTAAACTTCATTTTTTTCCCGCTAATTTCAGAAATAAAATTAAAAAAAATGCAAACCGAAGTTCCTCCCTGTTCAGAAGGTAAATTCTTGAATTAAATATAGATCAAAATTAAAAGGACTCTTCTATGAAGATAGATAATTAAACAAATGATGAAGCCAATTAGAACTAAAATGAAGCAATGGATATTGAGGATAATCATCAAAAATAATAAAATTAGAGTAAGAATTACAAATATCTATTACTAGGAAAAAGAAAACAAAATAACATTCAAACATAACCAGCAATAATTCTTACTGAAAAGAGATAAAGAAAACCACCTTAATAAGCATATGTATAACGTGATCCATCTCCTTAAAAAATAGCGGAAAAAAAAAAACTTAAAAAATACAAAATAAGTTAAGAAATTGAAGATATTTGTACAAAGATAGCAAAATGGGAATAGTTTTAGATAGGGTTAAATCAATTAGGATATCCTAGTATAGTTTTAGATGAATAAAAGATTTTTGATTTATTAAAGGATTATGATTAAAAGGATGAAGCTGGTAAGGAATATGATTTAAAAATGCTTCTGAGACTTATTGGAGAAGCAATGTGTTGTAAGGATAGAAATGAGATTAATCTACAGATAAAAAATAAAATGGAATAATTAATATAATAAAAAAATATTATAATAAATTGGACATTAGAAAAATGGGATGAATAAATTAAGTCTTTTTTAGAAATTAAAGCTTAATTAAATGAATAAATTCAACCTGCCTCACAATTTGATTGTTAAGCCTTGTAAAATCTTATTGGGAATAATCTACCTAATTATATTGAAGAATCAAAATTTAATGTCACATTAATTGTATTTAAATCAAAACAAATTGATGATTTAAAAAAAGTATGCGATTTGAATGAATTGAAAAATGTAAGATTAATTAGAGAGTATTTAATTACTTTAAATAACAAAATAGATTAACTCAAGAAACTTAAAGAAAAAATAAATATCCTCAAAAAAATAGAAGATGAAAATGATATTATACAATAATACAATTCTTAAGATTTAAAACTTTTAGAATTCAAAAATACTCCTATTAAATTTTTGTAGAAAACAGAAATTAAGGTGAAATAACTTATACCATAATCAAAATAAAAATTAAAACCATAAAATCTTGAAAAAATTGAAAATAACCAAAGTAATGAAAATGAATAAATAAATTCATAAATAAATTTTTAAGCTGAATCAAATGAAGCAACAGAAAAAAAAGTGAGTGAAAATAAATAAAAAAAAAAGATGGAAAAGGAATAATAAAAATAAGAGAAAGCTATTAAAGGAACGCTTGATAAATATAAATTTAAAAAACCAGAAATTCAAGAAATTACAAATTAAACTACAAATATTTAAAATTAATTTGAAACACTCTCTACTTCAAAAGATAACAATTAATAAGGATTAGAAAGAGATTCTTAATAATAAGATTCAAATGAGCCATAATAAATTCGTTAAATTTCGCAATAATAATAATAATAATAATAATAATAATAGTAAATTTAAACAACAGGAAAAAATCTCAAACATTTCTTTCCTGAAAAGAAATAATAATTAATCCCAAAATAAGATGAATATTAACCAAAATAATTAACACCTTACAAAATGGAATAATTTGAAGCTTTGATTGAAAAAATGGCCAATATGTAGTTGTAAGAAGAAAAAATATAAGTATCATTAAATGATTATAATACTGATGAAATTGAAATACAAGAAACCAAACCTGTATAGTAGGTTAAAATCAGAAAAATACATATTTTTATTGCAGATTCAGATAAAGAATTTAATGGACATTAATTTGTATAATTAAGTCAAGTTATTAGATCAAGAGCTCCTTTTTAATTAGGTATATTTAAATAATGAGTATTTAGATGATTAAATTGATTATGACAAAGACTCTTTAGATGAAGTTGAAGAAATGTTAGCAGAAAATCTCTCAGATATAAATGACTCTGATGAAGATTAAAGTGAGGAGAGTGAATAGAAGGATAGTTTTCTAGTAGATGATAATCATCTATCATAAGATGAGGTTGAAGATCCTGAAGAATTGTTAAATAATAAATGCATTGCAAATAACACTTAAGTTCAAAATGGAATAGTATATATTAAATTTTCTTCTGTTGACCCATTATTCTTTGAAAATTACAAAGCTTAATACATTCCTTAATTTTTTATTGTTTAACAATAAAAAGATTAGAGTCATGGAAATATAATATAAAATCTTGGAACTTAATAAGGAAATAACACCAAAGCAATATAAATTCCTAAAGCGAAAATGATTTTTAGTAATAATACTTAAAAAAAATAAAACAAACCTAAAAAATCAAAAGCAAACCCTATTAACGAGTAATAAAATTAATGTACTTTAAAATCTTAATCAAATAATAAATCTTAAGTTGAATAATCAACTTAAAAATAATAAAAATAATAAAAGTGTGTTTCAAAAGTTGATAATAATAAAATTGACGAAGAGAAAATAA